AGAATTCAAAAAAACTTTGACAGACTCCTGAAATATGGAATCCTCCAATCTTGCCAGTCATCCTGGAACACCCCCTTACTACCTGTCCAGAAACTGGGGACTGACTGGGCCAGGTCAGGACCTCTGGGCAGTAAATTCAGCAACTGTCACTTTACACCCTGTAGTCCCTAATCCTTATATGCTTTTAGGCCTTGCCCCAACTGAGGCAAAGTTTTGTACCTCCCTTGATCTTAATGATACATTTTTCTGCATCCACCTGGCTCCACAGAGCCAGCCTATTTTTGCCTTCCAATGGGAAAAATCCCAACACTGGAGAAAAGAGGCCACTAACCTGGACTTCAAAAATTGGCCCACTATTTTTGGAATTTCCTTAGCATCCATGCTTTTATTTATTTATTTATTTATTTTTTTTTTTTTTGGCAGCACTAGGGTTTGAATTCAGGGCCTCACACTTGCTAGACAGGTGCTCTGCCACTTGAGCCACTCCACCAGCCCCTGCCTTGGCATCTGACCTCAAAGCTTTCTCAGCCAACCAGCACAGCTGCACCCTCCTCCAGTATGTAGATGAACTCCTGCTGGCTGGAGGAATGTATGGAAGGTACCTATTTCCTTCTTTCTCTTTTATGAGAGGCAGAATACAAAAATCACTTTTTTTGGAAAAAGTGATTTTCCAAAACACTGTCAAATACCTTGGCTTTCACCTGTGGCAGGCTTGGTCCTGAGAGGAAACAAGCTGTTTATTCTATTCCAGCCTCCAAGAATTGCTGGCAAGTCAGCCAGCAGTTTCTGCAGTCAGTTTCTGGGAGCTGCAAAATCTGGATCCCTAACTACTCCCTCTTGGCCAAACCCCTCTACAAAGCCACAAAGTAAGGGAGAATAGTGAACCCTTAATAAAGGGAGAGGAACAGGAAAAAGTCTTTAGAGGAATCAAGAAGGTGCTCACAAATGCTCCTGCTCTAGGCCTGCTGGATGTGATGAAGCCCTTTTCCCTGCATGTCCATGAGTGAAAGGGGACAGCTGTTGGGGTCTTGACTCAGCTACTGGGCTCCTGGCATCGTCCAGCGTCTCAGTTGTCCAAACAGCTCAATGCTGCTGCCTGAGGCTGGCCCCCTCACTTGCATGCATTAACAGCCACTACTGCCCTGGTGGTCGAGGCAGATAAGCTTGCCCTGGGACAAGAGCTCACTGTCTGAGCTCCCCACTCCATCCTAACACTCATAGAGTATAAGGAAATTGTTGGCTGACCAACTCTTGGATGGTCAAATACCAGATTATGCTATGTGAAAACCCACACATCTGGCTAGAGGTTGCTAAGACTCTAAGCATGGCAACCTTATTGCTAGTTGACTTGGGCTCCCTGGAGCATGACTGCTTAGAGGTTATGGGATGAGGTTTTCTTGAGCCAGACAGATCGAAGTGACCAGCCTACTGGCCATCAGGACATTGAATATTTCACAGATGGCAGCTTCTTTATCCAGGATGGTATGCACTTTGCTGGGTATGCAATAGTAACTCTGGACTCAGTCACTGAAGCCTGCCCACTGCTGGTTGGAACTTCTGCACAAAAGGCTGAACTTGTCCCCCTCATGTGGGTACTCCAGCTCCTGAAGGAGTATGGGTAACCAACTACACTGACTCTAAATGTGCCTTTACAACCGTTCATGTCCACAGGGCCTTATATAAAGAGAAGGGCCTCATTAATTCAAGAGGAAAAAATATTAAGTATGGACAAGAATTCCTCAAACTACTAGATGCTGTGTGGGCCCCTAAATGAGTGGCAGTTATACACTGCTGAGGGCACCAAAAGGGAGATACAATAATTGCTTGGGGAGACCAGAAAGCTGATAGGGAAGCCAAACAAGCCCTCATGAGACAATCAGCCCCAATATCCCTGACAGCTGCCTTGTTCCCATGTACCTTAGCTGAATAAGACCCAAAGTACACACCACAAGAACAGGCCTGGTTTAAGACTGAAGAAGGAAATTTTCTACCAGATGAATGGTGGAAGTTTGTGGATGGCTGCATTGCCATTCCTGAGTTATTGGCTCCCTCATTTGTTAAGAAGTTCCATGAAGGATCACATTCAGAATGAATAGTCCTCAAGACTGTACTGGCCCAGCACTTTTTCAAGCATCTCCAGCATCAGTAAGGTGATATGAGAAAAATATAGCCTTTGTGCCAAAAACAATCCCCAGCAGGGACAAAAAGCACCACCCCATGTGCAAAGTGTTGGCAGGATACCCCTTGAAAACCTGATGGTGGACTTCACTGAAATGCCATTTGCCTGAGGATGCAAATATCTATTAGTGTTTGTCTGCACCTTCTCAGGATGGGTGGAAGCCTTCCCCATGCGTACTGAAAAATCCTGGGAGGTGGCCAGGTGTCTACTAAAGGAAATCATCCCTTGGTTTGAAATACCTGTGTCTATTGGGTTGGATAATGGGCCAGACTTTGTGGCCAAAATGGTACAGATGATAGCTAAGGACTTAGGAATCACATGGAATCTGCATATGGCTTACTTCCCCCAAAGTTTAGGGAAAGTATAATGTATGACTAGGACCCTGAAATTACAGTTGGGAAACTAGGTCAGGGGACCCATTTGCAATGGGATCAATTACTACCCATAGCATTACTGAGGATTACTGTCCCACAAAGCGGACAGGACTTTCACCCTTTGAAGTCCTTATGGACACCTTACCCCCTTAATCAAGGGTATACGAGGAGACCTCAAAGAAATAGGTGACCTCACCTTGAGGCAACAGATGCAGGCCCTTATGTCGACTCTCTTGAAAATCAATGACTTGATCCCTGAGAGACTTCCCATTAGCCTGACAATTCCCACACACTCTAACAGGCCAGAGGATGCCATCTGAGTAAAGGAATGAAATGTCCAACTGCTAAAACCCCATTGGAGGGGCCCTTTTGTTGTTATTTTATCTACCTCTACCACAGTTATGGTAGCAGAGATTACTCCCTGGATCCACTATAGCCAAGTGAAGACAGCCTCTCTCAAGTGGAAGTGCATCCCTGACCCAGTCTCCCATGCAAGATCACCCTCTGGAATGCCTGTACCTCTCCTTGGCAGGATCCTGCTTCCCAGAAAACAACAGGGAACCATGAATGGTGGGACATGAACCCTGCTCTAGTCACTACAGAAGCTGACTCATCTATGCATGGTGAAAGGTTGGAGAGTCATCTTCTTCTCCCCAGAGGGATGGGCCTTTCCATGTTTTCCTTACATGAAATTTAATCAGTTCCTTGCTTGGGAACCCCCAGATCTCAAACTGTGATCTATGTATGCATAGTACCTGTGCAGGAAGTGTTGCCACCAGAACTCTGCTTTTCCATACTTACTATTCCTGTGCAGGCACTGTCATCAGGTCATGCACCCACAATCATACCATCTATTTGGTGTGCTCTCATGGTGATCGGCATATCTGCTTCAGCCCCACTTACTGCCCTTGGGAGCAATGGTTAGAGATCCAGAGCATCTGCAACCCTGGGAACATCAGCTACATCCAGGTGTTGAACCCTGATAAGCCAGTATCAATATTTTGATGCATGTGTGGCCACAGATCAAAGTGGATATGGAGGTATAGGCTGTGGCTGTGGAGGCCTAGCTTGGGAAAGAGCCTGTATGTTAAATGATAAGTATGTGAAAGAGCCTGTATGTCAAATGGTAAGTATGTGTGCTGGGGAGACAACTCTTGGCCATATAATGATGTGGGCTCCTATTATTGCCCTAACTGGAGTTGTGTTTCATGATCTACATGGCAAAAGACAGAATATGCAGCCCTCCTTTGCAAGAGGACAGCTGCCCCGACTGTACCCCCGGCACTGGTAACCCCATAAGTTTTATTGTACCTAAGCCCTCTAGTTGGAAACAGGGACATATAGTTAGTATAAGGACAGATGGAAAGGATCTTGAACCCGGGACTCTGTGAACCTCAAATTAGTAACTATTACCCATGAGAGTTCCTCATACCAAGGTTATCACTCCTTCTGTGAGGAAATGTGGAGTGAATTTTCTATTTTTATCAAGGCCAGAAACCTGTTCCTCTCACTAGCCAAGTCCATAGCCCAGACACTCAATGTCACCTCGTGTTATATTTGTGGGGGAAAAAACCTGGGAGACCACTGGCCGTGGGAAGCTAAGGAGCTAAATCCATGGGAACTGTTTAATGAGACTGCCTTCCCCAGTCACAGGAAAAGTGTCTGGCTCCTAAAACCTTCCATCATCAGAAATTACTGTATTTCCTGCCCAAAAGGCCAGTTCTCCACCCTGGTTGGGGATCTAACTTGTTTAGGACAAAAATTTTACAATGACCCTGCCCAGAAGACCTGATGCTGGGAACTCTAAACCACATGGAACCCAACCCCTACCTGTTGGCCAACTTCTCTGGTCTCTGGGCAGCTTGGGACAATCTTACCCTGAACATAGATTCGTGGAATGGTTCTCTGCCCTGGGTCAAGACCCTGATAGGGGCAGTGATTATTGTCTCAGCAGCATGTTTAATAGTGCCCTGCTTGGTTCCCTAGGTATTGCAGTCAGTCAGGACCATTATGGAGGCCACTATAAAAAGGAAAACAGCTTCCCTTGTAATGATGCTGTGGAAATACAAATCCTGAGTCAGGATGATGAGCTTTGACTCTAGATGGGGCCGAACATCAAAGGGGGGAATAGTGTAGCAGGGAGGAGGGGGACAACATAGCAGGGAGATAATACTTAAAGAATCTGAAGTAAGGAAGATCATTTAGCACTGAGGGTGAGGTAGCCAATAGAGATGCATGCAACCATATATGGGTTAAACTCTGCTTCTTCCTTCTGTAACCTCCTTGCAAAGGTATATAAGGCAAAGCCCCTTTGTCCTCAGGTCTCAACTTTTGGCTGGGACTCTGCTGAGCCACTACTGGCATGGTAATAAACATTGCTTCCTGTAAAGCCTTGGTGTCCCATCTCCCTGCTTGAATGTCCCACAATAGCTATAAGGAAACACATTTTAGATTCTTAAAAAAATTAAGAAAAAGAATGCAACAATTTTATTTAGGCTGATTTTACTGTAACATTTTTTATAAAATAATTTTATAAAAGAGACCATCAAGATATTATACAGAAAATACACACCTCATGCGGTAGGTCTCTGGCTTCCATAGTGGTCGAGTAGTGTACACCACTCCTTTCAGGTTTTCATCCCTTAAGGCAAAAGGGACAGTCTGTTCCTCATCTACCACGAGGAAAGTTGTCCTGCGATATATCACTCCATCCTGGGTGTATGCAACTTGCCGGATTAAATCTTGATTGGCAGCTATTCCAAATGGGAGTGAGACAAGCTTATATTCCAAGGCATATGGGCTCAAGGCACATTCCAGATCATGGGGTGGACAGTCCTTCAGGCAGAACCTAAGGAAAATAAACATGAAAGACACATAGTTATCTGGCTGAGAAGCAGGAGAAGGCATGACGTGGGTGATCATGATCCAGGACAACATTTAGGCATCGACACAGAAGGCAGTCCTCACTGTGAGTGCAATAAGTCCCCGTTCTGTGTCACTAACTCAAACCACATGCCGGACGCTAAAGAGAATATGCTGGTTGAGAGTCAAATATCTATTTCTGCTCCATTAATTTAAGAAGCATTTGAGTTCTTGAAGTAAGAATGAGTACCCTAAGAGTACATTCTTCCTTTTTTGGCAAGGGGGTGCTGGGAGTTGAACTGGTCAGGGCCTCATGCATACTAAGCACATGCTTTACTACTAAGTTATACCTCACCTACCCCAAGAATGCTTTCTTTAAAATGAAAAGTTAGTTTTGGAAATAAAGGCATTTGTATATATATATATGTATATACATATATACATATATATGTATATACATACATATATGAAACAAATACTTCTTAAAGAGAAGAATGCAAGCTATATTTAAATTATAACATCTAAGTATTTTCATGCTGAAAAAAGATATATTGATATTTGGCTGATGTACCTAAAAATAATAAAAGGTAAAATAGGATTTCTGAATGGGTTGGACTACCTTTTGTAATTTTCTTCCATATTACTTTACATTAAATACTGTATTTTCTTTTTCTAGAGCCCACATTGACTTTAGAGTCATGATAACTTTTAAATTGTTTGCCAGAATAAGAGAAAAAAGAATGCAGAAGATCATTTTATGAGGATGGATTCTTTAGTCATAGTTTTTTGGACATCTCATAAGCCTCTGTTTTGAATTTTCTGCATCTTTTTTTGTATTCCCATGAGACCAATAATAAACAGGTTCTTGGTGGATTCTGGGCAATCCATACTTGGTCATGTTCAGTAACTTGGTAGACATTACCAAAAAGAAAATGAAGCATGAGCTCTCCAATGAGTGTTTGGTTTTAAAAACACTTTCTTGTTAGCAGAACTATCCAGGATAAACATTATCACTTGTTTTCAAGCATCCTCTTACCTTAATACCTGGATAGGGTACAACATATTTTCAAGAGGAGGGGCAAACAGAAGAGTAGTTTATTCAGAACTCAGAAGACCCTGTTTCAGATAGTAGGAAATCTATGCAAGACACCATGAATGGGCAGACTACTGACTCATCCTTGCTCCCCTCTGTTCCCTCACAGTGTGGTAAGTCATCATAGTGGTGGAAAAATTAACTCTTGGAGTGCTCTACACTCCATAAATGGAAACTGGAAAATCTCAGAGAAAGGTAGGCTTTATCATCCCATAAAATGCTCACTGCTGAGGTAGAGCCCTGGATGTTACATGGTGATTCTGTGCTGGGGAGACTGCTCCAGGAACCCTCACAACCACAAGTGATGACTTATGTTGCAGTGGCTGTTACTGGATGATCTCATATCCTCCTCATTAATTGAAGAAGAAACACACTGTGAGCCTCGGGGTTACTGACTTTCTGTGAGTTAAATATGAATGCAGACTGGGTTTAGGTTGGTCAAGGAGTGAGATGAAGGATTTTCAGAAGCATGTCTGGGATGAGAAGGAAAGACATACCCTGCCACAGGGTCCCGCTGGTAGTTGGGTGGACAGGGCGTGTCGATGCACTGGTAGCTTCCTTTCATATTGAAACACATGCGATTCGACCCACAGCATATGTTCTGCTCCAGACACTCATCAATATCTGGGGACAGCATAAGACACAAAGCATCATCAGTGGGAGTCAGAAAAAGTCATCCCAGCAGACACTGATATTTGACTGGAATATAGAGGCCTAACTTCTTCCTTGCCCCATGAATGAACTCACCTATCATCCTTAAGCTTCAACCACAAAATGGATCAAGATCCCTGGTAAATCTATTTCCTAGATTGCTTTGAGTATATGTTTCTTTAACATATGTGGAAAAACATCAAAAATAAGAACCATAAAAGCAGAAGGGGAATTATTAAGAGTTCTTTAGTGTCTCTTATTTTTGGAAAATAGAATGCACTTAGGTTTTGTTGAAAAGCAAATAATATTTTAAGTGCACTATGAACAAGCTAAATATTTTACTTGTAAATATTTTTTAACAAGAAGAATCTCTTTCAAATGCATGTGATCACTCCCTAGTTTTTTCTGTTGAGTGTTCAAATTGTTGAGTGCAAAGTAGGGTAGTAGAAACCAAAGGTGTCATATTATAAATTCAGGGGAGACTTCATAAGTCAGTCAGATCTTGAAAATAACAAAATAAAGAATAAAACAGAATCAAATGAATGACCCAAGAACCACAATCTGAATTTAATCAAACAGAGGGGAGTCATCAACTGACTGTCCAGAGTCTACCTCTCCTTGTATAGCAATGGGATGTTCTGAGGTAATGGGGAAAATATGCAAAAAATAACTCCTTATTTTGTTGTTTTCTGTGCAGAGTTGTTATATAGAAATACATTTAAGTCACTAGAATTAAGAATAATGAATACAGAGCTAAAAGAAAGTTTTCTGAGCTTTTTGAAAATAAAGAATTTTGAGTCATAATTCTTAATTTGCTGTCCACTTTGGAACATTGGGGATTTGTGAATGAACATATTTGTGTGCGTGCATGTGTGTGTATGTGAGAGAGAAAGAGAGACTATTGATTGACAGATTTTCTGGAAAGAGGGTCCATGGAGTTCAACAAAGTTTGGGGGATTTTAGAGGAATGTTTTCTGAACGAGGTATCTGCATCCTGCTGATAGCACATGGAAGCTTTTCAGCAGTATGAGGGCAAGCAAATATTTCAGGGAATCAATTTCCACATCCTCACTTTCCATAAAACATCCTTCTTAAAATCAATCTGTCTGAGAACTTCTTGTAGTCTGGAGGTCTCCTTTCCCTTCTCTTTCACAACCTTCTTCTGCCTTACAAAAGAAGCTTGCCACTAACTCCAGGGGTCCAAATGAAAGAGGAGAATATTGGTAATAGATACTGGTGGTGAGCCTTATCATGTCATTCATATGAAACTATGGTCTTACTCTTTATTTTAGCCAGAAGTGACTTGGTTGCTATAGGAATGCCACAAACAGTTTTGTTTGAACAGAAAATGACCTTTAGACTTGTTCTGACAATTTGATTGGTTGACAATGAGTACAGACTTATAATATCATCCTCTATTAGCTGAGGAAGAAACCTGAACCTCCAAAGTTTTGATGAACATAAATTTCAAGCATGTGTACACTAAATAACAATGACAGAATTCATGTCATTTGTGACTTTTTAATCTTAAGATAAGAAACTTTGGGGCTAATTAGAAAATGTGAAGGAAAATACAAGGTTTTCACAGTCTAAGCCAATTGATTTCATATGGGCAATTACAACATTCCTCCCCCTTAAGCAATTGAATCCTGATGTGTGGGAGTCCTGATGCAAAGGAACATCTACAGTCTGGTACAATAAAATGAACCCAAATCAGGTCCCCAAGAGGTGGGTCCTGAAAGTCAAGGGCATGTATATCGTGGAACTGGTGCTGACCAATGAGCAAGTGAAACTATTGTGGATTTTGCAGTAGTAATTTGGTAGCATTTAAACTGGACTTGGCTTAAGGCCATGAAGGGCTTTTATGAACTCTTAAATAATTTGGAGTATTGTTATTCTGAAAGAGAAAGAAGAGAAGAAGTTTCAAGAGATAGTACATTAATCATGTACAATAAATGTCAATTTATTTCAGAATTATTACCATTTACATTTTTGTATTAAAATGTGTATCTCAGATTTGATTCCAAATATATTCTGTTTTCTAAGGAGACCATGCATGATGTACTTATTTACTTTAAATTTAATAATTGTGACAATAAATAAGAAAGTGAAAAAAACAATGTGCTAGCAAAGTGTGCAGTAAGTCACTTACTTGACTTTTTAAAGCTTCTAATGCCAACAGTGACCACATTCTGTGTTTTCTTTTCTAGTGGTATATTAGGACTAGTTTTCCTACAGTAATGAAACCCAGTGTGAAATCAGTTATTATTTCAGTATTCTTCACTATTACCTCTGTGAACCAATTTCTAATTATGATTTTATCTATAAGAATTTCTTCATCTCCTTAACAAAATGAGATTGTCTCAGAAATGAAGTAAAAATCCCTTCAGGAAAATGTGAAAGAAATAGAATTAGGCTTATGTTTCTTTCTCTCATTAAAATGATTCTTTTCACACTTATCCTCAGAGTTTCATTTTATCTCTAGCTTTTATAGTGAACTCATACAGAAACCTGGGATCGTGATAATGGTGGCATGGAGACATATCCGTGCGCACAGTAAGAGGAGGTAACTTACAGAGTCTCACTGGCTGAACAAGAATCTATAAAGAAACATCAGAATCTAATATACAAAGTGTTTGCCTTACTCCATAATATCTTTTGCTTTCCGTAACAAAAGCTTTCATAAGCAGTGAGCTGCCAGGCAGACAGCCTCCTTTGTCTTTGGGCTATTACTTCTCAGGATTAAGCACCCTACAGGGAGACAGGCTTCGCTACTCACTCTAGTCACTGTTCTTTAAAGAGGAAGACAAAAAACCAAAACCAAAACCAAAATCCAAAAAAAAAAGACATTGAAGAAAAGAAAAATCACATTTTGTCTTCTGTTAATGGACAATGTGGTGATGTCTGCTTTTTTACTAAACATTACAGAATGTTATATAAGCATCTTATAAATATTATTGCTACAAGAATCCCAAAATGAGCTGAAAAGGTTTTATATTAATAGCTTTAGAACATATGAATGCATTTAATCCCATGCTTCTGGATATTTAGACATACGAAACATCTGTCTTATACAGAGCATAAGTGATTCAGACTTGGTAAACATTATGGATTACTTTTTTTAAAACCATGGACAGATGAGAATACTCATTTCAAATGCAGTGCCAATATAATGTTCCTAAATTTTTAGAATTAGATCAGTGGTGCATAAAATTAGCATAAGGATCTTTTAGTTTTTCCTTACTGCTTCTTAGATTAAAAAAAAATCTTGATTGGTCTTGCCTTTTTGTATTTTTCATTTTTCAGTCAGGCGACTTTGGGTTTGCAGGAGTCTCTGTCATTGTTCCATGTTAAATTCAGTTTAATTTCCCTTTTCTTATGGACATCTCTAACATTAATATATAAAGCTTTAAAAATTGTATGTGAATGAAAAACAGTCCTTTGCTCCTCATAAATGCCTCAAACTCTTTCTAAAGCTATAAAAAGACTCCAAGTTATTCTTTAAAGACTTCTTTAAAAGGCACAATTGTTTTCTCTCATGTCTTTTTAAAGCCACAAAAATATGTAATTTATTTAAATTGCAAGCATTTCAAGTGACACCTGATTCTGATTTGTTCACAGTGTTTTCCACTCTGTAGCACAAATGAAAACTGAAAAACATTTTGTGCTAAATGAGTGACAAGGGCAATGAAAAAATAAACTGCCAAATTTGGAAAAGAATGTCTCTGAGTGTATGATATAGCTCTTTAAAATTGGCTAAGGGGTTTTGTGGTTTTGTTGTTTATTTCAAAGGTTTGGCACCTGCCCTGTTTACTTCCGTGGTGCTTGGTGCAAATATAGGAAGTGTAGTTACAGGGTTGGGCATTGGTGCTCCTTCCAAAAGAGTTTTGGGTTGAAGACCTGAGGCAAGTTCAAAGCACGGGCAGTCAGTGGCCCCACCCCTACTCCATGGTGCAATGCTCCTGGTGCTCACAATGACGTGGGAGAGACACAGGATGTTTCAGAGTATGTGATCTGAGGTCAAGTTCTATCCGGTCTTGACTGCTCTAGGATATTGAGGCTCAAATAATCACTGAGAACTTGTTTTTATTATCTAAACACATGATTGCCCATAATATATCTATTCTGTTGACTCAAATGAGGTAATTGTTACTTTGAAAAACATAGTGTGATAATATAAATATGTTATTCTAGTACTTCAAATCTTAGTAACATATTCTGTAGAGGATAGCTTCTTAATCATGTCTGGTGGCTGATGGGCAGGAGCAAAGTTTACCATGAAGGAATTCATGTTCCTTCTCCAACCAATTCTGTGAGGATGCTTGGGGAGTGTGAAAGGGTAGGGGAGCAATGGGGTGGCTCACTATAGCTAAGGTAAACCCACTGCCATCCTGGTCCTGGCTTCTGGAACACAATTTCCAGGAGCTGCATTCCTAGCAAGACTTCTGTGAATCCCAGAAAGAGAAAATTCAATCTCAATTTGATTGCTCCTGATAAAGCTCTTTTTTGAAAATTTTTATTTGATGTATTTTACAAAAGGATATAGTTTGTACATGACAGAAATTAATAAAATTTGGAAGCATATGAAGACCTACTAATACCCATAGATTTTATTCACCAAATTGCGAGGATTTCTTAGAACACTTAAGAAAATATTTGTGTGAAAAGGGAACACTTGGGGTTGATTTTTGTCTTTCTATTATCACTATACTTTATTCCCAGCTCTGTTACAGAACCTGTGCATTAGCTTTTTGATTTATTTATATGTGTCTCCACTACACTGTAAGCACTGAAAGGCAAGGACCATGTCTTATTCATCTTTTTGATCCTTTTACATTTTGTAAAGGTAGCATGTGATTGTCCCTACAGCATCTGTAGGCTTAGGGAATGAATGGATTCCTTGTCTACTGATTGTTCTAATAAGTCTAAAAGACAAAATATCAAATTATCCCTCATGCTGTAGTAAATTTACTGAGTACTCTTTTAATTTTCCCTACCATCTTATCTGAACTGGAGAAAAAATGTTTGACAAGGTCTCTTCTCACTAAGTTTTAGAAATATGTACTATGAACTGCTTTAGGCATTCTTGCTTCTTTAAGTAAGACCATACCAAAAATGTGTCTCAAATATTTTCCTTTACTGAATTGCCTTCTTATTGCTTCTCCTACTTTACTTACAAAAGTAATATTTAAACATAAGGCTGACCAATGGGAATGGGAAAGAAGTAGCAAGAAGGGAAAGGAATAGTCACAAAAATGGCTCAAATTTTCCTATGTTGGTGTTATGACAATACACATCCCAACATTTTCTCACCTTGGCATGTCTTCCCATTGAACATGACCTGATAATCAGGCAGGCAGATGCACTGGTAGCTTCCAATGGTATTTTTACACTCGTGCTGGCAAGTGTCTCTGTTTTGACATTCATCAATACCTGTTCAGAAAGAAAGCACAGTGTATAACCACACCAAGCAGAGGCAGAAGTTGTGACAGAGCTCACTATAAACAAGCTGTTGATAAACGATTGACAAACGGTTTGGTGATTTTTGTACGCATGTGCTTAAAAATACTCAGAGCTATTTTATATCAAGATCTGCTTTAATGATATAAAAATATTAAATATGGGACAAAATCACAATATTAATTGTAAAATATGAACATCTCTTTATCATCTTCCTAACCATACATAAGCTGAAGCTCCAAACTGCTCAACTTTTTATTAGTTACATAAATTACACTGAAATGACAGAGGTGACAGATTTGAATAAGATTCCTAATCGCCAAAGAAAACTCTTGCCAAAATGGCAGAATTTGCCTAAAAGACAAAGCTTCTCTTGAGATTAAGTGGAAAAAGAAGTATTGGTTTTTATTTCATTTAAACTTTAATTCTCTCTCTTTCTCACTGTATTCCCTCCTCACAACATCTACGTGTCGCTTTCCCACACACAGATATCATCAAATGGAAATGCTTTTACTTTTGTGATAGCAATATTGATCAAGCTCTTCATACAATTGCAAAGTACTAATGGCAACTACATACAAATTTATGTTATGTTTGACAGCCCATTTAACTTCTCAGGATGATCTCAGCTGATTTTTCTGCCAAAAGGGGACACTGAGACCATCTACTGTGTTTTACAGGCTTGTTGGAAGGTTCATATGCAGCGATATATAGAAAAACATTTTATAAACCACAGGGCCTATCTCCTCTTATTGAACAAAGCCAAGAAAATAGCAATGAATAGGGGAATGAGAATAGATAATTCAAAATTAATTGATATTTGCTTTGACTAATATTTATCTTTGCTCATGATTCCTGAGCTCAGATTATCCAGTGACAAGAAACATGAGTGGTGGAGGGCAAAACTAAGGAGAGATCAAAATGAAGACTGGGACACTGAGCAAAACAATCTGTTCACCTTGCATATTTTGTACATGTTGCAACACTCCAAATCTATTCAGGATAAACACTCATCAAATATTTGTTTGTCAATGTTTTTGCATCATTTTAGTCAACCAAAGCATTTTGTTACTTAACTTACGAGTTATTTTTATTTTTTCTGCTTTAACCTAAAATAATGACAGAAATTTAAGTTATGCTGAACTCCGAGTAGTTGATCTCTTGATGTATGAATTTTAAAGTTGCCCTAAGTGTGACTTCTGCATTCAGAATCAAAGCAATGTTCATTCTTTCTGTTAAGTTTGGAATAAATTTTAGCCCAAGTCTAACAAGATTCCACAGTGTTAATTTGAACCCTTTGTAACTTGCCTATCCCAGATGGTTAATGAAAGGCATTTGGTGTTCATAGTAAGTTGTTCTTGTTACAAAATTTCAGAGCTGTCTCCAATCTTAGTGTAAGTTTCTTAATTAGTCCCAACGCTATAAAATACCATATTTTAAGAAACATCTAGTCCTACTCATTGACCCCCAAATAAATTTAAATATCCAGAAACTGATGAGCTATAAAAGTTTACTTTAAATTTTCTAAGATTGATCCTTATTCTGAAATAGTAGCTATCTCAATAGTGGCTGATTATGGGAGCTAAATTTTGATATGCCATAATATTGGTGCTAATTGGAACATCAAGATAGAAAAGAGAAGACTCTTCTATGATAGAACTTCAGCTGTAGGTAGTGATGAAAAATAGAGTTGGATTATTAATCAGGGAAAAGTTTCTTAAATGACTTGCATTTTCAGATGTGTTAAAGGAAACCAGCCTAATAGTGCATAGTGTGGGGTGTGGTTTAGTTCATTTGTTATTGCATAAACAAAGAGGAGTAAAGGCAGAACAGGAGAAAGAGCTTGTCTGAAATGAAGGCCGAGTGTGGGGTGGGAACAGACTATGAAAACTCTCCAGTGAGAATAACTACTTGGAAGAAACTCAAGAAACAAAATGTAGCATGTTAATTCTGTCAATGAAAGAACAGTGAAATGTTTTAACTAGTGAAGACTCAGTCCCAGGTAACAGGCATGAAAATTTGCCAATAATCAAAATTATGGTTAGGAGTCCATAGATTTAGGGAGTAATACTAGTTGACCGTATTGGACAAAATATAGAGTGTATACATGCATGAATGTTTGAAACATATGCCACAGCTCACCACATCTATTATAGTAAACTTCAGGCTCATCAGGATATCTAGACAGAAAAGTTTGGAAAATACAAACCTAATAAAGACAAAGTTTGAGTACTCAGAAGGAGGGAGGGGGGACCCATTAAGGTTGGTGAAGGAAGCAGGTATGAAAAGATAATGGAAGAACAGAGTTTGGAGAAAGGGAGAAAAAGAAATGAAAAAAAACCAAAGTCGGAGAAGAAAACCATAAAATATTTAAGTGTTTAACAGAAAGCATATTTTCTAGAGAATAAGCAAAGTGTACAAAACTTAAGAGAATTGTAAGAAAATGAGGTTGGCATAATGGTCTTTAATTTGATCAGCATTTCTTTCTTTCCACCCTCCTTACTTTCCTCCTCCCTTTCCTTCTTGCTTTATTTTCCCATCTAGCAAATGGTGGGGCTAATTTTGGTTTGCTAATTCCCTTTGGTGCCTAGCTCAATGACATGCAAGCTGTGCATATTCACAGAAAATTGAGTTAAATGATGACAGATGGTAATGTTTACAACTTAACTGAAAACAAGGCCTCCACTCTTAAGTTGGAAATTACTATTTACTTTTGCAAATGAAATTACAGACTTGTGAGTTTAGATAAAGATATTAAATACACACATTTCAGGGAAAAGGGAGCAATTTAATTTTGTCCTGGCTCACATTATCTTGTCAGTAACATATATAATAACTGAACTGAGAAATTCTATGGGCAGTATAGGACCAACAGTCTATGGCGTGATGGAAGCCACTAAAATTTAGTTCTACAAAGCATTTAAATTTATTAAGACTTTCAAGGGTTATCCAAAGAGAAACTGTTAATAGAACACAATAAATTATTAGCATGTACACATGTCAATATATCATTTATTTGAATAAAGTTTGTAATCGTTTCAGGTGCCAGAACAAATGTCTTGAAACTTTTTGAGTCATCCACACTTGAGATTAGATGTAGTTCACTGCACCCAAACATTCAAAGGTGCTTTGCTCATACTTCAACTCTGGTAAGGAGTGAGCCCACACAAAGGAAATACAATAGGCTGACATTTACCTACATATGTCATGGTTTGCCTCAGAGCCTTCAGGGCAAGTTTTCCTAATAGTCCTTCTAGTCCTGGAGAGAGGTGTTCTGCTGTTTCTAGACTCTGAGTAGGAGCTGTAGAGATGTGAGTACTGTTTGTAATGCTGGTGAGGTTGGTGGTTGTTTCTCACGGGGGAGAACCGGGCAGGGTTATATCTATTGTACTGAGAGCCATAATTTGGCAGCCTCTCCAATCCAGTGCAGGACTTCCCGTCCCCTAATAAATGTTGTCCTGGTGGACAGACACATTTGAAGCTGCCAGGGCAGTTGGAGCATTGATGTGCACAAAGTTTAGGCACTTGTTCACATTCGTTAATGTCTGTGTGCCATGATACATAAAAAAGAAAAAAACACATACATACACACAGAACACAGGAAGAAACAATCAGTCTATGAAACAAACTGAAGACATATATTCTTCCTATTTTTTAAATACTCTAGAGAAACAGAAAACCATGTGAGGGTTTTTATGTAGGATCAAATAGTGGACCCATCCAGGAATAACTATGAGTAAAAGAATTTACACTTAAGCTTCTGGCAATTGGTTTTATTGTTGGTTTTGAAGCAATTGGGTAAAATATCAAAGTGATAGTAATAAGTCATAGCGAACTGATTAAAATTACCAGAGACAAAACAGTCTCTAATGATTTTTAATCTAACCAAGGTTATTTCTCTTTATATTGAACCATGTTGAAAGAAAAGGTGAAGGACTTTCTGAGTATTTGGGAGGGAGGTTATAGGATGAGATAATTTCCCATTTAGGGAAAATGAAATGTGTTGCAGAACTAAGAGGGTGATTATTTTAATGCTTAAAATTCAGGCTTGAACACATTTCCTGTCAGAGGAATTGAAATGCAGGGTGTTAGAAACATCTGTGCCACTCTTCATAGAAAACATTCATCTGAGATTTTCAGAGGGTGAGAGAATCTTTGTGAAATCCTGGAGAAATCCAAGGGCAGTAAAGCAAACAGGAAACAGAGTTCAATTTGTGGAAACTCAGGAAAGAAAGCAAAACACTAAAAATGTGTCTCCATCTCAAGATTCTTGGTTAGTGTGGATGTGGTGTGCCAGTGAACTGAGTATGTTTTAAATTTCTAGGCTTTATTCTACTTTTCCCTGCAAGTTCTTCTCATTTCTCAAGTTTTCATGCTATTTAAAACAAGTTCAGAATCACAGAAGTTTGCTAGAAGTTATTTAACCTAGAATAGGAAATACCTTGAAAATTTTTGAGTTCTAGGACATTTTAAACATGGGTAAAGAATTTGGACAAACTGTTATGAGACATGTTAGAATGGGGTAATATTTTTTCTATTCATTTATTATTTTTGGTAGGACTGGGGTTTGAACTCAGGGTTTCCTGCCAAAGCAGGTGCTCTACTGCTTGAATCATCACATCTTCAGTCTTCTACTAATGTTTGACTAAATACATCTCTCAAGTCACAGTGGGTCAGTTTATTGTATACACCTTCTAAGATAACAATTTGTTCTCTAAAAGAAAGATCCAAGAGGTGATTTGGCTGCTGAATGATCCATGACCACTCTGTTGAGACCAGGAGTAGAACTGTACTTTGTGGGACCTGCTGCAGATCTGAGAGTAGGCTGAGAAAATTGCTAGAGCTATAACCAAACTGCATGGCTAAATGGATTATGAGTTAGGAGTCTTTCAGAGTTGTACTGCTGTTGCTACAGTGCAGCTGGGAGAGCCAAAGGACCTTTAAGACTCTTGGATAAGGCAATAGGGACAGGTTTCAGCAGCCATCTGACTTCATTGCTCACCTTGGTGTTCAGTGAGCAGGGAGAAGCTCTTATGGGAATACTTATCTCTGTAGCTTAGTCCCAGTTGCATCTACCTGCTGCACAATAACTAAAATCTTATTCTGTCTTGTCATGCTGGATGTTCCCAACAAAGAAGCTATGATCACGATATCATCACGAGGCGAAAAAGCCCCTTCCCTTACAGGTCCCTTCTTGTACCCACCAGGTACAGAAAGTATTCTTGATGTTCTTTCAGTGTTGATCAGTTTATTTTCCTCTATCTTATCAGTTGGAAAATTGTGGAAGTTTGTAGGACTAAGCTACAAAGACTACTAAGAAAGGCAAATGAGCTTGAACACAAGCCTGTTCCACTGCCCTTTGGCACTCCCTAACATGGGTTTGAATCTCCCTGGAGAAAGGAGCATCTTTTTCTTCACACAAAGGTATACATAGTCCAGTAACAACATAACAAGGCATGGGGTGGGCAAGAGACTGAGTATCTCTGATTTTACCATAAAGGCACTTTAGTAGGCACTTAGGAAAGCTAACTATAGTACCTGTCCATTATATTTTTTGCATATCACAAATTAACCACTTATTCTATTCTGTTTGGGCCAATTCCTTTAGTAGTAAGTAAACAAACTGTTCATTATTATTGTAATTTTATGTATTTTTTCAAACAGATAAATAATCCTTACCCTTAAAGGACACTTCTCTTAGACAACTTCCCTAATAGATAATGACCTTACTTTCACAGGTTCTCGGAATTCACTTTTAATTTCTTAAAAAAGGCAGAAAATGGAATTGTGAGAGATTGTTAAGTGGTGATACCTAGCTACTATGTGTCTTCTGTGAGGCCACACCTGTGAATCTACCTGATGAGATACAAAGTTTTTGATTATAAATTGCTTTCTTCATATTATAGTTAGAAAATAATTATAATTATATATGTATTAGGAATATATGTATATATATATATATATAATTTTTTTAAGGATATAAGTTTAACTTTCACTTCAGAATAACAAATGTTAAGAAATATCTGTGATAAAAACAGGTATTGGTATGGCTAAGACCACTACGTGGTAAAAAGCATAAAGCTTTTATAAAATGTCAGTTGAGATCCTGATGCAAGGGGTATGTATGTAATTGGGAGCAAATTACTTTGAGTCTCAACTTATCTATAGGCTGAGAATAGTAATTAAAACCCAAAAGAGAGATGGTGGAGTGGCTCAAATAGTACCACACTAAGAGGTAAAGTGCCTGCCTAGCAAGCATGAGGCCCTAAATTCAAACCCCAGTACTGCAAAACAACAACAAAAAACTAATCCAGGCTGTTATGAATATTAAATGTAAGTATCATGTAAAGCTAATCTGCCATGAATATAGTAAAGGTGAAAATTCTTTGGCAAGATCATTACTAAATTGGGGATGATATGTATATCTTATAAGGTTATCAATAGTAATCAAATACTATACAAAGTACCTGGTTGTTAGTAGATCCCCAGTGAATATCACACTTAATTAAATCCAAGATGTAGCATTATTTAAGGTACTTTCAAAAAAGGAAAAAAAAAGTGCTGTTATTATAGATAACATAGCAGACCTCAGTTTCAGAGGTGATATGAAATTTTTTGCATAGAATCAACCAAAGCAGTTAAGTCCCCCCACCCCTTTTTTCTTTCCTACTATTTAACAACAGATATGTTCAACTCCCAATCCTTATTATACAAATGAATTTATCATTTATTTTTATTTATTTTTTGGTGAGACTGGGATTTGAACTCAGGGCTTCATGCTTGCAAAGCAGGCGCTCTATCACTTGAACCACCCATCTAGTCCCTTATTATACAAATGCATATTATACAAATGCAGATTATACAAATGAAGATAAAAACGAGCCAAAACCTTTTTTCCTAGTTACCTAAGGTCTCCAAACTAATACTTAGAATAAGTACTATTTTATGATGTAAAAGAATTTAATAATCTGGCCAGGCACTTCATGTGAATAAGGAACTACCAGACAGGAAAGAAATACACAAGCTTGGTAAGAAATGGCAGGATTTTCTGGCAACAATTTTATGTAATGTCAAAGGTGGTAGGAAGGTCAAACAGAATGAAGATGAAGAACAGAGAACTCTTAACTACAAAGATCTCATCAAAAGCTCAAGGACCTTTCTCGGTTTCACTTGATAAATACAAGACTGGTAACACAAGTTGGCCTATTATTTGGAAACATACCTAAATGAGTACCATATTTAGCAAAAAATAATAGCAAAACAGAAATTGAACATTCACAAGTTTTGGGTCATTCTATTCATTTCACTCAGGCCATGAAGTGATTATTAACTTGAGTATTTAAAAGTCAGTTCAATAAGGAATCTCTTTAGTCCTTCATCAATTATTTCTAGTGTTCTAGTCTCAAATACATTCCTTTCTTCTACAAACTTCTGAAAAAGATGAACACCTCCACCGACACCAAAATAATGTGCTTTGCTGGCCAAAAGCACTCTTCCATTTTTACCCAACAGTGTAAGGAATGTCTGGTGTAAAGTACTATAATAATCCGGATTGTAAATGGTTTCCGAGGTGAGAATGAGGTCATATTTTACAAAGAGTTTTTCACTGCTTAATACAAGCTTACAAAACTCAGCCCACTCTCCAGAAAAGAACCGGCATTTACATAGTTCTTGTGGTTTTGACTTTCTGCATCTTTTTATATCTGGTTCATTTCCCTCATTTTCTTCATCTTCCAAAGTGGAGTTAGATACTACATTAGGTAGAGTCACTTCATCAATCACCAAACTGTTATAATCTTGAAAATGAATTTCTTTGGCCCCTCTTTTGAATGCAGTTATACCCAGCAATCCAGATCCACAGCCAAGATCCAACACTTTTTTCCCAGAAAATTTCACTCTGGCCTTTGTAAAATAAGCCAGGAGGTCAAAAGTACATTCCCAGATTTTTAAACCTCCTTCATAAACACCTGGAATCAGATCAGAGTGAGAAGAAAGGCTTTTTGAAACTATGTTTTCTCCAGGGAAGTTCTCTTTCAACAAGATGTTTTTCACTACTGATATGTTAACATGCTGGAGACCTGGTAGCATTTCTATGGCTTTATTTTCTAACACTTTCTTTAAATCTTTAGGCACAGCATGCTCTTTGGCAACTGTTAAGCAGAGTTGTTTTGCACATGGCCCCAAGTCCTCTGAACTGTTAGTTGCACTGAGTGGGGTGTCAGTGTCTTGAGAAGCACCTGCATTTCCCACTGATGCATATTCCCACAAGTGATTCTGAGGCAAGTCAGACTGTTCTGTGGAACATTTTCTGTCCTTCTGTTTTCCTTTTCGATTTTCTAAAGCTGATGATTCTTTTGAGGAATCCAGAGTCAAAACTCCATCTCCAAGAGGTGTTATTTCATTTTCTAGATGGCCTTCTATAGTGAAATTAAATTGAAAGGTCATTTTCTTATTATCTGCATCCAATCCTTAAATTCAAAAAAAGATGCCTCAACTTCTAAGTAGAACTTGATGATACAGAAATTTACCTCAATTATCCGATTATTTTTGTTGAGGTCAATTTCTGTTTCACATGTTTCCAAAGACTTTTTACAGGTTTTTTTTCCTCTTTCAGTTTAGCCCTGGAGAAAATAAATAAAATAATTAAAGAAAATGCCAATTTCACTAAAATAGTAAACAGCTCCTCCTCCCCATAAAGCTCTTTTCTAAAAAAGTTGTATGTGTATGTGTGTGTGTGTGTGTGTGTGTGTGTACAGGAGGGTGTTACAAGACTTGGAAAAACATACACATTGAAACCTTAAGGATTCAAACATTGGAGAAAATAAACTGTGCCAAAACAAAATCATCCCTAAACTTCCAGAATGTCCTCACTACTGTTACTGTCACAAAAAAGAGTTTAAGATTGTGTTGATTAGTGAGCATTCTATGATCTGGTGTGTGTAAATTCATTCAGATATCTTCAGTAAAATCATTTTCCAGATCAGCATCTTTGCGTCCTTTATGTTACTGGAGTAATTTAAAAAGATTAGTTTGGTTGAGGAGCAGAAAAGATAAGGGTGTTGTACTACCTGGAAGGCGGGAGAAAGTGGAAACAACTTTATTGAGAATCTTCTTTGTATCGATTTGCCAGACACTTTTACACTACGTTTCAATTTGTACAATTCTGGCAGGTGGGATTCTTCTCCCCTTGCAAAGGGGAGCGCACAGTTTAGCTGGTGAGATCACTTCTATCCCACCAGGCTGTGGGGCTGGGAGTCATTTCCGGCTACAGGTGCCGGTCAAATCTGACCTTAGACGTGCAATGTCAAATCCATCGCGGGGCTGAAGGAAGCAAATCTGAGCACTTCCGGCCTCATCTCTGCGAAATGTCCAAGCTCGTTGTAAAATTTACAGTGATACATACCTGGAGCCGCAACTTGTCCGGCATGTCGTGGAATCACCCTGCAGACACACCCCGCGTCACCACATCTTTTCCGGTTGGAAATAGCGCACCAGTGAGTCGAGTCCTCCGAGGGCCAGACAAGCCCGTTTGCTCCCGGGCTCACCCAAGAACCCAACCGGCTTCCTCTCTATGGTCTTAGTGTCCGCCGAGCGCTCGCAAGGCCTGCCGGGATAGCAGGAGCTTCCGGTGTGGGCTGTGGCGGGACTGGTGTGAATTTTTATCGGTCGGCCAAAGTATGTCTCAGGAACGTGCGGTCCCGGCGAGCTCGGTTCCCTTGGAAGAATTAAGTAGCTGGTCGGAGGAGCTATGCCGCCGGGAGCTGCCTTCTGTTGTGCCCCGGCTCCTTATATCCTTGTTACTTCCACCTAGAGAGGGGCTAAGGATGGGTGGCGAAGTTTGCCCCCTGCCCAGTCCCACTTACCGCCGGGCTGCGTGTTGCTGGGGCCTGGATTTCTCCTTTCTCTGTTAATGAGTAGGATGAACGCTAAGGGAACGGGGCGGGCGAGAACCGTGGGCGCAGAGATCGAGGCATGCCTGGCTTTCCTCTGGAAGGGCTGGCAGAATTGGTGACCTTGGCGTTGGCAGTTTCGTCCATTCCTCTCTACCTTTGAGCTGTTCTGTACGCCGTATTTGCAGTCAAGTGTAAATACTTGTGTGGGTGGGGAGGTTCTGGGGGAGACGCTAGCTCTGGCTCTTAATAGCTGAATGAAGTAAAGCGGGATAGATGTTCTTGGGGTTTTATACGTGAAATAAGTGGCGAATATCTTTTTCGGTAGGGTGAGAATTAAAGTACATAGTTCTACCAGGGAGCCAAATCTTTAAGAGATGTTCAGTATAAATAAAAATGTTTTTCCTTCTCCCCCTCTTGCACTTCTTGACATTTATTGCTGGTTAAAACGAGTTGCTTCATTTGTTAGCTTTAATTTGCTGTGTTTGAGTTGTTTGATCGCCACCGTTTCCAGGTGCAGACAATTTATTAATCTGTGGCTGTAAATGTGGGGTTTTAACACTGAATGTTAATAGGTAATTTTACATCTTTTGAGTTCACTTTTAACATAAAATTGTATCAGAAGAAACGGAATGGCGGTCCCTGGAGAGAACACAAATAAGTTTTGTGCTCAAATAAGTTTTCACAGCCTTTACATACAAGTCAATCACCTAGGTATTAGCAAAATCCCACGAGATACTAAAGTCCTTTTAGGCCTTCTGCAGATGTGGAAACTGCCATCCTCCTACTCGAAAATATTTACTGTGTAGGTATCAGGCATGGGAACAAGGATAAAGGAGTATGATGGTTCTTTTTCCTCCCCTCAAACGTATAGGGGAATGCCATTAAATTGATTTCAAATCAACATTCCCACCTTGCTTTGCATCTGGAACTTAACATATTCAAATGAACTCAAATCTGTTTTCCTCCATTTTTCTTCATGTTAACAAATCTTGAATTCTCTTTTCATTTTCAATCAGCACATTATTATATCTTGAACCATTCCACTTACCTCCATCCCCACTTTGATTTCAAACCCATTATTTAGTTTTCCTGTTCCTACTCATGTTCCCCTCTATTTTTTTTTAAAGTTTAGAGTGCAAAATACAGTGCACATCATTTTCCTGTAACCCCCCCCATGTCTTCCTAATTGAAATAAGAATATAGGATTTCCAAATTTAAAGATTCCCCATAGTAGGAGCCTTAACTTTCTACACTAACTACACTCTTTCTGCAAATACATCAATGTCACCTACCCACAATCTTTGTGCTCAGCCTAGTTCTTCTCTAAGCCCTTTGAATGTCTTGCTCAGGTCTTGGCTCAAAGGTTACCTCTTTAAAGGGGTCTTTTCAGAGTCCTCAGTCTTAGGTAGTCCCCCCAAATTCATTCTGTTAAAACTTATCTTTATTTCCCTGTTGAGTTTTCGAGGAAGCATTTGGTTATTAACAGAAATTATTTGCTTCTCCCTCCCATTTTTCCTTACTACATTGTAAATTATAAAGGCATGGATTTGGTTTACTTCACTGCTTTATCCTCAGCACTGAAAATAGTGCTTCACATGTGTTCAGTAAAAGTCTAAAAATACTCATGTTTTAAAAATGCTTGAAAGCTGGTGGAGTGGTTCAAGTGGGAGAGTGTTTGCTTCCAAGCATGAGGCTCTGAGTTCAAACACCAGTACCACCACCACCACCAAAAAAAAAAAAAAAATTTAAAGATGTTTGAAATACTCAGATAACTTTTTTTTTTCTTTCAGAGTTTGGCAGTAGTCTTATCTTCACTGTTTGCAACAAAATGAAAGAAAAGGGCAGTAAATCCTCAATCCCATCACCCAAACAATTATTTTCATATTCTATATTTTACATACTGTCTACTTCTTACCTGTGTTTTTAGCAGGAAGCTTTTTGGGCTTAACTGGAATTTTTCCATTAGGCAAATTCTCCACTGAACTCAAATGAGTTCACTACTATACCTCATTTCTATTGCTGTTTTAAAAAACATATGCAAAATAAGGTTTCAGAAGAGGAATCAAGTATTGTGATAGTTATGGGTATTCATTTCTCTTGACATATTCTTTAATGATCCTTATATTTTTACAATAAAATATTTCCAGTAATTCTCATTGGTGTATAAGTGTAGTTTATAAGGTGGATACTATAAACTTTTTTATCGAACATGGAATAATTTGTAACAAATTTGCAAGCTCCTGCTGTGTGCAGAAGAATTTGGGTTTGGGAAGTCTGGTAAGATAGGTATGCAAATAACATAAAAAGATTCAAGATAGAGACTAATAAAGTAAAAATGCCGAAGAGACAGGAATGTCTTTTCTGTAGTAGAACCAGAAGTCCATGGATTATTATAGCACTGTTTTCTATCAAAAGTATTTTATGACTACACATAGTTTGCAAAGGTAAGTTTATTCCTCAGTAATTTTGAAAATATTTCCTTAAAGTATTTTCACGACACTGTTTACTTTTAAAAAACCAGTAATTTGAGTCTAATTTCAGTCTCTTGTGGAACATTTCTAAATTTCCTAAGGGTTATTTTTAAACTTGTTCTCAGTAATGACTACCCTATTGCTACTAGTATCTTCCTTAATTATTTCATATTTTACTCCATGTATCAGCATTCTGAGAGTTGGATTGAGAATGTTCGTAAGTAAAGTTATTTTGACTAAATGATTTGCTCTGATGTCATTAAGGTCTAATTCCCACATACGGGATTAATGACATATGGGTCACTATGACCTTGCAGTTTTCTCTTCTCTTCATTTTTTTTTCTTTTTTATTCACATGTGCATACATTATTTGAGTCATTTCTCCCCCTACTGCTCTCTCCCACCCTCTCTCCCCTTCCCCCATCAGTTCCAGGCAGGTCGTGTTCTGCCTTTATCACTAGTTTTGTTGAAGAAAAGAGACAAGCTTTCTCGTCACCTCTAATTATTTTCTCTATTTATCTTCTGTAACCTTCAGTTACATGAAATGAGCAAATTCCTTCAAATCAGAGTGCTTAAGTTTTAAATTCCGTTTTGGTAGCTGTCAAAGGGTTTGTCCATGGTGTATGTGTAAGCACTGTTGTGAATTTTCAATGTTGTTACTTTGTGTTTAGACCTATGTAAAACATAGTAACCTTTAGCTGCTAACATGTTTAATTTAGAAAACACTTTACTGAGTTAGAAAAGGCTGATTGTCCAGGTGTTGACAAATTGTCATTTGGAGAAAGTTGGCTTTCTCATCTTCATCTGTCAGTCTTCCTTGATAAGATTTACTTTTAGGAGGTAGAAAGTTAAGACTGTAAGTTGCTCAGTTTACTCATTTTTTTGAGTTAGCTTGTTATTTTTTGTATTTTACTTGGTTGTGGAATGTTTGTTATTCTGAATTTGTATTGCTTATTGGGGTCTAATTTTTTTAAGTAAGAATTTTTTTTTATCTTGAGTGTAAATGTCATGCATATCCATTGTTGAATATTGAAACATACAAAAAATCAGAAACAGTAATAAAACATCCACTAATCTGAAACGGTTAAGATTTTGATAAGAACAGTCTTATATCATTCTTAAATATTGTTAGCCTATCATTCTTTATGTACATGTGTATGTGTATATATGCCTGTGTGTATATATATGGGTTTTACTATAGTTGGATATATAGGCAGTTTTTCTTTTTTATGCTATTGTAGATGCTTTTTACTATTAAAAATTAGTAGTTTATATAAAACATGGCATTTTGAAACTGCTTAAAGCTTTAGATTGATAGTACTTACATATTCTCACATTTGATAAACTGTAGTAACTTGTTGAAATGATTGAATATGTTGACAAAATGTTACTATTTTGCTTTATAGAAATTTTGAAAATTATTATAGAGATGTTTTTACCTCATATGAACCACCTGACATTGGAACAAACTTTCTTTTCACAAGTGTTACCGAAGGTATAGTATTGTTTTCTTAATCTATATGTTATAAAGGTTGGTAAAATCTAGCCTCAGTTTTAGATAATTCTTGTATTCTAATATATCAGGCACTACTGAAGTACAACTCAGTAGTAAAAAATAGATCTCGTGATGGTGTTTTTATGATCATTAAGTGATTAAAATGATTAGCTTTTCAGAACCTTTACTAACTAATTTAAAATATTTGTGGTTGACTTACTCTTGCATTTTAAAGCTATTAAGTGAAATTTTGGGGTGGGTGATGGAAGTTAGGCAAGTCCTTTTGTTTTTATCTTTTCTGTAGTGTTTACTAATACTTGTTAAATGCAGCCCAAAGTATTAATGTCTTAGAAGAAAAAAAACTGAAATATTTGTTAAATCAAGTAACTAAGAGAAAATATTAAACTCACAGACTACATTATTGCTTTTTAAGGTATATGTGACATTTCTCTGAAAATGAGAGCCATACTGTTTTTAAAGGAAAGGGAACTAGAGGTTCTTTGGTGCCAAAGTGAGCAGATTTATTTATGATAGATAATATTTTATTAGAATGGATTTCTAAGTTTAGCTTTGAAGCAGATCATCAGAATTCCTTTTGCTCAGTCATTTGATTATATTCTTTTTGAAGAGTCTTAGAACTTTTTTTATGACCATCAGAAAAAAGTTCAGCTATTACATAGATGAAAAAAGGGATGTGAGTATTAACAGTTCTATGAGAAACAAGGTCCATTTTAACTACATAGTGTTGTTGACCTTGTTGTTGTAATACAGCATTTAGGCCATTTAAGTTGTTTAGGATGATCCCAGTCTTAAGATATTAGGATAGTTAACTTTGTATACAAAAAGCTTGTTAATTGTAAGGTTACAATACTGTACAATCTCGAATTGGTCAAAAAGGTAAACTAGTTAGAATTTAAGTGAATAATGAATGGGTAATTCAATACATATTTGTGACTGCTACCATGAATTTAGCCTCTGGGCTTTGTAAATGCCCACATAAATGTTGATTGATACGGCAGTCATCTTTTATCAGCAAACAGTAGTACTTAACATTTGATGCAGCTGCACTTGAACTCAGTGCTTTGTTTCTGTAGGTATTGCTAAATAGATTGAAATCACAGAAATACAAAATAAATCAACTTCTGGCCTGAGGGTTTTTTTTTTAAAGACTGTATTGTAGAAATGCTTTAATGACATACTTTTACTTTAATTGGCTGAAATTGTTAGGCTAGGCAATGGATGGGTATTAATTCAGAATTAAATCAACCTACTGTGGTTTTTTTTTTTTTTCCTTTAAAGGTACATTTTACTTTCCTAGTGGTTTTTATTATTCCCATTTATAATCTGGTTTGTTTTCACAGACTGTAAAATTATTTGATGATATGATGTATGAATTAACCAGTCAAGCCAGTGGACTGTCAAGCCAAAATTTAGAAATACAGACAACTTTAAGGAATATTTTACAAGTAAGTCAAGGCATTCAAAAGAGAGAGGGACCAGGTGTGGTAGTGCACATCTGTAATCCAGCATTTGGGAGGAGGCAGGAGAGTCTTGAGTTTGAGGTCATTCTGGGCTGCATAGGGAAACACTGTCTCAAAAAAAAAAAAAAAATGAGTTTTTTGTTGTTTCTTTTCTTGATGGGGCTGGAGTTTGAACACAGGGCTTTACAAGTACAGGTAAGGCACTCTACTACTTGAGCCATGCCTCTGGTCCATTTTGCTCTGGTTATTTTGGAGATGGGGTCTTGTGAAATATTTTCCAGAGGTAGCCTCCAACCACCATCCTCCCTATTTTAACCTCCCAAATAGCTGTGATTATAAGTGTGAGCCACCAATAACCAGCTAAAGTGAGAAGTTTTATGCTGATATTGACTAGCCACATATTCTTTATGTAGTGGCCTAATGCTGGAATTAAATTTATGGACTTAAAAAAATGAATACAGAAAAATGAATTCTCAATTTTTTGTACTTTTTTTTGTGGGACTGGGGTTTGAACTCAGGGCTTCATGCCTCAATGTGGGTGCTCTACTGCTTGAGTCACACCTCCAGTCCATTTTGCTCTGGTTATTTGGAGGTCTCCTGAACCAATTGTCCGGGTGGCCTAGAACCATGATCCCCCGATCTTAACTGCTTCCCCCACCCACACACACAGTAGAGCTAGGATGACAGGCGTGAACCTGTCAGCGCCTGGCTTTTTTTATACTTACTTAGGCCAGGTAAATGTCTGCATTTTCATAAGAAGATAAGTTGTTGAGATAGCACCCTACCTGCAATTCCAAGGCATACTGTCTGTTGCCTTTGCTTTTTTTAGTGCACACAAAAATATATATTTAGAATGAAACTTCTTTCTTTATTTCCAGACAATGGTGCAGGTTTTAGGAGTTCTTACAGGATGTGTTCAGCATGTCTGTGCCACACAGGAATCTGTCATTCTAGAAAGTATTCATAGTCTCCCCTCTTCAGTCCTTCATATAATCAAAAGTACATTTGTACATTGTAAGGTAAGTAATGAGTCTAGTTACTTTAAATACCCTAGAATCATGGGCAAAATGGCCAATTACAATAGTGTTTGTACATAAGATTTTTACATTTTGGGATGATGTTTTGGGGATTAACTTTCTCATAGAAAAAAGAACAAACATGTAAATAAAAATTTCAAAACAAAGGGTAACAAGGAAGTCATAAAAACTGGACTTTTGGGAGATTTTTTGTTTTCTCTTATTTCCCCTCTATAAAAAAAGAAGTGATAAGGATTTTCATTTAATCATAGGGATCATGAAATTGTCTGTCATCGCATCCATGATAGACCAATCACTGTAATGATTAGGTGCTTATTTTCCCTTTACAGTGGGAAGTTAACCCTTATTTAGTCTATTTCTACATTCCTTAGGCAGCTTTAAAGGTACAAAAGCTGGCTTAAAATCTGTAGGAGGTAGATAGTTTTGCTATTTCTGTTTGTTGGATAAGTGAAAATTAGTACTTAACTAATAATTCTATTTGGTGACAAGTCATGCACTTGACCTAACTTAATTTCCCTTTTAGTTCTATATACAAATGATCGTGGAAGTCAGAAAACATTTTACACATCCTTGTATCTCTCATATAATGCTTTATATAAAACGTATGTCCATTGTATAAAATGGATATTCACTAAAACGTTTAATGAATATGTGATCCAGTTAAAAGCATTACATTTTGATCTCTGATAGTATGAATTAAAGTAAATTTGGCTCTGGAGCTCTTTTTAATTTACTTTTTCTCTACATTTTTGTGATTAGAATAGCGAATCTGTATATTCTGGGCATTTACACCTTGTGTCAGACCTTCTCCAGGCCCTTTTCAAGGAAGCCTATGCTCTTCAAAAGCAGCTGATGGAACTGCTGGACATGGTTTGCATGGACCCTTTAGTAGATGAGACTGCTGACATTTTGAATATGGTATTAGGTGAGTGAAGAATACTTATAAAATATAATGCAGAATAACTAATTCATATATCAGTTACTCAACCCAACATTGTTTCTATTGAGTCCTCATAGCTTGCTCATTATGTGTAAAAAAAAACCAAAAACTAAACCCAGTTCTTGTCAGGTGCTCAAGCCTGTAATCCTAGCTGCTAGGGAGGCAGAGATTGAGAGGGTTGTAGTTCAAGACCAGCATTGGCAAAAAGTTCAAGTGACCCCATGTCAGCCAATGGCTGGATGAGGTGTTGTACAGTAGTTATTCCAGTTACAGGAAAGCACAAATAAGAGAATTGTGGCCAGCCTGGGCATAAATAAAGACCCTTTCTCAAAAATAACCCATGCAAAAAGGGCTGGCAGAATAGCTTAAGTGGTAGAGCACTTGCCTAGCAAATGCGAGGCCCTGAGTTCAGTCCCCAGTACCACAAAAAAGAAAATTACTGGGTGATAGTTTAGTCTTTTAAATTTTAAAATTTGTAAAATTTATTTTTGATGTCTTGTAGATTTGTAAAATTTATAGTAGATAATTTCTCCACAAAATTTAACAAAAGTATGCAACTTTATATCCTCTAAAGTAGTCTGTATTCTGAGAAAGTAGCTTTCAGAGGTTATTCACTGTACCCATTAGAAATGCAGTTTACATTCCTTCCCAGAATGTATGTAAGTATATATGTGTTTATGAATGTGTATGTGTACATCCACAGGCATATTTACTTAGCATAATGAAATAATACCTATTCTTCATGTGATGCACTCTATCATTGCTTTTTTTTTTTTTTTTTGTGGTGCTAGAAATTGAACCCAGAGACTTGTGTTTACTATTTCATTTGTAAAGAATTGCTTATTGTTAGCCAGGTGTGGTGTTGCATGCCTGTAATCCCAGCACTTAGAGGCTAAAACAAGAGGATTTTGAGTTCAAGGCCAACCTGGGATACATAGCAAGACCCTGTCTGCAAAATGAAAAAATAAGGGGTGGTGGGGGAGAGTTTGGAGGAGGTGATCTAACCAATGTACAATGTAAGGCTATTTGGAATTGTCACAACAAATCCTCACTGTACAATGAATATATGCTAATAAAATGGAAAAAAGGTTTAAAAAATTATGGATTATAACCTACTTCATTGATTTCATCACTCAGTAATGAATTATGACCCAGAGTTTGAAAAATAATACTCTAATGCATATGAGGGCGAAGATTATATTCTTAATTTTGGTGTAAGAGAATAAGTTGGTTTTGTGCAATCTATCAGGGATCTTTTGCTCTGTAACAAACAATCCCAAAAGTCTGCTGGCTTAAAACAATTATTTTGTTTATTCACAATTCTGTGAGTTTGCAGTTTAGGCTGGGATCAACTGAGACAACTTTCTTTGCCACTCATTGCAGCTGGCTCACTCATGTTTTTGCCATTCAGTAACTTTCACTTACATTTGGCTGTTGGCAGAGGCAGAAGTACTGAGAGAGTCACGTATATGATATCATTTAGAAAAGTAACCCAGACTCTGTCAGAGTTTCCAAATATAGCAAGAGAGGACAAGTCCCAGCACACAAGTACTTTCCAAATCTGAACTTACCTTAATTTTATTATTGTTCCCATTGTCAAATCAAGTCATGGAGCTATATGCCCTGAGACGGTATGGAATAGTATGGATTCAGGAGGGCATTTATTGTGGCCATTTTTACAAATTACCTACCATAGGCAGAGTAAAAGCCTTGCATGAACATGGTATAAATTAGTTTTAATTCCTCCTTGTTAGGTTTTCTTTTCTTAGCACTTTGTCATTTTTTAAGTTGCATATGTAGAATATTTCAGTTAAAATAGGACACAACTTTTTTTTTTTGGGGGGGAGGTAACAATTTGGCCTTGTGCTTGCTAGGCAGGTGCTCTACCACTTGAGTGATGCCCCCAGCCCTAGGGTACAACTTTTATGTCACTGAACACTGTTAATTATTTAGGTCATGGAGTAGATATAAACTTCAAAGTTTAGTTTTTCATAATTTTTAAAAATGTAAAAAGTGTTACATTTATTTTTCAATAATTATTTTTCATTTATTTTCAAATTGCATTACCTATTTTTTCAATTTTTTATTATTAGCATGTAATAGATTACAGGGGGATACATTGTTATAGTACATATGTGCTTATAATATATCTTAGATATACCCTCTTTTGTTCTCCCTCATCCATCCTCGCCACCTTCTTAGAAGAATGTATTACCTGTTTTAATTTGGATATTGAGATGTTCATTTGTACTTTTAAAGGTTGGAGAATCTCACCCCATGTGACATTTGAATATCCTCAGAGTTCTGTTGTCTTTCTTTGTAGTTATCCATTCCTTGTTGGATATCTGCTCTGTTATTTCCAGTATGGATCAAGCATTTCATGCCAATACTTGGAAGTTTATAATTAAGTAAGTTTGTTAGTTTTTACTTTATAGTTTTTCTGTATCCCAAATCCTAATTATTCATGTTTTCTTAGATTTCATTTGACACATTTTGTGTGGGTGTGTATAGTGTTTACTGACACTGTGGTCTGATAATCCAGATATCCTACTTGTAGCTCCCAAACCAAACTGAACTTCTTTATACTGATGCCTGTAGAAATTAAATAAATTGATAAATAAGTTCTACATAAAGAAATAAGTTCTGCCTACTTAGCTAGTTCTGAAATTACCAGGCTGTGTCTGAACCACTTTCCTGCTGTTCCTGTTGTTTAACTGACTGTCAAGTATCCTATTTCTAAACTTAGGTAAATTAGTAACTGTATGTAGAGCAATAATGTAATCCATTATATACACTTGAGTTGTTTAAGCTTAATTTCATTTACAAAGTAAATGGCCCTGAATTATTTGATGTGTTACTTGTGGTGATTGTATTCTTTTCTTTTTATTTATTTAGGCAGAGTGTTAAACACCAGTCGATTATAAAGAGCCAATTGAAACACAAAGATATAATTGCTAGCTTATGTGAAGATACTATTTTCTCCTTCCATTCTTGTTTACAATTAGCTGAACAGATGACACAGTCAGACACACAGGTAAAATATGATCTATCAGCACTGGAAAAAATAGCTCTTCCTTTGGCGGTTATAATTCTCAGTTGAACATGTGGATCACTTTACCTTTTTTTTTGTTGTACCAGGGCTTGAACCCAGGGCCTACACCTTGAGCCCTTTTTTTGTGAAGGGTTTTTTTGGAAATAGGGTCTCAAGAACTATTTGCCTCAGGCTGGCTTCGAACTACGATCCTCCTGATCTCTCCTCCTAAGTAGCTTGGATTACAGGCACGATCCACTGGTGCCCAGCTTACTTAAGAGAGTTTTAATTTATTTCCTTTTTAAAAATCTGTAGGTTTATTTATAGCCCATAGTTATTTTTCACCCAGAACATTTCATTGCATTAACTGTTTCATCACCTCTGGAGTCTACCAGTCCCTCAGATTTATGTACTAACTGGTTGGTCAAAGCATTCTCCTTAGAATCCTTTTGTTCTTTTCTGCCCTAGAACAAAATTCTGATTTCTTTGTCATGTGTTTATTTTTCCTGCTATAGCCACAGTCAACCTTTTTGTCTTTTCTTCACCAATGAAATAGAACTTTTAATGATATGTGTGTGTGTATGTGTATCTATCAGTCTTTTTTTTTGTTGTTTTTGTTTTTGTGGTACTGGGGCTTGAACTCAGTGCCTACACCTTGAGCCACTCTACCAGCCCTTTCTTGTGAAAGGATTTTTGAGATAGGGTCTTGTGAACTTTTTCCCTGAGCTGGCTTTGAATCGACATCCTTCTGATCTCAGCCTCCTAAGTAGCTAGGATTGCAGGTGTGAGCCACCAGTGACTGGCTTGTCTTTTGAAATTGGTGTATATTTATGTTTATTTTTGTCTTCCAGAAGTTACAGTGTTGAACTGACATCCCATTTGTGAAATAAATTGTGTTCTAAAAATCTGTCATAAAATAATAGGAAATTACACCTCATTTTCCTATAAAAATATAGTTCCTTTTGTTCTCAAACTAGTCCTCTAATTTTCTTTAAACAGCCCTAGATTATACAATTAACATTACTCAGGACCTAATAGTTGTATGTAATAACTTTAATGGGAAAATAAGTTGACTATTTCATCCTAGAATAGGATTTCCAGCCTCTCTTAGAGATCTACAAGCTGGTATAAGACTTCTTTGTGTCTGTGTTCTTCCCTACCAAGCAGCTGTGGGGACATGGAATATAGACATTCATTTAGGTCCCCAAGCTGGTGACAATGCCCAGGGCTGGTATAATCTGGAAGCAGACCCTAGAGGAGTGTAGAACTTTGGAAAAGGTTCTGAAAGTAAGAAAGAAGTGAGGCATAGTTTTAAAAAGGGGCTAATCTTTTTCTTCTTGATTCTTTTCTTTTTTTCCTTTCTATCCTCCCTTTAAATTCCTGCTTCCTTTACCTCTTTTCTTTTTCTCTCCCAGTTTCTTCATGTACTCTTTCTGGTTCCCTTTGCTGTGCTGAACGGAGAAGTTACTTGGTTGGCTATCCTGTGCCAATAGAGGGAGGTTGTTCCCTTCTCTACCTTTATCCTGTATACCACATATCTTCAATCCAACCTCCTCCTTTCCAATTTCCTTTTTGCCTGTCTCAACACTACACACTCTCCAACCAGTATTTGGAAGTAAGATTAGATAGAGATTCCTTTACAGGAGGAAGATGAGGAAAGCCCAAGGAACAAGAGAAAAGTGAGACTGATGATACCTATCCAGAGTGGCTATTTATATGTAAAGTTTGTCTTATATAGACTGCTTGTACATGAAAATCAGACAATTACATTGAAAATTCTCCTGACTGTCCAAGCAAATTCTTGTGTTTTTACTCATCTTTGCAAATTTGGGAATGGTAAATGTGACAAGCTCTACTCACTCACTGTCCATTACCTGAAATGGAGCTCTGAGATAGACTGTATAATTTAAATTTTGATCAGTAACACCCTCTGCTGTTTACTATTGATACTTAGGACATTTTTCAATCAGCTTTCCCCTTTTCTTAGTATGTTTGGGCTGCTATACCAGAGTGCTTTAAATTGGGTCATTTATAGATAACAGTTTATTTTTCATAGTTCTGAAGGCTAGGAAGACTAAGATTAAGGTGCCAGCAGATTCAGTGTATTGTATGGTGAGATCTTGCTCTCTGATTCTAAGATATTACCTCCTTGCTGCATCCCACACAAGGTGAAAGGGGCAAGGCAATGCTCTTCAACCTCTTTTATAAGGTCACTGATCCATTCATGAGTTAATCACTTCCCTGAAGGCCCCACCTCTTAATACTATCCAGCTGAGTGTTGGGGTCCACCATACTAATTTGGTGTGTATGGGAGGAGGACAGGGGCAACAAACATTCAGATCATAGTACATGCTTCCAAAAATGTCAAAATAAAACCAGTAGGTTTAGTTAATAGTATGGCATATATAACAGAAGGACACTAGTCCTTCTGTTAGTTTTCTGGGGCTGTCAATAACAAATGACAACAAAGTGAATGGTTCTTGAGGGCCATATTCACAGGGCTTCAGAAATGAATCTGTTTTGTCCTTTCTGTTAGCTGCTAATGCTGCTGGCAGTCTAGGCATTCCTCAGCTTACAGATGCGTTCATTCCGACCTCTGCCTCCATCTTCACAATCACATTGGCTTAGGGTGCCCCCAGCCTAGAATGATCTTGTCTCGCTAGATTATGTCTTTGGTGACCTTCTTTCCCAATAAAGTCATATTCTGAAGAATTAGGGGGTTTTTTTGGGGGGGTGTTAACAGTTCAATATATAACAGCCCTGAAGTTGGTAAAATATGCTCTACTAAATCTTGAGTTTAGGTTCAAAAAGAATATTGAATTAGACTTCTCAACATAAAGCTTTTTAGCTGCTAGTAATTTAGTGTTTCTGTGAAGATACAGAAATTTATGAGGCCCTAACATATAATTTAATTTCCATTATAATTTCTACTTTTGTTCATATAATGCTTATTAGAAATTTGTGTTCAGAGAATGAGCACATACTTTATTATCTATTGTCTACACTTAGTTTGTCTGTTACATTTAGGTTTTTTTTTTTTTGGTGGGACTGGGGTTTGAACTTAGGGCTTTGTGCTTGCAAAGTAGGCACTCTACCACTTACTTGAGCCACATCTCCAGTCTATTACTTTTAGATTCTTTCAATATTTTATTTAAAGAAAGGAAGACCTTGTTCCTTCCTATTATTGCTTATACTCTCTTTTCAACAAAATTAGAGATAAGGGCAAAATAGTTTCTGCCAGGTATCGAGGGGGGGGGGCAGAGGGAGGGGGTGGGGGCAGGGGGGAGAAATGACCCAAGCATTGTATGCACATATGAATAATAAAAAATAAATAAAAATAAAGGAATAATTGATACTCATTTTAAAACACTGAAAAATGGTCTTCTTTATATTCTCAATCCCCCTTTTGCTGATATTAGGATACAGATTTTATTTTAAGTAGTTGAGGAAATCAAGATGAAACTTAATTCATCTTTAATTTCTGCATTTTTATACTTGTATAGCAGTATGAAAAAGAGTTCTTGCTAATAATTACCAAAGGTGAGATTTTGTCTATACTTTTTTTCTTTTTTGGGGGAGCAGTACTGGGGTTTGACCTCAGGGTCTCATGCTTGCTACACTGACAGTCTGCCAGCAGTTTTGGGGGAAGGTGCCGAGGTTTTATCTTAGGGCCTCGTACTTGCTAGGCAAGCACTCTACAACTTGAGCTTTGCCCCTCTCCCTTTTTTGCTTTTATTTGTTTTTCCGATAGGGTCTCCTGCTTTTACCTGGGCTGGTCTTGGACTGTGCTTCTCCTATCTCTGCCTCCCACGTAGCTGGGATTACATGTGGGTGCTAGAATGTCCAGCCAGATACCCTGTTGCTGCTGAGGAAAACCAACTGTTTTCAATTATATCTAATAAAAGTCAAAATGAAGGGTCATATTCAATTAGTGGGCCATCCTCTTCTATTCTGATTTTGTTTAGGGTTTTGCTGTATTTGGAAAAGACTCAAACTTAATTAACAATACTAAAATTACATTTTCATATGAAATAATGTTCAAAATTAAATGTAACTTAATGTTTTTGATTAAATTTTATGGCAATAAGTTAAAGCTTTTAATTTGTCTTTGGACTTACCATGTATCCATGATAATATATCTACACTATTCTTTTTAATAGCAATATGGAATTACAGTGTATGAATATACTGTAATTATGTTTAGCCATTCTCTATGTGTTTTGGTTCATTTCAGTTTTTGCAATATAAAAAACATTGCATCTCTGTGCTAGTATTTGTGTCAGTATAGTATAATTCCACAAATTGAATTGCTGCTCAAAGAATTTTAAACTTTAGTTCTTAATTAAAATGAAGAGTATATTATTTTATGCTTCTACCAATGCTAAAAGAAAGTACCTGTTCCCCTGCTTTCCTCTTCAGCTCAGAGATATTATATACTATTTTTTTTCCTAATCTTTACTAGTCGAATAGCCCCCAGTCCTTTCCCCTCTTAAAAGATAAGTAATTAGGTTGTAATTTGGACTTTTTCAGTGTTACTTATTGATAATTTTCTTCTCTCCATACTGCCTTTTCATGTCTTTTACCTTTTTTCTTTTTATATATCAATGACCTTTTTCTTTTGACTATTAACTTGATACCTATATGGCAAAGAATGATAATAAATTTCACTTTCAAATCAACCAATAAAGATCATCTCTTTTGCTATTATGGGTTACTATTTACTTTCAGCATTGTAGAATTGTTTTAAATGCCTTAATTGTCCTTTGGTTTGTTTATAGTGCTCCTACCAACAATAGGGAGAATAGTTAATGTTTTCTTAGAAGATTTGTATACTCTTATATTTATTAAATCTTTTGGAAAATATTGTCTCATTCACAAGTTTAGCTAATTGCATACTCTTATTTTTATTATGCTTGCTTATTTCCTTTATTGAACAGGATAACGCTGACTACAGATTATTTCGGAAAACACTCAAATTGTGTCGTTTCTTTGCTAACTCCCTTTTGCACTACACTAAGGTAAGGCCTTTTTTTTATGATGCCTAAAATGTAAAATTTATACTAAATCATAAGTTATCTTTATCATTTATGCCAAAGCCAATCTTTTTAGTTTATTTTTTCATGATTCAGTATTATTGATTATGAAATACTGAGCATCTATAACATTTTTAAGTTGTTTCCATCATTGTTATTTTTATTAAATTTTCTGAAAAAATTATCTCCATAAATATAAACATAAAATTATTTTTGTAAGTATAAGTCAGTTTCCAGGAAATTGAAATTGCCTTTAAGTACCATTTACAGAGTATTTTTATAAGTTTTTTTGTATTGGATTATTACGATTAAATGATCACACCTTTGTAGCTGTCCATCTTAAGGAGATGTACATGTTTGGGGTCATCAGAGTCTGAAGTTTTATGAAGGGAATAAATAAGTTGTCTAGGCAGATTGGAGAGAGAATAGCAGCCAGTGAAAAAAACATTATTAGTAAGAGATGCTAATGGGTTTAAAAAACTGTTACCTGTGTTGAATGTGTTTTGACCTGGTCTTCCTCCTTCTTGAGGTAAGATAGGGATTTCCAATGACTGTTTATTATAATTAAGTTCATGGCTGGCACACTGGCTCCTGACACATGCCATCCTATTTTGTGTGGACCAAGTTGGTCCTTCTGGGAAGTTACCTCTTACAGTAATTGTCTGCTTTTTACACTGGGTTCCTTGCAGTATTGCAGGGTGTGTGCTTCAGTGGTATTGTGGGAGGTGCACCAACAGCACATGATACTTGCTTGGTGTATAGAAGCCATTTAAAAAAAAGAAGTGTTTTCCCATCAGGGAAATTTGAAAAATTTAAGCTGATCACCAGCTTTTTTTCCTCTACATGTTATAATTCAGTGTAAGCTATTGCTTTCTAAGAGATAGCATGGTTATAATGGATGAAGAAATCACACCTGGGCCTTGAATCCCTAGCCTTACTAGTTTTTACCTGTATGATTAAACTTATTCGATATCTGAACTTCAGCTTTCTATTTTGTGAAATGGGGATAATAATTCATAGTAAGTTTTTTGAGAAGACTAAAAGTAAATGAAGTAAGGTATGTAAAGTCAGTTGATACATGTCTGGTTACATGGTAGGTGCTCATAAGTGATAGCTGATAGCTATAGTTGTGATGGTAGTAGTAACAGTAAAGAGTTTTAGGTAGGTAACCTCTTCCTCCTTTTTGTTCTCATGTCTTATGTAAGGTTTTTTTTTTGTTGTTTTGTTTTTTAATGCGGCACATTGAGGGCTTTATTTCATACAAAGAATGAATAGAACTGTTTTGTTTTAGGAATTTCATCCTTTCCTCTCTGATTCTTGCTGTATATTGCACCAGCTTTATCTTCAGATATACAGGTAAAAAGAATGTTTTATGATAATTAAAATATAACAGTGCCATTTGTTACATGCAAAGCTCAAATGTACATCAATTTAAAATAAAACATTGGAGTAATTTTTCTTATTAATGTTTCAGTAAATTTTTATCTGCTTGCTTAAAATAATTGGAGTGGAAGTTTTGAAGGATAAATTCCATGTGACTTTTACTTATTTTTGTATTCTTAACTAGTTAACTTATGTGGGAGTAATAAATAATTGATAAGGCAAGAGATTATATATACATGCCCGTATTTGTATATTTTTTGTTTTGGTAAATCTGGAAATTGACTTATTTGCAATTAAAAAGTTAACTTTATGGGTTTAATAGTAGTTTGAACACAGTAGAAGAAAAGAATAGTAAACTTAACATCGAGACAGTAGAAATTACCCAAACTATGTAAGTGTAGTCCCAGAGGGAAAGGGGAGAGAGGATGTGTGTGTGTGTGTGTGTAACAACAAAGGCTGAATGTTTTGCAAATTAAATCTTTACTTGATTTTTCTATAGGATAATTCCATAAAATGATTTTTTTTTAACTTCTGGAGATTTATCATCTAGGTGGCAATTCAAAAGTAGAAACTTTGATGACTTATTTTTCCCAATAATAGATGTATATCATTGGTAAAATGTTTTAAACTTTACCCACCCTGGAAGGGAGGTTGTGAGGGAGGTGGCCCAAACAATGTATATACAAGTGAATAAATGTAAAAATGATAAAATAAAAAAATTAAATAAAAAAAACTTTACCCACTAATGTTACTATAGTAACATTCCTAAGGGAAAAACTCAAAATTATTAGCAGTCTGGTTGCTAGGCTGAAACAAGTGTTGATATTCCCAGGGGGTATAATAGAAAAGTGTGCACAGTAGTTAAAGATGAGCCTACTCAAAATTTTATTTTAGTTTCACAGTATAACTAAACACAGTTCTGGGCAAGTTGCTTACCTTCTCCAATTCCCAGATCTCATCTATAAAATGAGATAATAATAGCTCCTGCTTTGCAGGGTCTTTGTTTTGATTGAGATAACTTGTGCATATTTCCTAATACAGTAAACATTCAAATGTCTCCTCACTGTGTCACTACCAATTTCAGAACCTAGAAAAGTGCCTGTGTGAAGGCACAGAGAGAGAGAGACCATCCCCACACAAGTTCTCTTATCTATTCAGCTGGCCTTGGGAAGCTAGAATCTTCAGGGAGGAAAAGGACAGTATCAGTCAACCTTTTCTACTCTGTAAGCGTGTTGTTACCTTGTTTTTGATTTTTATTTTTATTTTGGTGGTACTTGGGTTTGAACCCAGGACCTTGCCCTTGCTAGGTAGTTGCTCTACCACTTGAACCATGCCCCCAGCCCTCTTTATTACTTGTTTATATACTTCTGTGAGGGTTGTGTGTGTGTGTGCGTGTGTGTGTAGTCCTTGTGCTTGCTAGGCAGATATTTTACTGTTTGAGCCACATCCCCAGTCCTTTTTTTGCTTTTTTTTTTTTGGATAGAATCTCACATTTCTATCAGCCTGGGACCACCACAGTCCTCCTACCTAAAGCTAAAGTATCCCTCATAGTTGAGATGACAGATTGTCACCACCATGCCTGATTTGTTGGTTGAGATGACAGTCTCGCTAACTTTTTCCTGGACTGGCCTTGAACCTCCTTCATCCTCCCAATCTCTGGGATTACAGTTGTGAGCCACCCCCCCCATATATACCCCCACCCCCTGCCCCTGCCACCACCATTTCCATGAGGTTTAGGTTGATTACTAAGCTCTAGCTTAGAAAGGTAACATACTTTAGATAAAGGCTAGTGACATTGACAGTTACTTCAAAAGAGCCCTAAATTTGACACTAAAATAATCTGTCAGTTCATTATCCAATAGTCCTATTACATTTGCCCAATCCATTTACTCTGCTAGACAATTTTTTCATACAATTAATGAATGAGTCTTTCCCTTCCCTTTCCAGCAAGTTTCCTCCAAGCCTGTATGCTGTCAGGGTTTCCAAAGCACACCAGGAAGAAATAGCAGGTACTTTTCTTGTGACCCTGGACCCACTCATCAGTCAACTGCTTGCATGCCAGCCTTTCATGCAGGTGGTTTTGGATAGAAAAATAGGTAAGCTTCAAAATAGATTTAATGTTAAATATCTATTACTTATAATATGTTAGAGGCAGGGTTATTTTCCCATATAATCATTCTTTTTTAAAAGTTTTATTTAAAATTCCTCCCATTTTTATTGAAGCGTGTTTCTCACTTTATAAAGTTATGCCTGTAATTTCTTTATAATAGCAATTAAATTTCTGCTGAAAATATTTAGGGTATGTTTTTACTAATTTGTTGCAACTTAATTACCTGTAAGACCTGCCATGTGAACTACAGTTCCCACAATGCCTGCTTCTGGTTGTTGTGATGGATAAGCTGCCCTCACAGCCTGTGGATGTACAGACACTGTGGTGTGCAGAAAGCCAGCTCTCAGAGTCTGCAACCAGGTAACACACATGTTGTTTCTATCTAATCATGTTACTGGTGTTTTGGAATGCCCTAGTATTTGAAATGTCTTAAGTTTAAAGCTACACATAGTGCATAGTGTGTGTCTATAATCCCAACTGCATTTAAGGGTGAGTCAGGAGGACTGATGAAGCCCAAAACCTGGCTCTAAGCTTCCTTTTCACCTCCTCAAAAAGCAAAGCACATCATATTCTATTGCCATGTACTTTTGCTTCATGCCCTTTCATGCATTTCGAACACATAAACCTGGCTTCTGTAAGGCTGGTTATTTGTCTGCCTTATACACAGGCTTTGTCTTCTTTATCTGTTTATATTTTACCTAGCTTTAATTTGTCACTTAAATCCTTTATGAAGTTTTCTTCAACCATTGCAATATTAAAATGATTCTTCCCTTTCTGAATTTTTTACTACTTATTTTGTTTCGTCTGTAATATCTTATTTATCTGTTTTTTAATCCTTAAAGACCTTTGACTTTGATTTTGTATAACTGAGTATATTTGGTAAATGATGAACCTTTTTTTGTGTGGTACTGGTGCTTGAACTCAGGGCCTACACCTTGAGCCACTTTACCAGCCCTTTTTTGTGATGGTCTTTTTCGAGATATAGGGTCATACAAACTGTTTGCCCCATCTGACTTCAAACTATGATCCTTCTGATTTCTGCCTCCTGAGTAGCTAGGATTATAGGAGTGAGCCACCAGTACCTGGCTTGAAACTGTTTTTTGTGCAGGAAAATTCTTCAAATTCTCCTTCAAAGAGTTTCTCTGACAGTTTATTTTATGTGTATACATATTTGTAAGGTATTAGCAACCATTTATTTACCTGCTAATTAGTAACTTATTAATGTTGGGTTCAATGTTCTCAATTTTCCTGCAGGATATCTCTACTCAAAGCCATTTTCTACAGTTTTGAGCAGTGTTCTGGTGAACTCTCTCTACCTGTTCATTTACAGGGAGTAGAGAGTAAAGGACAAGCTGAGGTGGCTGTGACCTTGTATCAGCATGTTTGTGTTCATCTGTGTACATTTATCACTTCCTTTCATCCTTCATTGTTCCCTGAGCTGGTGAGCAGGTTACTTACTGGGATACATGGAGGTTACACTTTTGCTTTTGAGTGAAATTGTGATTTATGTGCAGAAAGAAGAGTGGGAGTAGTTAAAAAATATCCCTTTGTAAATATTATTCCCTCAACTTGCACATTTTACCCTTTAATTTGGTCGTGCCTTAAGAAATAGTAATCCTTGATTCCTATAGTACTTAGCTCTAATATTTTAAACTAAAATATTTGAGAAAACATTTTAAGTGGGAAGGTATGGAAAAAGCATTGTAAGGTAGGAAGAAATGAGAAGAAGATGTGACCTAAGTTTAGTAAAAGAAGTAAATAGTAGTGTGCAGTATTTTGTCTTGTATAGATTGATCTCACGCCTGATATAGATGATTTTATTTTTAATGGAATTGGATAAGAGGTTGAGAAAGTTCTAAGAAAAATTCCTAGAATTTGTGTAGGGATCAGTATTGTTTATGATACTATACAATGGGATACATCTAGCATATTTTAAATATTACATGTGAATAGTTTAAGGCAGAAGGAAAACTATAAGGGTATATTTCATTATTGCATTAAAGCTTTCTGCGTACTTAAAGAGTATATGTGTTCTAATGGTTGAGTTACCATACTGAAAACCAGGTTTGATTCCCCATAGCCTGACATGATTAATGCATAGTAGGTGCTCAGTAAATGTGGATGGAGTGGTATCCCAGGTTCTTCAGATGCCACAAAGTAGAGCTTTATACTGAGGATCTGTTCTTTGGATTCTGATAGTGCCTTCATGTTTTGTGTGAGAAATATGATTTTTCATGAGATATAGCATGTTTAATAAATTAACATTTCTGTTTTTCATTAGGATGCTGCTCTATTGGATGCTGTGCTTAGTTCTAAAATGATCACCTCTTTGTTAGCTATGGATGCATGGTGCTTCCTTGCTCGGTACGAGATACTTCTGTTTGGGCATTTGGTTTGGTTTTTAGTAGTGACTAACGGTAAATGATTTTATAGTTTTAAGTTCATAGAAAAATTCTGTTCCAGTAATTCTTTAATAGCACCTCAAAATAGTTTGATTTTATAACACAGTACTAAATTAGGAAACAGGGAACCATTCCCTCTTCTTTGGTTCAAGCCAATAGCTGAATATTAGGTGGTTTTGTATATTGTGATGTTCCTTGGTCATGGACATAGACGTTGAGTGTGCCTAATCTGAAATCCAAAATGCTCTTGAGCACAGACATGATGCTTAAGTGGAAGATGGCACACAATGAAACTTTGTTTCATGCACAAGATTATTAATAATATTGTGTAAAATTACCTTTGGGTTATGTGTATAAGAAGCATATGAAACATAAATGAATTTCATGTTTAGGCTTGTGTCCCATCTCCAAGACACTATGTATATGTAAATATTCCGAATCTGAAAAAATCCAGAATCTGAAGTACTTCTTCTAAATCAGTTTAGAAAAGAGATAATCAGCCTGTAACAGTAGTTTACATGTTCTCACCAGAATAGTTATAGCTTCATGGATGTTTATCTCCTTTTTCTGAATAATTGTAGAATCTCAAATTGCCTTCTTTGTACATTGCAGATATGGTACTGCTGAACTCTGTGCACACCATGTCACCTTAGTTGCTCATCTGGTGAGTACAGCTGCAAGGTCTGAAACACCCCCTTTCCATGTGTTTTCTTAGGGGATGTGGTAATTTTGAAGAATGTGAATAACAAAAGGATAAATAGTATGGTAGCTAAATTGTTTTGACATTATTCTACATTAATCCTGATACTAATAAAGTTCAGTACTAAAAAACTTTTATGTGTAAAACTTGGGAAATTTCCTCTTTTCAGAATTTTATAGAGTTCCACTGGTTATTCTGGGAAATAAAGACCAGGATAACTAAGATAAAAACTGAATTGAATGCAAAAAAGAAAATAAGAGTTATTATAATGTTGATAACAAAATGTTCATCTTGTCCTTTTTTTAATGTGACTGCAATTGATTCTTGAAGCCATGTTTTGTAGTACAGAGAGACAGTGACTTAATGATTTCCTTTAATCTTTTTGATGTTGATAGTTTTTGTTTTTAAATTTTGAAATGATGATGTGTTCCATATGAGATGGTTATGACCTGCCATTTTTTTGTCCTGAAGTGAATTATCTTACCTTCCATGGCTAATAGTCTGATCATCATTTACTGTACTGAATCGCTAACATATCTTGCACAAAACTGATTTTGATGTTAATATGTTTTATATATCAGGGTAAATCTTTTAATGAAGCATCCATCTTACAGATTTATATCCACCTATACCTCTGCACTACTGTGCTTAGATCTAAGAAGTGACAGATATTAGGGACTAGACATAGTGGGTCATGCCTGTAATCCCAGCTATTTGGGAAGCAGAGAGAGGAGGATCATGGCTCCAGGCCAGCCTGGTCAAAAAGTTAGTGAGATCCTATCTCATTGTAGGTCATGCTTGTAATCCCAACTTTATGGGTGGTAGAGGTTGGAGAATTTTGTTCAGGCCAGTCTGGGCAAAAGTGGGATACTTGTTCTGAAAAGGAACTATAGCTAGAATAAGGACTAGGCATATGCCTCAAGTGGTAGAACACTTGCCTTGCAGGCTGTCCTGAGTTCAGTACTGAAAAAACAACCACTAAATAAATAAATAAAATTTAAAAATAAAAAAACCTGAGATGTTCTCTGAATTATCAAAACAGTAATTAAAATAGAAATTACAAAGTATTGTTTTTAAGTATGTCAGATTTTGTTATGGAAGCAGTCTAGGCTCATTGAAAAAAATTCAAGAAAAGCCTCATTAAAAATTAAAATTAACTATAATCTTATCCCCCAGAAAGAGTCATTAATATTTTGACATATAATTATGGTGTTAAATCTGTCATTTTAAATGAGGTAATCTCTTCTCTGTGCTATTTTTCCAGATAAAATCTTGCCCTGCAGAATGTTACCAGCTCATCAATCTGTCAATACTGTTGAAGCGTCTCTTTTTCTTCATGGCTCCACCCCATCAGGCAAGAATATTGTCTTTGTTACTGTTCTCAAGCAACTGATGAAAACTGGATTCAGATTCCCTTAAAGTGCCCCCCCATTTATGCTGAATTTAAATGTTGATGTGATTTGAGCATAAAATTTTAACATTGATTGCTTTGCTTATTGATTTTAGGTAGGTATTGATTTTGATGTTGCTGCTTCAAAAAATAATCTGATAATCTGATTCCATCTTCCTGAAGTACCTCTTTGCCCTTGCTTTTCATATATTTGGTGTACATGCAGTGAAATAGTTCTGTATTCTCGGTTAATTTACTTTGAAGACACAGAATAATATCCTTTCAATGTTGGCTCTTTTTCATAATAAATAAGTTGAACATTTAGGGAAAAATTGCAAGTATGAGGAGCCTTAGCTGTGTGCTGCTATGAAGGAAACAAGTTCTGCCATGACTGAGGAGATTCTTACCTGCACAGGCCTGGGTATCCTTGTGCAGTCTGTTGGACTGGTCACATCAGAAATCCTGTAGGAGGTTGTTTTTTATAAATGCAAGTTTTTAGACTTGAACCTGAGAATGCAGCCATGGGTATGAAGTAAAGCTCAGTCAGTGATTTGTTATTGTTTAACTCCTACATGACTCTGATAGGGAGCCAAGCTTGAGAATCACTAGGTTAGTGAAGGGGACTTGCCTTTAAGTTCCTACAGGCTTGGGCTTGAGATCTGAATTAGTTTCAGTGATGCAGAATTAGCATAAATAAAGACAATTTCAGAATGATTATGCTTTAGTTAAAGAAGAAAAAAAAGTGATGAATGATAATTTGTGGGGAAATGCCAGTATATTTGGATATATACAGTACTGGGGATTTAGGGGGTGGCTCAAGTGTTAGAGTGCCTGCCTACCAAGTTCGAGGCCCTGAGTTCAAACTCCAGTACTGTCAAAAAACAACACTAAAAACAATCTCTGTGAGGCAAAGTTTTGTGTTTCAGTATGGGGAATTAATTATTGAGTATGTATAACTGTTAGTAACTAACTCGTTTCATTTGAAAAAAGCAAAAGTTCAGAGTTACCTAGTTGTAGGGAAAGTATTTAATGCCTTATTTAAGGGCACTAATAGTTGTGTTACTATTTTTATGTAAATAAAAATCACTGTATTTGCATTTTAAGCCCACAGGTGTATCTCTTCTCAGTTTTGAGGAGGGAGCTCATTATCCTCTATGTATTTACCCCTTCTTCATTCCTTATGAACTATTGTTAGCCTTAGCAGTTTAAAATCATTTATTTTGGTGGGTCTGGGATTTGAACTCAGGGCTTTGAATTGCTTGAGCCATACTTCCAGCCCATTTTGCTCTGGTTATTTTGAAGACATGGTTTTGCAAATTGTTTGCCCAGACTGCCCTTGAGTCTTGTTTTTCACAGTCTCGGCCTCCCAAGTAGCTAGAATTACAAATGTGAGCCAGCGATGCCCAGTGTGCAGTTTTAAACATTGAAAATGTTTTTGAAGCTAGAGTTTCAATAGAAACCAAAGTTTCAACCTGAGTTCATAGAATCTTGAATTCTATGTAATAAATTTTGTTAACCTTTTTATATTGTCCAAGGCATTTTATATATATATACATATAATATATAATTTATATTTATGTATGTAGTATATAATTTATATGTAAAATTATATATACAAATATATATAAATGATATATATAATATATAAATAATATAATTTATATATATAAATTAAATAATTATATATTATATATAATTTATATTTTGAGAAGGGAATTGTTCACGCACTCATTGAACTTTATTGTAAAGAAGAACAATATTTGAAGTGATGTTCACTAGTTAGCATGATTCTCTTGGCTTTCCTGGTGCAGTTTGGTTTTTATGATAAAGCTACTTGTTATATTGGACACTTATCAAGAGAACCATTTTTCTGACTAGCCTCTATCACAGCAGCTGACCACATAATCTCTTGCTTGTTTTGACAAGCTAAGTATTTTGTGCAAATGAAATAAAATTCAAATACAAATATAGCATATTACAGAAAAGTTTGTCAACTTTAAAATACTGCTTTGGGTTTAAAGGGGAACTTTTCCTGAGTTTTTGATGTAGGAAAAGTTTTCCTAGATTAAGGACATTTAAGATGTAACTTGAATTGCTTCATTTCTTTAAAAATACAATATACTTCCTAGTTAAATTGTACTTCAGTAATTAAGTGCATCATTTTGTTGTTTTTTCCGCAAGTTTAATTAAAACTTTAACTGCTTTTTAGAACTTTTGTTTCCCATTAGTATCTAGTTTTGTTGACACCTGCATTTTAATGGAACAGTACTGCTTCTCTGTAAGCAGTAAGCACTTAGAATTGTTATCTCAGTTGTAAGAATGGATTTGCTAATTACACTTTTTTTGTTTTGTGGCTTACCTTTGTGAAACTAATTTAGGATGTCATCTAAAGTTTAGCACAACCAGCTAACCTATTTGAAAACTGGAAGCTGTGTTTGCTTCTTTTAAGTTCTATACTGTAGTCAGCTGAGATAACTGTAAGCTAGAAGAATTGGCTTAATAAATCTTGTTGGCATATTTGGAATGTTACTTTTGAATAACTATACAAGGTGTTGAGTACTTACAAAGTTAGCAGACCTAATGGATAGTCTCAAGATAAAATATCTGGTGTGATTTAATAATAAAATACATTATTTAACATTTCTTAATATATTTTGGCTTATTACTTGGACTTTTTATTAGTGTATATTATACCCAGTAAGGGTTTTACTATATTTCCATAAATGCATATAATGACTTGGATCATATTAGCCCATCTGTTAGTCTTTGTCATTCCTCCCTCCTTTATGTTTTTCTGATTTTTAGTGGATTTCATTGTGGCATTTTCATATGTGCATATAATGGACTTCAGTTATATTCTCCATCCCATCACCCTTACCTCCCCCCACTCCTACACCCCCTAGTGCATTTGTATCCTGCTTCATTTAAATTATATTTTTTATTTTGGTAACAAATGCAGCAGCAACAAAAACAATCACGTTCAAAGTCACCTTGTATTGGTACCTAGTGATATTTCCATGTAATTAAAAAGCCTTTTAATATATTAAATGAGAAAGTTAATACTTAGTTCTTGTGCATTCAGTCTTCCAGTTGTCTTAGGTTATTCTTACTTCTTTTACAACTTATTTCAGGTGGAGTTTATCCAGAAGTTTTCTCCAAAAGAAGCAGAAAATCTGCCTCTATGGCAATATATTTCCTTCCAGGCGTTTTCTGCTGAACTTAGGAAACAAACTGCACATGAAGTTACCAAAGTAGGCACTGCACAGTGCAGGAAATGGCTAGGCAGCAGTCGTACTTTGGAAGAACTCGAATCTCTGGTAATTTTGATTGCTTTGATTCATTTAGCGCTGTTTACTGAGCACTGTTTCAGGTAATAGGTTGGTAATACGATAAACATAGTCTTTGCTGTCTCTAAAACCTAGGAAGATTTTCAGATTTGTACATTGTAAAGGGATCTCTGAGAACTTAGTGTTATCTTGATGTAATTGTATTGGGAGTGGGTGTTCCCTGTATTGCCTAAGACGTGAGACAACATGAAATAATTCATTTTTGTTGGTGCGTGTCTGGATTAGGCAGTTTTTTTGGTTTTTTTTTTTTTTTGAAACAGTGTTTTGCCATGTATCCCAGGCTGGTCTTGAGCTAGGAATCCTGTCTCTGCCTTGCAAGTGCTGAGATTACAGGCATGTGATACCATGGCAAGCTTGGACACACAATTTTAACAAAATACAACCTGCATTTTATGCAAACCTGCTCTGAACTTTTATATAGCTTTCTACTTAGAATATTTTCTTATAAAATGATGGACTACAAAAGACTTATTTGCCAGAAGTAGAAAATATGTGATTTTTAAAAGTTGACTAGATATAGCACATGTAGTTAAAGTTTCCAGTTCAGTGTTCATTTGCCCATTAATTTATTCAACAAATATATTTTGTGCTAACCTCTGTTCTAGGCATCAGGAAGTAGATATATCAAGGAAGAAAATAAAAGTTTTTGTCTTATGGGCTTATATTCTATACAAGCTATACAGTACAGTGTATGGTAAATGGAAAAAAATTAAGAAAGGATAGGGACATGGCACTTGGAAGCCTATTTGCAGTTTTTAAATTAGGAGTTCAGGGTTTTCTCAGGGCACACATTCCTATACTGAGTAAATATTCTGATATTGTTATATAATGATAGTGGACCATAAATGTGATAATGTAAAAACATTTGCATATATCCAGAGGAAGTAAGTCTTTATATGTCTTCATTTGGGAAGAACTATTAAATACCTATTTACAAGTTGGTTATATTTATTGAGGTTTGCATTTAATGTGCACTAATTTCTAGGTACCCAGCTAGCTCAGTTAGTAGATTCTTAATGTGTATTATACTCCTGTAATAAAGGGAAAATCTCTTTTTATATTAGGTAAAAGCACCAGTTTTCTAAAATTGAATAATCCCTTGAACTAGGACCCAAACTCACTGAAACAGGCATATGTGTAAAACAAAATTGGTAAATCTTGAGTAAGTAATTACATAAAATTAAGTGTAGTTGTTTAAGTATAATAGGTTAAAGTCATTGTTACTGATCAGTAGGTTTTCCTGTGGCCTTCACCCTAACCCATACCTCAAACAATTCCATTCCTGGCCAGAGAGAGAGAGTTCAATATTTATACATGTAGGTAAGGTTTTTAGTTTCAAATTCTAGGTAGTACACTTCTCAAGGACTATATTTGCTTATTAAATGCAGTGTTGCTGAGAAATCTCAAAGTGTAGAACAACAGTAAAAATCTAGTAACCTATAAACATTGCTGGTGCATAATGTGAAAAAAATAGAACTTTTCATTAATGAACTGCTGACCATTTGTGTAAATCCTGTTTATAAAGAAAACTGTATAGTTTTAATAAAAATATACTTGTATTAAAGAAACAGCTATGAAGATGGCTTCAGCTCTTAGAAATATTATTTTACATGGATTTATATGAAGAGTTCTGAGTAACTCATACAACTTTTGGGCAGTTGAGCTCCTGGTCCTCCAGACTGCTTTCTAAACTCAGGTCCTTTCCCTTTTTCCCCGTTTAGAACATAGCACTCTCTGCTTTGCTTGCTGTATGTAATTCTGCTAGTGAAGCTTTGGATATTGGACAACAAACTGAAGTTATTGAAGTTGCAAGTCAGCTCTGGGTTTTTTTAAATGTTAAACAGGTAAGGAAAGCCTACTGACCATTTCTCTGAAGAACAAAAATACTGAAAAATAGTACTGAAATTTCCCTATAGAGTACAATTTTATCTAATTCCTTTCGGTTCTTAGTAGAACTTGTGATGTACTCTCTCAGGAAGTTCACTTTCAGAGACTGATGGCATTATATTAGTAATATTAGGATCTAGTAAAGTGACAGTGATAGTCTATTACATATTTGCATGATTTGTTGGACTTTTAAAAAAATTTCTTCTCCTGGCTATTAGGTAGAAAGGGAAAAGAAAAAGGGAAGTATGGATAAATAAAGAGTAACACAGGGGCAAATATCAAAGACATAAATAAGCATGTATGGAAGTGTCACGATGAAACATGTTACTATGTACAGTTTATGCCAATAAAATACACACTTAAGAAAATGTCTTCCCCTTATTATGAGGGAGATAGAATGAGAAGGGAAAAGGGGAAGGGAGTGTAGTAAAGAGTAGTAGAGAAGGTAAATATGAACAAAGTACATTATGTGCATGCATGGAAACAATGAAATCCCTTTGTACAATTAATATATGCTAATAAAAAATCTCTTCCCCTATTATTTCTGTTCTCTCTTGGGTTAATATAGCCTATTTTTATGATTCTAGGATCTCATAAAATCTTTTGGGTACTGAGAGAAATGTGACTTAAGAGGGAAAGGGTCTAGTGGATGGATGTTACTAATTTGTATTCCTCTTCCAGGAGTCATGATCTGGCTAAAATTAGAATGACATATATTCCATACATGGCTATAAAACTTATGTTTCTTAATTAAAAAAAATCAAAATATGTCTTTGACTAGTTAATAATAAATGTGACTTTGACAACCAGCGGAAGCAGAAGGCAAAACCTGTCTGTACTTTTTGGAAATAATAGAAATGATTGTACATCATTAATGCCTATTAATGGTCACATTGCCCTCTTGCAGAATTTTGACTTCAATAAGTGCCTTCTGTTGATGCTTATACATCATTTAATAAATAACACAGGTTATCTGTGTTAGGGATATACCTTAACAATAGTATGACATAAGCAGTAGGTATGAAGATGACGGTACATATATAAAGTAATTAGATCCCCTTTAGAGTTAAATCTGGATTTGATTCATGGCTCTTCTTTTTCCTAGCCTTGTTATCGTCAGCAAATTATTTAACTTCTCTCACCCTTTTTATTGGTAAAGTAAGAATAATAATATCTATACCTTGTAAAGTTGCTGTAAGTCATAGGTGAGATAAAAAATATAAAGCACTTAATCTATTGTCTGGTATATAATAAATGCTCAAAAAACTTACTATTACAGCTGTTCTCGTGTAATTGAAAATTTTCACCAATACTGTTTCTTATTTAAGGTAACCAGTCAACCCTATGTTCAACAGACATTCAGCCTTTTACTTCCACTTTTGGGATTTTTTGTTCCAACTGTAGATCCTCAGCTGATAAGTCAGGTAATAATAATGATGAAGTTGATGTTTTCTTTGTTAAGGAGTTTGCCAAAGTGGTCTCACTTAACTTCATAGATTGTCTGTTTTAATGATTTATTCCTTAGTTTGCTCATAACCTCTTTCTTGAACTAAATGTGTCACAGATTCATTTATCTTCATCAAGATGTCTCCTTCCTTCTTTCTAGCATTTGGTATATTGGAATGTTCATTCAGTCATTTTCTGTTCTTCCCTATCATATTAGGCTGAATGTTTTCTCTATTGGGTAGTCAGAACTTTTTGTGGTTGCTGTCAATTTCCCAAGGACTCCTAAGTCCCTCAGGTTAGGAATCATAGTTCCTGTGTTAAAAACCTATTCATGGCATTTCCAAAGGCATTTTCAGCAGCTATAGATTTTGGAATATTACCAACATAAATTAAAGGATGATCTTCATTGTTTCTTTGAAGAAATAAAATTATTTTGAAAGCAGAGTACTGCAGAGGGCATAATCTCTTTGGAACCTGGCTTATATGGCTGGAACAGGCAAGTGTGAGCCACTGGGAGATCCTTGTGGTGGAGCTTCATAGGTTCTGAGCCATCAGAGAAAGAGAATGAGAAAGGCCTTTTTATGTAAAGAGTTAGAGGCTTTGGAATGAGTCCATACTAGATAGAATTGAACCCTAAAATTAGGAGCTAGCTTTGGCTCAAGGTCAGATAGTAAACAGAAACTGTTAAGAGGAGAAATTAACACTTCCTATTTAGGAAAATGATAGAAGAAATGACAGACATCGTTATCTTGTGGGGTGGGATAGAAAGAATAGAAACTAGTAATAGCTTTGTTTTGAGCATCTCTTTAGTAAATGGTGTGTATACAAATTACCAAGTATTAATTATATTTTTTAGTAACTGTGTAACATGAGGTTCTAAATTTAAAAGAATGAAATTACAGTAAAATAATTGACCATAGTAATTTGGATTTGCTGATCCTGAAAGTTCTAAGATTCTTTTTGAAAACTTAAATGCTGATAATTTTAACGTGCCTACTTTTGAAAAGCTTAAACCTCTTAAGATTCCACTGTAATTTCTCATAGGAATTACTTCCTCTTTGACTTTACTTTAGTGTTCCTTTAAATCAGGAGTTTGCAAACTATAGCCTTCTGGCTTAACTTTTACCCTTCTGTGTTTATCCCAAGAGCAAAGATTTGTTAAAAGCAAAACAAAAACAATATGCATTGGAGAATGTGTTGCCTGCAAAGCCTAAAATACTTAACTTATGTACCTTTTACCAAAGAAGTTTACCAAGCCTTGCTCTAAATAATGAATTTCTCCCAATAGATTTTGAAATACAAAATAATTTTTAGAGGTTTGGCATAGAAAGTTTTTCAGGAACACAAAATTTTTTTATTCCCAAGTGGTTGAAGGCAGGAGTCTGTGGTAAGAATACTGAAATAACTGACTCCTTCATGTTATTTTCTTATTCAGATTCTGCTGTGAAATTCAGACTTTATGAACTGTTTGGTTCTTCTGGCTTTTGTGTTTCCTCCTGATGTAACTATCCAAATATTAGGTAGTTGTCCGTATACAGAATACTGTTTTCACTTATAAGGGCTCTTTGGTTTTTACCTCTTCAGGTAGTAACTTTACAGACCTCATTACTCAAATTAGAGCCTCCTGACCATGTCCGCTTGGCAATCGTGGATTTTGTACCTTCTCTAGGAAGACTTTTTATACCTAAAGCTATTCAGGTAATAAACTCCTAACTGTTGTTCCTGTGCTATTAAAAATAAAGTCTCTGTAATGACTAAGGATGTTTTAGGCTTTGACTTCTGAAATTTCATTAATTACTAACAAAGAAGGTTGGAGGGAGAAAAAACACTGACATGAGTTTATTTTTTTTAGAAAAATATGTTGATATACACATAATTTATTGGGTTGACTACTGTACTCTGATATAGAAGATTCTCATTAAGTTTGGCTCCAGCAGGAAAAACTCATGCCTGCCAGGCAAAAGCTTGGTAATTTACTGGAGTTATTCTCTTGATATTACATTCATGAAAGGGAATCTATTTTAAAAGTCAGTAATTTTGAAAATGTTGCAAAAAAGTGTATATAGCTGGCAAATAGGTATTTATAATTGTAATGGCTTAGGGAAACATGTACTGGAATTTAACACAGACCTCATTGCAAAAGAAGAGCCTCTTCAGTTGAGGGTTTGTCTTCCTTACTGTGTTCATCCCAAGAGCAAAGATTTGTTAAAGGCAAACAAAACCAATACGCAATGGAGAATGTGTTGGCTGCAAATCCTAAAATACTTACTATTGGATTTTACAGTCAAAGCCCAGTAATTCTAGGTAGTTGACTTTGTTTTCACTTCCAAAAGAGAGAGAGAAAAATAGAACTTTTTCCTATAATCAGAGCAAGTATATCATGGACAATATCTTAGTACATGTTGATTAAAATCTTTGAAACCAAAAATTTAACTGATAAACTTCTTTGCTTATAAAAACAACACTAAACTATCCATTTCCATCCTGTAAACTATGTTTTATGAGATAGGTATTGACAGCTTCTTTTCAGTTCTCATGGCAAAAGTATCCAAAGATACTTGAATTTGAGCTGTCTTCTTTTTACCATAAAATAAGTTTATTCCAAAGTACTGCATTTTGTACAGTTTTGGCGCCTACATGGGCCCAGAACCTGTGGGGAAAATTTTATTATCTGAAACTGCAATGCCTTTGTATACTCCCTGAGGGTGAAGCTATGTCCTGAGAAGTTTTGGGGGATCCACAAACATTTAAGCAGCATTTCAAGCTGTGAGATAAACTGAGTTCTTGATGTGGCGGGTGCTGTTTTAATCACTGGTGATATGATAATCACCTGATAAATCCCCAGTCTCAGCCTGTTAAGAGGCAAATGTTGATTTATGTACTATATTAAATGGTGGTGAGCACTGTGGGGAAGTGGGGTATGGGATATGTATATGGGGAACAGTAGAGTCCTTAATAGGGTAAGAACTAAGTAAGAACCCAAAAGTGAGGGAATAAGCCATGTAGTATCTGGGAGGAGAGTTCCAACTAGGGGAGGGTTCAAAGCCTCTGGGGAGGAGCATGCCTGATTATTCAGGAAAGCCAGTTTTCTTTTTTCTTGAGCAAAAAGAATTTGCTCAAGATGTCCTAACGTGTTTTCTCTGTGTGTTCACTGAAACAGGATTATGCAAAGTTGCCAACATCCTGTACTTCACTGAAGTTTTTCTGTGTTTAATAAGGATTGGTTCTCTTTTTTTAGGACAAAATTCTACCCAGCCTGTCTTATATTCTTGCCTTACTGCTAGCTGATAGGAATTGGCTGGTAGAACAACATACTTTGGAAGCATTTACTCAGTTTGCTGAGGTAATTATTTTATTTTTAGTGGGAGTGGGATTTGAACGTAGGGCTTCATGCTTACAAAACAGGCGCTCTACGACTCGAGCCACAGCTCCAGTCCAATTTACTCTGGTTGTTTTGGAGATGGGGTCTCTTGAACTATCCCCGGGCTGGTCACGAATGACGATCTTCCCAATCTCAGCCTCCCAAGTAGTTAGGTATTACAGGCATGAGCCACCAGCTCCTGGCTGCTGAGTATTTATAAGACCAGTTTACCCCAGTGACTTGTGAAACATTGTAATATTTCACATATTCCAAACATTTCAGAAATACTTATTGAGCTCCTTCTGTGTCTTGATTGTAAAATTTAGTATTTCTCCTGGAGGAGCTATTTATTAATCATCTATTTTACAGGACCTCAAATGAGGCCTAGAAAAATGAAGGTTCTTTGATTAGCAAGAACTGGAATATCATTCAAAGAAATATGCTAACTCCCACATTTTCTTCCAGATAGCATCTTTTGCTTGAATGATGGTCTACTTCATATTGAAGTTATCCGGGGGGTTGATTGACGAACTGAAACTTGTTAGCTTGGTTCCAGCAACCCCTGTTGTGGGTTGTCTTCTTTACTCTGATCCATTGCTGTGTAATTATGCCAAAGGGTCATAAGAGAGTCCAAAATATTAGTGTGACTGAACAGAAGTAATTAAAGCCTAAAACACTAAACTTGTACAGAAGTTAATACTATATTATCCCTAGGTATCCTGGAAGAACTATGAGCTTACAGTCTTTGAGTATCCTTTAGCACTAAGTATTTTCTTCTAAAATTAATTTTAAATTAAGGTAGTTCTTAAAATTTGTTATTTGTCTTTGGAAGCTGCTGAAATATATTAAAATTGGTCTTATTTATCAATCTCTTAACAGGGAACAAATCATGAAGAAATAGTTCCACAGTGTCTCAGTTCTGAAGAAGCTAAGAACAAAGTTGTAGCCTTTCTGGAGAAGGTATTTATTTTTATATAGTTCATGTTTTATTCTTTATCATACTTTTAAAAAAATTTATATAATTATAACTAACTTAGATTAAACTTTGCAGAGTGCTCAGCACAGTGCTACCACAGATTGGCTGAAGTATCCGTAAGCAAAAATGCTTAGAAAGTTCTAAAACCTTCTGAGTGCCAACATGATGCAAGATATGGGAAATTCCATGCCGTGAAAGTTACTTTCATGCATAAAATTGGAAATATTGTATGAAATTACTGTCAGGCTGTGGTGTGTAAGAGGTATATGAAACAAAAGAATTTCATCTTCAGATTTGGGACCCATCCCCATAATAACTGTATATGGGAAAAAAATTTGAAGCACTGTAGATAAAGGATACTCAACCTATAGCAAGCAACTGAGAGCATAAGTTAGAAGTAAAACACCTAAAGTCACTGTGCCTGTAGTTTGGGATACAGTATATGACACATGAGGACTCCTCAACTGTATTAGACATACCTGATTACATAAGCCTAAGAGGAAGTTTTTACTGTATTTTCAGTAGAATTTAGGCATGGCTTTTGTATACCAGTTGAGACCAACATCTGTTTTTCTAGACTATGACATTTTTAAAGGTGTTATTCCAGTTGTCTAGTTAGAACCAAAATTGTGAATCATGAGGATCTCATGTTTATGCGTACTCTGTGTATATACATTGTTTTTTGCCAGTGTTAGCCTATACAGTAAAGGCTAGCAGACTATCATTTTTTTCTTGGTAAGAGGACTCTTTTCTGTAGGGAAGAGTAACACTGTGAAGGGACTTTGTCCGTATTACACTAAGTGGAAGCATTTATAGATGGGTCCACCTAACTTCTCAAATTTGCCTTCTTCACAGGTTTAAGCCAAAACGGTTTAACATTCAGCATTTATAGACATATACACAAATTATATATCTTCTGCATATTACACTATTTGATATCTAGTGGAGAATGATGCTGATGTTTCCTTGGTTTTTCATGGAATTTGGCAGGCCAGGTTTGTAGATGAAACTGAAGCTGCCAAAGTGGAACGTGTAAAACAGGAAAAAGGTATTTTCTGGGAGCCCACTGCTAATATGACTGTAGAAGAAGCAAAGTGGCCATCTTTACAGGTATGGGTCAAACATTATCAAGAAATTCTGCCCTCATTACATACTGATAAAACAAAAACTAGTTTGGTTCAGTTTTTATCTTCATGTTGAATTTTAAATCTAACTCTAGTCATGTAAAATTGCCCAATTTTATGATAGTTGCACTTTTAAAACTCATACATACTCTTCCTAAAAATTACCAATGCATAGAATAATAGACCTAAGAAAAAGTTTTAAACATCATACTAAATACAGTCTTTCAATGTAACATTCAATTTGTAGTAACTATTGGAAGTTACGTATTATACTAGTGATTGGTGATGCCCAATGCAGTTTCTGAACCATGAAGAAAATCAGTTAACTTACCTTCCAAAATGTTTGGTTTGATTCTTTGCCTCATTCATCAAACCAGCCTCCTAATCATTTTTGGCAGTGTCTAAAAATCACATTTACCTATCAAACAGCAGAAATTTAACACCACTAAGAATATCTGAAATATTGTTTTAAGCACTAATATAATTTGGAATAGTACACTGTAAGATCAGTGTTGTGATAAGTTTTAGTCCCACTCTTATTAAAAAAAGTTTATAGTCATAACTTGTTTTTTTTTTAAGACATGCAATTTTATGCCTGAAATCTAAAAGTTCAATATATCAGTTAGATGAATAAGCCCTGATGAATTTGAATTTACTGTGACATTCTTCAGGAAGATTGTGGTTATGAGATGTTGTGATCTCAACTGTTTGGAAGCCTGACATTTTTATTTTTTTCTTTTGGAGATAGGATCATGTTATGTAGCCCCAGGCTGGCCTTAAACTATCCTCCTTCCTCAGCCTCCTAATTGCTGAGATTATAGACCTTCCCCACTATGCATGGCTCCTGAAAGCCTAACATTTTCTTAGTTTGCTCCAAAAGCATCTAGAGAACTATAGTTCTCATTGATTAAAAAACAAAAATCACACTTGGGATTCTTTTCTAAGGACAGATTAAGATATATCAAGAATGCTCACTAGGAATTGGACTAGGTTGCGTTTCTCACTGGAAGCCCATTGTGGCAGGACTTTCTTCATTGTATACCTTATACAAACTAGGACACTGGATAGCACCTTGAGGTATTGTGACAAACCAAGAACACCTTCATGTATTGTTCTAGATGTCTGGGGGGTATGGTGGGGGACATACACTCCTGTCCTTGTGATCCAATAATTACACAAATTTATTATTTTCACAATGAGTATGTCTCATTTTTTTTCTCCTTTTCCAGCCTTATGCAAAAAGAGCCCGTCATGAGTTCCCCTCCGAAGAAGAGTACAGGTCAGCATTACAAGCAGCAGCAGGGGCCTTGGAGGCAACTGAGTCTTTGCTCCAAAAGTCTCCTGCTCCAGCCTGGCTTCTACTGGAAGTGGAGGCGCTGCAAGAAAGGATTGAAAAACTAAAACGTTATATACTGTAGGGTGAAACTTGAATGGACTGGACTATATTATCATGAGACAGAATTGGGTTTAATATCAACTGCTTGGATGTTTTGTAATTTAACTACTGTAATTATCATTGTACATTTTTTTTTTAGCACATATAAAAGAACTTTGGTAAAGGTAAATCTAGTGAAAATAGTCTTTATTTGACATTTAGAGAACAAGATTAGGAAGGGGGCACTTCTCATTAAGAACTTTGGTACAATGTAATACATGTGAACAGTAACTGCCCAGGTCTACAGAGGACCTTTCACTCCTATAGTACAACTGTAAACAAATAAATAAGCTGCCTAAGGAAACTTTAGCAATTTAAAGTCATTTATAATTTATAACTGAAATCATTTTCAGTAAGTTTATTTCATAATAGAGCGTGTTACTCTTTTTCACTTTTAAAGAAATGGCACAAAATTAAGCTAACCAGATTCAATTTTTATATTTACTTTCTTTACTTCCAGAATTATCCTGGAAAAAGCAGTAAATTCAACTTTTCCTCAGCTACCCGCTCTTCATGGAAACTGGCCTCAGCAAATGTACACAGGCTCTTCGTTCTAGAAACCACTACTGTGAGCCTGACTGCCCAGGGCTTTTAGCCAGCACTCAAGGTTGGTCTCACAATTGAGTTGGCACAGACTTCACAAAGCTCATGGTATCAGAAAAACAGCCTGTCTTAGGGTTTTCTTGTCCACACAGTCTGCTTTTGAGGTATTAATTTTTTTAAAGGAATTCTCCTAAAGTTTAATTCACAGCTGTTGTCACCAGTTATTATCTTCCCAGTTCAGCTCTCCTTCTTCTCCCCAGCCTTCAGCCTCTCCCTGCAACAAAGCATACCAACAGCAGCCTGCTGAAGCAAATCATTTCCAAATTTGAAAAGCCAGGAATGTAAAAATGATCCAACACATGTTGTTTGATGCCAGAATATACTGCTCATGCTAAGTAAAATAACTTAATGCTGTAACTAAAAGTTGAAAAGCACAAGAACTGCTTTGGCTTGAGAATTACAAAACTACTGCAGTGGAAAATAACTTAGTTCTGTGCCTTACTTTATCATTTTAACCAACTGTGTACAGTAGTTACTTAGTTTCATTGGGAAAAAGCACATTTTTTATAAACCGGCTTATGAGGGAAATCCTTAAGTAGCACACACACAAAAGTACTTACCTCAGTCATTTCTGCTGCAGCAAATTTTGAGGAAAACTGCATCACTGGTGAGACATCATCCTTGATGGGGACCATCATTTCTGTCCTCAGTTCAGGTAAAATAAGAAAAGCAGCTGAAGGCTTAATTTCTGGGATCATATCAGCAAACCAATCCAACTCAGGATCTTGTATTGGTTTCTTTTTTACTTGTATAGTAAACTCTTCTCCTAAACCAAGTTCTGATCGACCCTTAAAGGGCCTCTCTTGTGGCAATGCTTTTGGTGGCTTGATTTGGTCTGAGTCATCCCCACTCTGTGTAAGACTGGTCTTTTCAGGTGGGCTCGTAGACTTTTCAGTGAGGGGAGGCAAATCAGGAATTGGCTTCTGCTCCCCTGAGGTAACAGGCACTACAGCAGAGATTGTAGCTCCTGGGTTTACTTGAGTACCTGAGCTTCTGGGTTCACAATCATTCCAAGATTCTTCCTCCACAATCAAGTTAGTGCACGGGGACTTGGCAGCATCACAGGGTTCTCTAGGCCAAATCTGAGTATTGATAGTTTGGTTCTCAGGCTCCTCAGGCTCACTCCAGTCAGGCCACTCCTCAGACTTTTTAGAGTCTGATGGGAAGTTTTCACTGTCCCCAGAAATATTTTTCACATCTGAGATTCCATTCATGGGAAATTTAATAGACTGAGAAAACTGATCACCTATAAGGATAAATATAAGAATTATTCTTATAAAATACTGGCTAAGAGCAAGAAATACACTTAGGGGAAGGTTAGCACTGTGGAAGTGCATAGATAAGCATCGAAGATGTCATGTAAGTTACCCAAATACTTACTGTATAGTATTTATATAATATTAACTTAATGGAAATATACCATGTGACAATTTAAGGTCATCCTTTCCTAAAATGCAGGCACTGTTCATTGGCACAATTGTCTATAAATAAATATACAAATGTTCTTATGTAATGTTATCCTCAAGATACTGTATTTGAAAGTGTCTGCAAGTAAGTTTGCCTAACCCACCTTATCCTTGATTTAAACAGATTTCCCTAACTGTCATTAAGGTTCTGAGAAATCTTGTGCACTGTTTAACTCCAATATCATTTTCCCAAATTTATTTAACTTGTAGAACTTTTTATTCACAATATGATTATTATCATTTTTCAGCACTATCATTTCTTGGTACAATTTGGAAGATGCATAAGGCATCAAAAGTCCCAAAGTATCTGGTGCAAAAAAGAATTCAAATAATGTCACCCTGTTCTCACCAGTTAGGAAGAAAAGTTATGTACATACCCAGTAATTTGGGGAGGTACCATGTAAGTTTATTATTATAATAAGAAAAATAACTATCAAAAATTGCCAAAGTTCCTTTAATTTTCAGAATTTAAATTTAATACTCTTAGGAAAACATTCATTGCAGCAATGGAAAAACCATATAAATTTAATATTTCTACCTGTCTTTTGTAAAAGAGTATTGTAGTAATCTTGCTGTATGTGCTTCTTGCTGTTGATGGGAATGTTGCCAGAAAAGAAACATTTAGGGAATATGCTAGAGGGGTTCTCCAAGATTGGCGAGATCTGACTGTGCTGGCTGCAGACGACGTGCATGGGAGAATCTGAAGGTAAATAAAAACTCCAAGAAATGAAAGGGATAGAAACTGCTTGTTGACCTATTATGTGTTTGATGAGCAATGGTTAAGAGAAATGGATTAACACAGATAAAATAACATATTCAAATATTTGAAGAAACATACCTATTATGGAATGTGTTGCTTGTCTTTAGTGGTATTTAAGGACAGGCTGTGTCCACTGCACATGGTGGTGACAGAATAAAAGGGATTCAAGTACTATACAGATACAATCTTTAGGATACCCCATTCCAAAGTTACAGCCTTTAAAAACATTTTGGTGGTGTTTTAAAATCATAAGTGATTCTAATTTTCCTTGGAGACTCAAAGTCTTGTAAAAGTACAAGCCTAACAATATGAATGTACTTAATAACAGAAAACTATACACTTAGAATGGTTAAATTTTGTGCTGTGAATATTTAACCCCAACTGGGGGGTTGTTTCAAGAAAATGTTGTCTTTAATACTTTGCCAGAACGTTTTCACTCAAGATTGGATATTGGACAAAAAGTTGTAAAATTATGGCCAAATACTTCCTATGCCTTAAAATGAGAGTATGGGAGATGGCCAGGGTAAACTATCACTGTTAGGCCTCCAGCTTTCTTCACATTTCAAGCAGACTTATTTACCTTAATTATACCTTTCATAAATCTCAATATTAATCTTCATTCTTAAAAGCCTGACTTATATAGGTAAATTGCAAAAAACAGGAAAAGTCTAAGAATGCCTCCTCAATACATTCTGTTCCCTCAACATCACATCGTTACACAGTTTCTAGGTAGGTATGCTCTACCATTTGCATTACACACCCCGTCTTTTTTCTTTAACTATCTTTGACTGCAATCCTACTTACACCTCCTCCACATAGCTGGAATGGCAGGCATGCACTACTACACCTGACCCTTCTGATCTGTCATAAAGTCTTTAGCAAAATCATCTTAAGAAAAACCCATCTGCAACTGCTGTTCTGGTGCCTTTCCAATTCCTCATTAAGATTACAAAGTAATTCAGATGGATATAAATGAATGTATCATCAGCATATAGGATGTGTCTACATCTAGATAACTCCACCCAATAAAATAGACATGAATAAAGCTTCTTCTAATCCAATGTGCAAAGCTACTCTAACAACCCCAAAGCTTTATATCAAAATAATACTGCCCCTCTCATTGTGATATATATAAGCAAGCTTCTCATTTGCTGTTTGTTGTAATCTGCTAAGAGAATTGGTAACTATCAGTCCACACCAAAATTTCATGGCCAATCTATATTACTCCTTTTAAGCTTTTTGGAGCACAGTGACATTGGTTTCCTTAGCACCAAGGAAGAGTTAACTCTCTTTAAAACTTAAGGAGGCTTTAAAGCTTCAAAGATCTTAAGAATAGCATATGTGGTTAGTCTTTTTTACTAATAACTGTCTCTATGCACTGACTATTAATGAGAACTGAATTACAGATTCAGAATTTCATAACAAGGTCATGGTCCTATCAAGGTTATACAAATATACTGTGTAGATGACAAAATTCTTTTAAGTCCAGAAGTTAAAGTGCTACCTCCCAGGTAATGTACAATAGGAACAGACCAGAACTAAGGACTTGTTAAAGTACGTAAAATCAACAACTTTTTGCCAAAAGTTCAACAAAATGAAAAGAACTTAAACATCTAGTGTTAGAAAGAACTGTTACAACCTTTTGGGAAACTGAAATTGTCTACTAAGACTTAAAATACATCCTCTGATAAGCAAGTCTACTACCATCCTTTAGCAGTGAAATCCAAAGAACATAATGTATAAAGGTTATTTATGGTGGTACTATTTATAATAATTAAATACCTAGCTAGCATCCATAAATCACTTGATGAATTATATTCATTTTTTAAAAACTCCTCTAAATATGTGTAAACATACACTTGTGTGTCCTTTAGTGGGCTTAAAAAAACAGGATTCTTAACTATTAGAGGTTGCCTTATACTCCTTATGAAGAGTTTAAAAGGGGAAATTAACTTTTTCCTCATACGTCTGTATCATTTACCTGAATATAAACTTATTGCATTACTTACGTGATATAAAACCTAGTAAAGTAACAGAATAAAAAACTAGACCTTACCTTCTGGGGAAAGGTCGATAGTTTTAGTAAAACTTGGGGCAGTGCGTTTAAAGATCTTCGTTCTTTCTCCTCCTACAACTACTTCTGGTCCAAGTAGAGAGACCAGCACAGCTAGGCTATGAAGTGTAATTGCCACAATGGAGTCACTGGTATCACGCAGGCCCAGTAATACCTAGGAGGGAAAGAGGTAATGAGTGGAAGAGTTAATGAATGTATACAACCACAATGCCAATCTCTCCCTATAAGGATGCAATCAGAATGTGCTTGCTCAGATGAACTACATTTTCTTAGGTATTTCTCAAACTATCTGAGGTAAAGGACCAATGTCTTCCCTTATCAATCCAGGTTGATATGTTTAAAAATACAATAAAAAAATTAAAGACATTGGAAACTTAACAAGATGACTCCATCAAATTGCTACAAACACAATTTTAAATGTTAACTCTCCACATCTGTATTGACTTCATCACAGAACCATTAACAAACAGTTCACAGACTGGCAATGTTCCTGGTCTTTTCCTCTCTTCTCAGCTCTATACACTCAAAAGGAGGCCCTTGAAAACCTTTGTGTATAATAAATATTAACACTTGCACCAAAGTGAGCCAATCACAGTCTCACACACAGCAATGCAAGCTGGAATTTAGAGAAACTGGTTACATTTGTGGTTTGCTTAAAGTGAGGACAGCAAACTTGGAAGTTATGTGACATTTGGCCATGTGCACACCAAAACAATGAGAACTAGTCTTCAGGGTTAAAAGTGAAACAGATGCAAAGAAAGGAATAAATATCTGTTAGACCATCTGCAACTGATTTCCAGGTTAGGTAGTCTGCATCCTTTTATTAACTTTTTGTGGCTTTAGCTGGTTTAATGTGTGTTTCAGTCACTTGCAACAAAAGCACCTTAGCTAAGATTGTCACATGCAGATATCAGAGATTCTGCTTTATGAAAACTGCAAAGCATGTGTACCAGCCAAACAAAAGACCAGGGTAGCTGGCCTGCCTAGTGGTATCAGTAATACTGAGTTCTAGTCCTAACTCTGCCAATTAATCATTCTATTTTTTTGGCCTAAATTTATCACATGAAAGAGCAAAGTTTTCCAACAGATATTAGTTCAATGCTAACAGGTAAGACACTCTCTCAGAACAAGGCCGTACAGCTAAAGCTTGTTTCTTTTGTATATGATTAGAACTCCTATGGTCATGATAGAACAATTTACCCATACCAAGAATCTGACAATCTCAAAACCTCTTCATCTAGTGAGAAACCCAAGTCCTATGCTTCTACCCTTTTATATGTCCTAACCCTCCCGTTATCACTGCCACAATTTTCTCCAATCATCATTTCTTAACTGAATTATTCTAACAGCTTCCTAGTTGATCTTTATTTTCTATGATCTGTCTTCCACATGGCTACTAAAGCAAACTCTAGCACACAAAAATTGGCCCAGTTTTTCTATGGGGGAATAATAGCAGTTATTAAAGTTAAATAATTAGGGCTACAAATTACTAATAAAGCAGCTTCCTAAATAATGAGTTTTCACTGTCTTCATGCAATGAGTATCTCACTCTGACCTTAGCCCAATTCTGAAACCTATGATAACATCTCCATTTCAGAGTTAGAGTGTTTCATTCCTCTTCTAAATTTCTAAAGACTATTTGTAGGGTTACAAATACTGCTACAAATGTAACTACAAAATGCTAGGTTGTGGGTAGTTACCCTCTAAAGTCAGACCCCAATGAAGTACACCTCTGAGCCCATGTTTAAACCCATCCCACAGAAGCCCTGAGAGCTCATGAAGCAAAAGACTGAGCTGCTACAAAGTCTAGTCTTTCAGCCACTCTCTCTAAGGTACCAAGAAGCCACTTTGTAAGTGTCAGCTCTGGTGAGGCCCCAGAGGACTGAAGCCTAAGCTGACATGTAGAGCAGCAGAACCTCCAAGCTAACTCCATTCAATGCAAAGAATCATTAGAATTAATAAAATATTTGTTGTTTTAAGGCAGTATATTTTGGGGTGGTTTCTTACATAGCAACAGATAAAACATTTTTCTCAATTAGCTCCTTGAACACAAAGAGCATGTTAATTTCATAGGGAAATATTTGAGAGTTATCATGTGGCTGTTTTTTTTGAACCTCTAGTAGGTTCAATAGATTCCTTCCAAATATCATGTCCATGAAGAATGTGACTCTTAGATTATGCTGGGTTAGGTAGGGAAGGCACCAAATTCAATGACCTTATAAGAAGACTAAGTGAAGCTGGGCATGGTGGCACATGACTGAAATCTCAGCACTCGGGCTGCAGAAGGAGGATCACCAGTTCTGGGCCAGCCCGCACTAGAGAGAAAGAACCTGTTTCAAAAAAAAAAAACCCAAGTGGAGATACACAGGGAGAAGGCTATGTGACAACAGAGGTTAGAATGATGCAGCTATAAGCCAACATATGCTGGGAACTACCAGCTACTAGAAGGTTTCAAGGAGCAAAGGTTTCTCCCCTAGAGTGTTCAGAGGAAGCTTGGTCCTGCTACACCTTAGTTTCAGATGTTGGTTCTCCAGAATTAGTGTCAAATTTCTCTTGTTTTAAGCCATGTGGTTTGTGATCATTTGTTATGACATAGAAATCAGCACAAACCCGGAGACCTTGGGTAAGGAAATTATAATAATGTTCCCTAGGGATGATAAACAGGTTGAAAATCATCGATATAATTTTATGTTCTAAATTCTAATTAGTGTATTTGAATTACAGACAATCATAGTTCATGTTCAAAAAATCACTTGATAAATGATTCTTGTTCATCTCCCTCAAATAAACTTAGTAAACAGAATTATAGTTCTTCCCAAGTTAAAATCAAATGTTAGTTTAATTGGTCTGCCTGTGTGAATGGAATGACATGTAATTTTAATTTCAGCCCTTTGTATTCCAGTAGGCTTTTAAACCAAACTACTGCTTTGAAGCTTTCTAAGCTATTATCTGAATATATCCCAAAACCCTCTACTTCCTTTTTATCTCCCAAATTAGCAGCACCCCTTGCCCACTCTCTCATATGTTTGCGACCCCACTGGTCTCTGTCTCTGACCTGTGGCAAAATGACTTTCTTCAGCTGCTCCTGTGTGAAGTGCTCCACATAGGCCTCAATGTGAGACAGCAGCACCATCCGCACATGTTCCTCGTGAACCTCAAACAATCGGAGAAGCACAGGGATTACCCGCAGCTGGAACAGGGCTGGTGAGAGCAAGCAAGGGATTTCTCCCTGCACATTATCTGTCCCAAAAAGCAAAGAAGGTTTCAAACTGTCATTTTTGTGAGAGGAGTACCAAACGTAATTCATAAACTAACTCCAGAACTTACAAATATTCTCAATTGTAGTTATTTTGCTGACTCACAATTTTTCAAGGCTTAACTATCTTAAATATACTTAAATTTCTACTTTGTAGAAATGTTTGTGAAATACTGGAGATTATACTTAATGTACTACAAAGAAAGCTAGTATTTTAATAGGACTCTGAATGATTAACTTTTGATGCACTTATGTCTAATCAGGACGAAGGAAATCAAGGAAGATTTATTTTTTTATATTTTATCGTTTTTACATTTACTCACATGTGTATATATTGTTTGAGCCACCTAGCAACTTCTTATACAAGATTAGATTAGTGACATATTAATATCATTGCTGTGATTTATTTAAAAAACCAGGAGGAATTAAGTGCAACAAGAGGACTTTGATGCTGGATAGTCCTCTCTTTTCTTTAGTTAAGGTAATGGTTATCAAACAGAGGTACCCTTGTGAATCATTTGGGAGCCTTTAAAAATATATATGCCTGTGTCCTATTCCTGTTCTAGACAACTGGATGAGGCAAAGAGGCCAATCTTTAGCAAGCTATGAGTGACTCAGGTTCACTCCTGTCTAGGATCCACTGAGGAATATGATGGAAGAGCTACAGAGAAAAATTTAAGGCTAAAGGGAGTGACACTGAATTAGGTAAAATGAAATTCTTAACTATAAAACAACTACCTGTAATACCTATTTGTTGGATTGAGATCTTTGAAGAAAATAAATTCTGAAACCAGGATCTACCTAACCATAAATTCCATAGTATTATATTAACAATATATTCTCTAACCTGATATTACCATCCTGTAGAGCTATAAAGTTACAAAGTTTCAAAGCAGCAATTTCATTTCACATTCAGAAAAAAAAAACCTTGAAGCCCCAAGAAATAAAATGATTTCAGAATCTTTTCACTAAAAAGGGAAGATGAACTGCTCTTGGTAAGTTAGGAGGCATAGGTCTAAGTGATTCACAGCAAAGACAAAAGTTCCCTGAAAATGTATACCTTACTTTAAAACTTCTTATGTGCTTTATATTCTAGTTCTTTGTGAATGTGTGTGCGTTAACTTCTTATGACAGTAAATGTGACTCTCCAGGAAGATGCTCCATATTTATCTCTGGGTTTTGGTACCAAGGTTTGAGTTAAAGCTATCATATCAGGGATCAAGAAACTGTTTACTGTACAGTACAGTAATTTTATTCTGATCAAAAAAAGCAGACCAATAATATTTTGAGAAAACATTCACCTTTTTTGGGGCCAAGCAGATAAGGAAGAAAACTCTTAACAGCTACTGGCTCTGCAAACACCAACTGATTAAGCAGAAGAGGCACCAATCTTGAAGCTATCAATTCCTCTGACAAGCAGCTGACTCTGTCCAGCAAAAATCTGAGGATACAAAAAGGAAAGCCTGGGAAACTGGTCATGACACGTATCAGTTTTCTTGTATGGTTTAGTCACCTACAGTCTCTATCCCCCCACTTCTAGCAATCTGATGCATTGTGAAATGTAGGAAAGGTGAACAGGCTGGTCACCAAGTAATTAGGAAAAATACAGTGTGAGGCAAGGCCAGCTAGTCAGCATACCTGAAATCCAGCTACCCCTTATTAAAGGCAAAGTGTTCTCCTTTATCACCTAATAAGCTAAGGGATTTCTAGATAATAAAAAGCACTTTCTCAAATTTAAAAGATGTAAGAGATTCAATTATCTAAGTTTTCTTAGTAAAGAAAATACAGGCTTTTACTAACCTCATTAAGTTCATATATACATACACAGACACTTATATATATGATATATATATATATACATATATAATATATATAATACACACACACACACACACACACAAGTAAGCTTTCTATTGAGAAATCCAGTATTAGGTATCACCAGTAATATCCCACTGTGTAATCACCCTTAGCAGATAGCCTTGCTTCCTACTTTATTAGGAATAGTCCACAAAATGCACTATCCTCTGCAACCCCATGCCACTTACAATAGTCCTACATACATGCTCATTCCCACCTCCTTTCCAGTTACCCAGGGTTCTAGAGTCTCTTCTTAAGGCCTCCCCCTCCTCTCCACTGTGTCAATATCCCCTTCCGATTCATGCTCCAGCAGTCCCTCCAACATGACTGCAGCTTCAACTGCTTCCTCCACTTCTCTGCTTGCTCCTTTCCGAGAGCCTATAAACATGCTTAGATCTCTTCCATTCTTAGAAAGTGTTCTTGACTCCATTTCCTTCTTTAATCATGTTTGCTCCCTTCAAATTTTTCAGGAAGTTTTTTACCCAGCATGTACTTTCTCTCCTTTCATTCTTTTTGCTAGGTAAGTGCTCTACCACTTGAGCTATGTCCTAAGCCCTTTTTGCCTTAGTTATTTTTCAGATAGTGTCTCACACTATTTCCCTGGGGCTGGTCTTGGACAGTGATCCTACCTACTACCTCCTGCATAGCTGGGGATTACTGGTGTTAACTTTCTGCCTGACTAGCCTTTAAACTGTGATCCAACCTCTGCCTCCCAAATAACTGGGAGCTGGGACTGCAAGTGTGCCCCTTCATGCCTGGCCCTTCCATTTACTTTTGAACCCACTATGGTCTCACTCTTTTGAAACAGCTCTTGCTGAGACAAGGTTACCAGTGCTAATTGAATAGACATGCTAAATGAATAGACATGTTCCTTTCTGAAATTTTCTACTCCTTTGAGAATACACAGCCATCCTTGGTCTCTGGCTCTCATTTAACCACTGATTGTCCCATTCACCAGCCACTCTTTCCCACTCACCCCCTCATAAGGTCAGATGCTCCAAGGATACAGTTCAGGTCCACTGTCCCTTTCATGCTACCCCTTTCTTATGGGTACCCCTTTCTTATGGGAAGTATCACTAGCTATAAGCTGATGAGACTTTGATATTCACCTGTAGCTCATCAGCTTAATACTTCTCTCTCAAGCTTCAGACCTGTTTGGCTAACTGTCCATGTATATCTCTATTTGAAGTCCCACAGATACTTCAACACATCCTACAATGAATTCATCATTCTTTCTGTATATTAGGATCTCCCTTCCATTACTTTCCATATCATTTGGTGATAATTACTAAGGCTTGCCAATTTTATCTTTTAAATCTTTATTATCTCAATGTCTTCTTCATTGATGCCTTTACATGTGGCCTCACATCTGCTAACTGGACTACTACACTCTTCTATCCATCTTAGACTTGTATGATTTAAGTCTGCTCCCCCTCCATGGACATCAGAGCTATCCTACAGGGAAATCTAACCATCTCACAGCCTGCTTTCACTTCTTCAGTGGCTTCAATGCTAGAAGTCCATTTACAAATACTGTTAACACTGCTCATTGCCACATACAGGGACTACCTCTTGGAATTTGCCCTCCTATAGAACTCAACTGCTTGTTATTCCCCACACAAGTCACACTGGGTCTTGCCTTTTTATATTCATTCATGTTGCCCCTCTCCCTAGAAGAGCTTTTCTCTAATTAGGTCCTGTCTTGTGTTCCCAGGACTCCTGGAAAAGCTCGATCAGTGCACCCACCCTTGTATTTTCAGTCTGCACATCCATCTCCTTCATCAGAGCTGTCTTATCATTAGGACTAAAAAAAAAATCCTGACTCATAGGAAAAGTTCAATAAATATTGTGAAATCAAATGTCTGACTCATCTTCTCCAAGTTACTGAATTTAAGGTCTTAACTTTCTGAACTTACTTGAAGAATTCAGTTTTTTCCTCTTCACTCTTCAATGTTAAGCTTTTCAAGAAATTCACAACTTCTAGAAAATCATTTCTAGAAGCAAAAAACAAAAACAAAAACAATGGATTAGGAAAGGCTTATTAAATACACTGAAGCCATAACCACAGATCACATCATTATGATTTTTAACAAAGAAACATTCTACATGCTATTTAAAAGATTTGACATAATGCTAGGTATGGTGGCTCAACTTCTGTAATCCCAGCTACTTGAGAGGAGCTGCTGGGAGGATCTAGGTCCAAGGCTAGCCCTAGGAAAAAGCACAAGACCCTATCTGAAAAATAAAAATAAAACAAAGCTGGGTGCCAGTGGCTCATGCCTATAATCCTAGCTACTCAGGAGGCAGAGAGCAGGAGGAATGCGGTTCAAAGCCAGCCCAGGCAAATAGTTCCGCTAGACCCTATTGAAAAAACCTTCACAAAAATACGGCTGGTTGAGTGGCTCAAGGTGAAGGCCATGAGTTCAAGCCCCAGCACTGACAAAAATAAAAATAAATGGATAAAAGATTTGAAGAAGCATAATATGAGACAAATACTATAAAACCTATAAGAAACCTCCTATTTTAATATCAAAGATCTATGAAGAGGCTATAAACACACACATGCTTATCATGCTTTATGATTTTAAGTCACCATAACCTTTCAGACTTTTCATTGTAATAAGACATTGTTAAATGAACTATCCTGGGAGAAATGACATTAACGTTACAAAATAGTTGATTCCCAAGTCTCCTTTGGTGAGATAAAAATGACTGAAGAGGATCTTGGAAAGCAGAATTTCTTTTTTTTCTTTGTAGTACTTGAATTTCAACTCAGGAATTCATGCTTGCAAGGCAAAAAGCAGAATTTCTGTATAAATCACAGGAATATTCTTACTTCTGCTGAAAGTTATTCAGTCAATCTTCGGGCCAGGCAGTCAATTTCCTAGGGGGCTGCCAGACAGTTTCAAAGGCTGTGGATTACTCAGCTTCAAGGCAGCATTACTCCCATCCTACCCTATGGAACTGTTGTACTGATACTTAAGAATACAAGCTAGGTAGACTAGCATAGCTATTACCTGGGTCTCCACATCCTATGTTTCCATCTGCAGATGACTCTTGCACAACCCAGGATTAGAGGCATTGACACCCTTCTCTCGGCATCTCCTCCTCAGTCCAAAACCCATATGCAATTTTTTTTTGACTACCCAAAAATTTAACTACTAGTGTAGTTAAGACTGGTGTTGGCCAGAAAATCAATTAACACACATTTTATACATTGTGTGGAAAATACACAAGGACCACAAGAGATCCCTTTTTACTGTGTAAGCAATTAGCTGCTCATGCTAAGATTATTAGTCTCACACGGCATTTAAGATACAAAACTTTAGCTTATTACAATAGCAAAAAGAGGTGGCTATGAAATTATTATAGTAGTGTAGAATGTCCTACAAGGACTTTGCAGATATGACTTAATAGGACATCTTTACATCTGTTTACAGTTGACTTTGAAAATGGTACCATATAGGGTCTAAAAGTATTGTGTGTGTACATTTTGATAAATTTTTAATATCTTATGATAGATTTGTCTATACTTCACGATAGTAATGATAAAATAAGACTACATGTATTTTATACATTCATACTTTTTTCCTTTTTTGACATCTCTAGGCTGTGAAGTATTTCTCAGTTTCTTTTAAATTGTTAAAAAATCTCCAAAATAATTTTAAAATTCATATATAAGCAGATTTATGCATTCAAACCCATGTTCAAGGGTCATTTGCATTTCCTTCTGTCTCTGTAGCAAAGAAAATGTACACCGTGTCAACTTATACCTAATCAAATTGGCTCAGCTGCCTTAGCAAGTGGTGATGGCCCTGGCTCCTTCTGTTGTCTCTGAGTGGGTTTTCTCCTCACATTGCCACAATGGGATTTTTGGGAAGTAGCGTTGGTGTGTTTTTTTAGCTTTCTTCTTCCCTTTTTATTTAATACACAATTCTTAATAAAGAACTCACACTATATTCAATGATGAGAGAATCTATTTACTACAAAGGATTATTCTCTGTAGAGGATTTATATTCAAGGGAAATAAAATACTACTAAGAATCATCTAAAGGACATGGAAATACCTTGGTAAATATGCACAACTATTTATTTGTCAATTAAAAACATAAATTAGAAAAAGCCCTCTCACAATGGAAAAGTTTAGAACAGTTTCTCTGAGACATAAATGATATAAATATAACCTGTAAAACTATAACTACAAATACTACTTAATAGCATACCATCCCTACAATATTATCCTAAAGATAACTCTTCCCCTTTCAGAGATGATATTGACTTTCCCTTTGTCCTGGTTTCCTGGGCTCTTTAACTGCAAACATACAAGGATACAGTTTCAAAACTAACACAGTGTTAGCTTTGCTTATAAAGGCATGAATATGAAACTGACCTGTACAGAAGTTCTGCAGTTATGAATAAAAAATGAAGAACACTTAATTAAAACTAATCTTGAAAGGTTCAGAAACATCTCTGAATCTAGGAAAGCATTTAGTTATATTATACCCTAACTTCTAAACTGACTTCTTTGCTTCTCCACTAAATATTACTAAACAAAGAAAAATAAACCCACTCCCCCAACAAGAAAGACTAAAAATAACAAACTCCTATTAGTAATTCAATAGCAGCAAAAAAAAAAGTCCATTTTTATTCACTTTTTCAATTCACTTATAATTGTAAACCATTACACAAACTAGCTTCTTCACAATTAGAAGCGCTAATGAATCAGGATGTAATCTCTAAAGCCCAAGTTTTCACGGCATGTAAGAATTTCTAAAACTTTTTATCTGTGCTTAAGAAGTTGAGAGGGAACCAATTTCTTCCTCTATTTTCTTCTGTGGACATGATTCAGTCTCTTTCAATAATTAACAGGGACTGCATTGTTTGGTTCCTCCAAAACTCTCCAATGACATTACTCAATGGACAACAGTGGAAAGCAGCCTGTAGCATATCACACTTAGATGCCCTCACCTGAAGAAGTCATGGGATAGTAAGGTGCTGAGTGCTGGCCGACATTGCGGAATAGGATTCAGTAAAGCTGAGTGCAAGGTCTGTTGAAAGCTGGAGAGAACATCCGCTGAAACTGAAATCCAGAGCTACAGTTAGTTTCCAATGCCTTCTCCCTCTTTTCGGGACCTCTATAGCTGGAGACTGACGAGAGCAAAAACCAACCTGTAAAAGCCCAAACAAACAAAGCCCTGGCTGTTGCTAAATGGCTTCCTGTTTCCTTTAAGCCAAACTCCTTGGCAGGTGTACAGAGCTGTCATCCCAGCACAACCAAGTACACGCCAGATGCCTCCCCTTCTATGTCTCTCATTTCCTGATTGTTTAAACCAGCTCATACTGAAAGTACACGATGTAATAAGTGGCAGGTTTGATGGCCTTTCTCAACCAGAGTTCCTCAACTATAGAACACAGAAAGCTATTTGAATGACTGTATTTTCAATTCTTCCAAGAATGATACACAATTGCCACAATTCTATGTACAGAATCTTTCTATGAAAGAGTAGTTACTTCATTAAACACAGTGATTGCCTTGGTGCCTTAGGGTTTAATTTTCAAATATTAAAGCTGGGATAATTTAGAGGTGATAGTCAAACCACGCTTGTAACATCAGAACACTGCATAAGCCCAGAAAAAACTACATTAGCACTGCACAGAGCTTCAGCAATGTGAGATGTAGGGCCAACAAGGGGTCTAATATGACATACACCTCAGTAAGTTTAATAGAGAATTAAAGGGTTAGAGTGGTCATAGCAAAGTGACACAGGCTGCCAAGCACGCAATTAGAGAACACGGAAAGTAGAAAGCTTAAAGGCAATGAAAGAAAAAACACTGAGTAGCTAACTGCAAGAAAACAAAAAGACTGAAAGAATGAAATGTTAAGCCTGATTTAGAAGTTAACAAAAATTTTCAGTCATACTCTATTATTTAGACTATTACGTCTTAATCATTAGTGGCATTTATTTACTTATTGGATGGCTCAATAAGGAACAGTCTTTGAACCACAAACATTATCACCAATTAAAATGGTAATCACACACAATACTGACTACCACAGATCAAAGTGTTTCCTACTTTCTCATTCAAACTAATGGGACCTAAAGCTTCCTAGTGTTAATAGCTGCCCTAAATAAATTATATGGTAAGCAGCAGGTTCCTTGCTATGCTCAAAGATTACAGTCCTTTGAATTCCACACAGAATAGACATGGATAATTTTCTTACTTAGTCTGTGGATGCAAGGGTCCAACTCCAACTCACCCTGCTCATTTAAGATTGTAAGCAAGCTTTCCACCAATATTCCAAATGAATAGGCATCCCGGGCATGTCCATGGGACTCTGGAAGAGTTGTGAATTCTGGAGACTAAAAGTAGAGACTATTAGAACTGAGGGTCTGCCTTATAAGCCATTTCTAATTTTCTCAGAAGCACTTTCTCCCATGTTTGCATTTGTTATATTTGAATGTAACTTCATAGTATCACACACTAATTTATAGGCTTTAAATACTATCAGTACACTGTACCCCATAAATATATACAATTAAAATAGCTGGTCTCTCTCTCAAAAATTAAAAAAAAAATCCAGCTATTAGTGAACAGAATTTATCAAAGATTTAAAAATATTAAATGGGCAAAAAGGAAAAAATGGTCAGAATATAATACATGTATATGGCTTTCAAAAACAAGTTTTGATTGCAACCCAGAGTAAAAAATTGTATCATAATCCAGTATACATACATATGTACAAATACACAAGTAAACCAACATTTCATAAAACAATACTTAACTTTAAAATTTAAGATACCCAATGATATCTTTTATTCCATTTTTTTTCAAAATACTGGTTAGGACACTTACACTGTCCCCAAATCCACAAATTACCACTGTGAAGAACACACACAGATACACACACTATATTAATTTGGAAAACTTGACTTATTTCATGTCTTAGGAGTACACTTAAGTTTATAATTATGCTTATATTTCCTATCTTTGGGGATTAATATTTATTTATAGGAGTTATAAGAAGAAACTTAAAGGGGGCATCAACTTTTGAGCTTATGGTAAATAGAATCTTTACCAGCACCATAATATTAATTATCATTCTTCTACACATCAGGGATCCGAACTAATGGCTAGCTAGGCAGATAAATGGCTGGGGCGACACAAAGGAAAGGATGATAATGGCTTCCAGCAAAGTATAATGACATCATGAAATGGGTATGATAACCCATTCATGCTAGGATGCCTCTATCTTAAAACAATATCATAGGTATCTACATGACCAAAAAATGTAAGATGGCTCCCTGGCTGTGGAAATAAGATTAATATTAGAAGCTTTTAAGGCCAGAGGAATTACAAGGCATGTACAATTTAATAAAGAAAGAAATGGGCAAAGGGAGTTTTTTACTTCAGCTACACAAAGGAACCTTCACTACATTCAAAGTACGTCATCTTACCATCTCTTCAGGAGGGGCAGATGATGGGTCTCTTATTGACTGAATACTCCTCAGAAACTAGACAGAGAAATAAATTAAGGAAAGTAACTTAAACATGTTTGACAAACCAAACTCTTTTACCAAGTTACAAAAGCAATAAGCAATGGAAACAGAAGAAATGAAACCTTCAAATCAAAGCCACACATTAAATACAAATTTAAAATCTTCCAAATAAAAGACAAATAACAGTACCTGACACAGCATAAGGCTTAGTAGAAAATAAATGCTAGTTTCCCTTCCTCTCCCCTTCAGCTGGCTTAACAGACATAGTCTGTTGTTTGGAGGCATTTACTCCTTTAATTTCCTTATATGGAAATTAGAAAGCCTTCTTTCTGTTTTTGCATAGATGTGTTTCAGCCAGTTGTGGCAGCACATGCTATAGCAAGTAGCTTGTGTCACAGCTACTTGAAAGACTGAGGCAGGAGGGTCACTTGAGCCCAAAAATTTGAGACCAGCCTGAATAACATCCTATCTCAAAAAAAGGCTTTTTAGCACAAAACAAATCTATCATTAATCTTCTCACTAAATCACATGAATCTTTAGTCTTGCAACATGAGATATAAATGTTGAGGACCTTATGAAAACAAAACCAATGTCTACAAAATATGCATGTTTACTCACCTACTCAAACATTATTTTTGAAGAGTTTACAGGTCCAAAACATCATTTAAGGCATTAAGAATACAAACCGAATTCAAGCGCATCCCTGCCTCCAACTACATGCTCATCCTAGAAATAAACTAAGAATTTTGGCAACAGAAGGAGTGACTTCTGTCAGTAGTGATTTTTGTGAGTGATTTTGTTGGGTAGGAAAAAGCCTCAGGAAAGAAGTCAGAGGGGGTACTTAAGCTAGATCTTTTATTTTTTGGTGGCACTGGGTTTGAACTCAGGGCCTCACACTTGCTAGGCAGGTACTCTTAGCGTTTGAGCCACTCCATCAGCCCAAGCTGGATCTTAGATAACCTTCAGGGAGCCCAGGGGAAAGAAAGGCAAGAGAATGGCATTAAAGAAGAGGAGAATGAAGAACAACAGATCTAGAAACATGACTGAGCTTCATGAGACAAAGTGTAACCACAGGGACATTTCAATAACTGAGTAGTAAATGGGGCTGAAGGTAAGCTGGGCAAGAGATTGTGAAGAGCTTTGAATGCCATGGCCAAGAATTATTTCTGTAGAATGCATGTCACAAAAAGGACTACCTGCTTGTATACTATTTAGACATAATGTTAATTCAGAGAAGAGAAATGTTCAGTAAGGGCAGAAGTAATCAGAGTGGTATCTTTGTGTAAGTTGTAACATTTGAACTGGGCAGGAGTCCACGAAGGTACTATTAGACAAGGCCTAAGTGTGGAAGCCCAAGGAGAACACAGGAACTTAGACTGAGGCAGTAAGTCAGTGACCCGACACTTTGGTATGGACATTTTAAAGGGAGTGATTTTTCTTTTTTTAAGAAATAGTTAAGTCTAGCAACAACCTGCAAAATGATGAAAGAAGAACAAAATAGAGAATAGGAAGGTTTGTGAACCGAGGTGGGAAAAATATAGATCTGTCAGACAAAATTTTAAGTACCACAGGCAGCAACAATACAGCCTACTATGAGGAGTTGGGCTGCATAGGTCCTAATTCCAGTTGCTAGAATATAACGTATGACTTTGGAAAATTTGGATGATTATTCAGTGAATATTTCTTGAGTACTTAACATTAACCAGGCACTATTTCAGGTATAGATTTTAAAAATGTTAGAGACTATCATACCTTCAAGAAGCTCAACCTTTAAGACAGAAGGCAGACACATAAAAGTAATTTCAATATTCATCATTAAGTGGTATGATCAAAGTAAGTACAGGGTTCTATAAAAAGCAGTAAGCCAGGGCATTTATTTAAAATGTTCAAGCAAATCATTTTACAAATCATGTTCCTTATCTATAAAGTGAGGGAAAATGAATACATGATCACTGGTGCTAGTTTGAGAAATAAATCCTACAATTCTATAAACATGGACATTGACAAAAACTTCCAATCTCCAAATCTATGACAACGCTAGTATTGAAAGAAAGTGGCTAGGAAAGAACCACATTTACCAAGATGCCATCAAGTCCTCAGGAAGCAAGAAGACCTACCATCTGGCTTACCTCTGGTGTGGCCTGAGAAACTTTACAAACAGTTTCCATTCCTCCTAGCTTCCAGTGCCCATCTTCACTTACAAACACAGATGATAAGCAGACATTGTTGTGTGTTAGATGGCCCTGGGGAAAAAAAAGAACAGAAGACTGCTACTCCAGTATTTGAAGTAGAAGTTTTAAAAATCAAAATACTAACCACCAAAAAAGATTATGACAAGCCTTCCCACCTGTAGCACAGTAAATGGAATTATACTTTAAGGAATGACGAATCAAATAAGGTTAGAAAAAAGGAAAGAAATGTAATGGCAAAGCTTCTGTTATCTCTCCTGCCTGGTGAGGCAAGTTCATAAAGACATTAAAGCCACTACACAGATAGACTCATGACCCATTTCTGTGGGAACCAGGAGACATACATGTCTTTAAATATAAATTTACAAGACTTATATCCTATAGCATTTGCTTCCAGTGCCTTTAAAGATAAATTTATCTTTTCTCCCACAGGTTATTTTATTAATTTTCTCCTCTAAATTCTTTCTCACCTACATTCTATCACGAACCCAGATCCACTTCACCTGAAATCTTGTCAGAAGGCATTAAAAAAATTCTGCCTGAAGAAGAGGAAAATGGAATGATAAGGACCACCAGAAACATCCCATAGACCACAGAAGAGTCAACTTTAAAACTATAAAAAATAGTACAAATAAGTAAGAGGAAGGGAGAAAATGATAATAGGGTTCAAGTACTTAAGTTTCTTTCCAAACCAGAAATAATTCCAGTAGAAGAAAGAACACTTAAATTATTCTACTCGTGATCAAATGTGTATGTATTTTTATACAGTATACTCTGATATATATATATCATATATATATATATTATACACATATATATTAAAGGAAGGTTTAGAATAGTTTGTATGAAATGCTTCCATTTGAGGAAAAATAAGAGAATAAACATAAAAATATCTACTTTACATGCACAAAGAACATCTCTGGAATGATACTGATCACCAGAGTTGCCTCTGGAGGGAAGAATCAGATTCAGGAATGGGAGAGAGACTTGTCCCTATGCGCACTCTCAAACTGCTCCAAGTTTTTACCATGTGCACTCATTTTCTCCAACAAACAAGATAATCCTCCCCAGTGAAGCATTATATGATAAATCTTGTTATGTGAATTCACAAACATACTTTAAAAAAATTTATTTTTATTTTTATTTTTTTGTTGGCACTGGGATTTGAACTCAGGGCCTCATGCTTGCTAGGCAGGCACTCTTACTGCTTGAGCCACTCCTCCAGCCTGCGAACATACTTTTAAGTGACTCTAAATCCCACATGTTACTTGGCGAGTCTGTCTCCCATTAATAGAAAAAACTTAAAACTTACATTAAGATGAGTCAAATGCAAGTATTTCTAACCTGCGACTGGGGTTTTGTTTTGTTTTTTTTTCTTAATCTCAGAGGATTACCAAAGACCTTAATGCTTCAGAATGCAAATATCATTAAGAACTAGTAGCTCAATAATACTGTTAAGAAATAGACCAGAAGTAAACATAGGAACAGCAAGCATCACTATAGCACTAAATGTGGATTATATCAGAGTGTTAAACTGCTGTCTCTCCATTGGCCTCAACCACTCAAATGGGAAGGGATGTGTATAAACTGTTTATTCTAAGATATGGTCATTTCTTTTGTCAAAATTTAAAATGGGGCAAAATTCCTGCAAACAGATAGGAACTCTGGTCTAAAGCAACATTAATGTTAAAACTCTGTCTTAACAAATACCACCTTATAGCTATTTTTAGATACTTACTTAAAACCTACTCAAATTTAGAAGAAGACTATTAAATTGAAATAAAATTGCATAAGTAAAAGCCCAGGGACAGAGAACTAGTTGCTATTTCCACAAATTGTAGCATCTTGTCCCTTCCAATGTGCTATTTTTTTATTTATATATATATAATATATATGCCAAAAAAATATAAAATATATTAAATACATTATATAAATAATATATAAATATATATATCATAATTTATAAGCACCTGCATCATTCCCCAATGTACATTAACTCCTGTGAGGCAGACTATACAGTTACTTACTCTGTCATGAAGGAAGATGAGAGCCAGCAATATGTCATAGATTCCAGCACAGACCTCTGCAGAAGACAATGTTTCCAAGACCACTTTCAGAGGTTGCACTCGCTCAGTGACAAGATGAATGCCATCTGCTTCCACAGTACAAGATAAAAATCTTAGCAAGCAAGGGTGACGAAGAGTCTTTAAGTGCTTTAAAATACAAACAGAAGAGTTGATTAACTTAGCAACTCAAAACCAGATTAATTATGGTTTCATATGCACTAATAAAAGTCAAAAAATGTATTGCATTCAAGATCCTTTCAAGCTCTTTACCTTTTCCATAATTTCAAATAAGGCAAAGGAGGATCTACAGCTTGTTCTAACTTTATTCAACTTAACATTTAAGAGACCTGAGGGAGTGGCTCAAATGGTAGAGTACCTGCCTAGCAAGCATGAAGCCCTGAGTTCAAACCCTAGTATCGTCAAAAGCAAAACAAAACATTTAAGTAACTGTACAGAAACCTCCTGCTCCCATAGGGTAGTGTAAGATCCCAGACTTTCCAATTATTCCCGATATAAATTCTGAACAAAGTGGCATAAATGACTACCTAACAACTCTCAAAAGTAAATATGCACATTATGAAGGAGAGTAAAAACTTGAAGAAGAAACACCTGTGAGAATGAATTTCCTGGTGTGGGAACAAACCACAATTTTGGAGTAATATAACAAAGGTGCTAAATTTCACTAAAAGTTTTGCCATCTTTCTAGCCAGAAGAATCATAGAAAGGAATCTAGGCAGGTCAGAATATGAGGAGGATATCCCAGAGAGTAAGAGATCTGGGGAGGAAGATGCCCTGATTTTCTGCAAAGCCACAAATTCTCAAATGTCTGAACCAACAAGTATGCACAGGGAATAAACCCAAACTAGCAAAGTTTTAAGAAATGAACTGAGATATGAACTGCCATTCACAGGAAGGATGAGAGAAGAGTATTTTAAAAACTTGAATTTTGAACCTCATGGGAATTAGTTAATCCGGCTAAATGAAGTATATTAACATTTTCAGAGCACTATGGAAGAACCAGGAGTCTTCACAGCATGACACTGAAAATATCCAGGATGCAATCCAAAATTTGTACTCAGCAAACAAGGATCAATTCTTATTGGAAAAACAAAATACTGGAAACTGAACATTCAGTGCCCAAATTAATAAAATGGATGTAAGAGTCAGTGAACCTGAAGATACTAACCAACCTAAAGAACAAAAAGAAAAAAGTAGAACAGAGGGCTGGTGGAGAGGCTCAAGTGGTAAGAATGCCTGCCTAGCAAGCAGTTCAAACTCCAGTACCGGAGTAAAAAAAAAAACAGCCAAAAAACCCAAAACAAAACAGCCACAGGAACCTGTGTGACAATAACAAAAGGTTTAATGAAGGTGACTGATGTCACAAGAGAGGAAAAAAGAATTGGGGCATAAAAAACTGTAATGGCTGAAAACAGAAATTTGGCCAAATACTTAAATTTACAGAGTTAAGAAGTTCACTGAACACCAAATAGGATAAACATTTTAGGTTTGAAAGCCATATGGTCCCTGTGCTCTATTTTTTAAGCATCTTTAAAAAAAAAAATTCTTAGCTCATCCTAGGCTGAAGTTTTCTGATTCTACTTATAGATCATCAAATGTTTAATACTCACTTTCATAAAACATTTATCTTGTTTTCTTACTTTTTATCAAATATTTAATCCTCTTAAAATATTTAAACATTTTTTAAGCTTTTATCTTTTTTATTACATAGAAAAGTGACTGTCACTTTTCTGATTACATATCTCACGGGTAACAAAATATTACATGAATAACTGATATGTACTACGGTATATATATAGTTTATATATAGTATCTATATAAAATACATATTCTTCAAAAACCCATGAACAGAAAATACCAAAATATAAATGTAAATTTATTCCCAATGTTTCTTTTCTTCCCCAACTGCAATGAATTACGTTGCACAATACCTAGAGTATGAATACCTATTTTTAGAAACCCTTAGTAGGAAATACCCACCTTCCTATCTGGATATACATGGATGACAAGTATAAAACAGTTCTGTGTCTAAACATGGGGGTTAAATCTGCAGAGTTTCTTTCCTTCTCTGGTTGTTCCTGTTATAGCTCTATCAGCTCTGGGTTTTCTAATCCCTGTGCATGCTTCATATAGTGAAAATTTTGATTTGAACAACTGAGGACAGCCATAGTGTAAATCTCACCCCAGATAATAATTTTATTTTTAGTAAAGCCTAAACTGCTAGAATGCTGTTTTTCTTTACAAATCACCCAGTGTTTCCAAAAGAAATTGTATGACCTTAAAGTTCTGGTGTCTATCCGGTACAATTCACTTGTCATAGGAGAAGCCTTGTAAACCAGTCATTGGATTGAGAGGAGACTAATGGATGTCATCTGGAACATAACCTCCAATCTAAAAACAGGTTTCATTTTCACAAGTAAGCAGTTAGTAATGAACACTATAATAAACACCTTCTTGGAATCTTGGAATACAGGACAGCCATAACTTTTCTTAGGTACAATTTTTATATCAGTTTACTCAGACTTATCTATTAAACTTCTTCCAGGCAGAGTTACAGAAGAATCTTTTAAGTGTGATTTCTCTACTTACTTTTATTTTCTTGCAGTAACTTCTAATTTTTCCAACTCTAAAAATAGCTCCAATAGGACTTTTGTTTATTCTTAAGACGCAAGCTATTACCATCCCCAGGATTACTCCAACAAATAAAACATAATGAAAATGTTGAAGAAAAATGTACTTAACCAGCAGTTACAAGCTATTAATTTGAATATTTGCATTTAATACAATTCATACACATGGAAATAGAATACAGCAAAGATCGAAATGAGTCAAAAATTATGTTAGCAGGTTGGATAAAATGAGTGTGCTTAATTAGGGATAACTTTTTACAAGTATGTTCTGATCTGTAGTTTCTGGATAAAACTATGAGCCTCCTTTATATTTTCATTTTAAGGATCATTTCAAATAACTTTCAAGCCAAACAGAAAATACTTCACTTTTGCTTAAGAAAAATTATTCATTTGCCTTTTATGTCATGAAGGCTCTAATTATTTTCCTTTGATTTGTATGCACTTTCATTCATTCACCTTGTAGTACTCAAGACATACTTGTCAGAAGGAAAACTACCTGTTTCAGTGCTGGCAAGGAATACAGAGTCAATAAATGGTCTCTTGCTTAATAAGTAAAATAATAAAAAACAAAACAAAAACAGACAAAATAATTTACCAGTTGGAGGTGGGGAATGGGCAGCTTAGACTGACCTCACACTCACCATTTTCCTGTCTTAGCCTCCCGAGGGCTGCCATGTACTAGCTTTAGGAAAATTCTTGATTCAAAGTGAGTTCTTGCTTGTTGAATGAAGGAAGATAGGAAGACAGGAGCCAGGCACCTGTGGCTTGTGCCTGCGATTTTAGCTAGGTGGGAGGCTGAGATTAAGAAAACTGAAGTTCCAGGCCAGTCTGGGAAAAAACTTACAAAGAGCCCATCTCAACCAATAGCTGGGTGTGGTGGTGTGTACCTGTTATCTGAAGATATGCAGGAGGTTGAGATCAGGAGGATTGAGATTCTAAGCTAGCCTGCGCAAAAAAGTTTGTGAGATCCCATCTCAGTGGAAAAAGAGCAGGACACAGTAGTGTTATAGGAAATGTAAAATAGCAAGATCTTGGTCCAGGCCAGCTTGGGCAAAAAGTAAAACCCTATCTTCCAAAATAAATAGATAGGAAGAAATGATTCATTGCATGATTCTGATCAAGGCACTTGTCATTCCTTTTTGGTACATTCACTACTATGGTATATTCATAAACTGTGCATACTGATTCACAGGAAAGTTAAGTTAATAATTAAATGGAAATATTTCTTGATGTAAGCTTTTGCTGCTTCAAAGAATGGGGAGCCAGAAGATAAACATGGTAAAGATAACTTAAGAAATTTTCTCAGTGAGTATCAGTTGAACAAATAAAATGTCTCTTGTTCTGGTATAGAAAGGTGACTTGTTCAATTAGAGTACCTAGAAAGTACGCGCCCCACTGTCATTGACTATCTGCTATTCCCCATTCAGTGTATCAGGTGCTACTTTCTGTAAGGGACTGAATTCTGAGTAATTCAGAATTTATTTATTTAGTAATACTAAATTTATTTAGAATATTTATTTAATAATACTAGACATGAGTAATACGATATAGTTTGTCACAATTTGTGCTATTTTTACTTATCTATGCCCATTCAGTTATCTCAAGTGTGAGATTCTAGTCCTGAATATAAACTATTCCCACTTTCCAGGAACCAGTTATAACTCATCCATCTAGAAAATTAATTCAAGCCTTATAGCTTAACTCTTCACTGCTACTCTGCTTCTGATTGCTACTTCATTCTGAGAACTATGTAAAGTTAGTTGCAATTTTCTTATCTATAGCTTAAATCCACTTGCAAGCTTTTAGACAGGGAGAAAGCCATAATTTTATGTTGTTAAGTAAATATAACAAAACCGAGATGCCCTAACTAGAGAGCAATGATTTTTCAGGGAAAAAAAAATTCCCTTCTTCCTTGAAGATGCAAATCTTGGGACAAAGATGCAGATACATTCTGTTTTTAAATACCTATGGTCTGAAGGTTGGCTCATACACTAGAAATAAAATGTAGACAGAGAAAGAGATAAAGAATTCCTTTTTGAACAACAGCCATCTGAAGTTCTGGTGGAAGATCCAGGTACATATATTCAAAAGACAGGTGGAAATGAAGATCTGGTTCAAACAAGTGGTTGGGTCAGATACTTAGTTTGGAGTAGAAGATGGGATGACTGTAGGCATTAAAAGAGCACAGGCAAGGAAGTGAAATCTGGAAAGTGTGGTGGAGAGCTAGGAGATGACCAGTTCCACTATATGCGAGGGGCAACTTGTGAAGGTCTTCTGAATGAATTGTTATCAGGAGCCTTTTAAGAGCATCAGGATCTAATTATGAAAAGAAAGAAATAATTTCTAAGAACCGTAACAATGTGGGGAAGTTTACTTACAAAGGCATGAGAGTTGTAAATGGTGGAAGAAAAAGAAAATATTAATGTAAGAAAGAATAGAAAGGCATACCCCAAAAAGAATCAAGCTCCTTTAAGTATAGCAATCATTTCTTCCTTTCTTTGTCACCCACACTACTATGTGTATTCTCAAATATTTTAAGAAACCTTCTCCAAAGCAGCCTGAATCGATCATGGAGAACAGCATAATGTCTCCCAGGACACCAAATAGAGTGAGTACTCATATAATATCTACCTACCTATGCATAGACTCCTATGATTCTTGGTACTAAGACACTCAGGAACCATTTTATAAGCTTGTAATTATCATGAAGCCTTAACCAAGCACTTAAATTACAATAAACTATAGTAACCAAATTCTGACTTTGAATTTATCATTCCTTACAGGCTGTTGGTTAGAAATCACCAGTAAGCAAGTTTTGAATTCAAGGTCTAAGAAAGTCTGACAGAACTAAGTATTTTTCATACTGTCTTGTGGCCAGAATGTATACCTGCATTTCATCTTATTTAAGAGGCCTACAGTGTACTACAATTATTATTTACTTTTTTGACAGTAATGGGGTTTGGAACTCAGGGCCTCATGATGGCTAGGAAAGCACTCTACCACTTGAGCCACACCTCCACCCCTTTTTTTAGTTACTTTTTATTTTTAACCTTTAAAACTTCTAAAATTTTTGGTGATACTGGGATCTGAACTCAGGGTCTCATGCTTGCTAGGTAGGAGCTTTATAACTTGAGCCACACTCCCAGCCCTCTTTCTATTTTAGTTATTTTTTAAGCAAGGCCTCACGTTTTTGTCCTGGGCCAGTGTCAGACCACTACCTATGGTCTCCTGGTGTAGGTGGGATCACAGGTGCCTATCACCATGCTCAGCTTATTTGTTGAGATAGGATCTCTGAAACTTTTTTGCCTAAGCTGACCTTGCACCATGATCCTCCTTTCTATACCCCCAAGTAGCTGGCATTACAGATGTGAATCACTGTGCCCAGTCCTGATTTTTTTTTTTTATTTACAACAGTAGAGAAAGAGTATAATTGTTACTCAATAATGAAAACAATATCTACTTGAAATAGTTATTAAAACTATCAAAAGTAAAATTAGGAACCCAAACTAGAGAATGAGTAAGCTAACTACATTGCTTTAGTATTTCAGATATCAAGGATATAACATTCCTGTAACTTAATAGATTGAATGCTATATATTTTTCAAGTACTGTGACCTGCTTTTGAGATTAACAGAAGCATTCTGATAAACTCCTTATCCTCTTGTTACTATTCCAAATTTTAAATTTCCCTGATTCACGTGTGAGGTTTTCAAAGTCACAGTATGGCTGAAGAAGACATAAATATGAACTATTTACAAAGACTCAGTCCATAAAAGGGTATCTATGGATATGAAGGGGAAAAAAAAATCTTCACTCTCAAGCTTTACAATTCCTACAACACAGAAATCCTTAATATCAAGAGTAGATCTTTGTTTCCTTTCTTTAAAAATTTTATGATCTGGATTATTTAACTTTCAGGGTTCAAATGCCATAAAAGGAAATACAGTTTTAAGAAAATCTTACAGTCTTAAGAAAAAAAAAACAAAGAAAGATTATAAATCTGTAGTACCTTACTCATTATATTCACTCTTATGTTATAAAAAAGCAACATGCACAATCTGGTTAAATGAATGAAACAGGACTTGCGTTTTAGTCTTATATATTAATTGTATATATAGAAGTAAAGCAAAGCATTGTATCTTTTGCAAAATCATGATAAAACTTATTAAGCATATCTAGATGGGGTGGAAAAGAGAGACAAAAATGTGTTTTTACCAAAAAGCAAAATTACCCAAATAACCACCTATACTGTTTATACTGTTTACTATAACACAGTACAAGAAAATGCACCCTGGGCTGGGGGGGTGTAACTCAGTGCCACTTAGCATGCACGAGGCTCTGGGTTTGATTCCTAGCATGGAGAAAATTAAATTTAAAAAAATATATCATGAGAAGATTGTTACATATGTCCATTTCCTTAGGAACCATCTTACAACGGTTAATTTCATGCTTGAATCAAAGATGCAACATCAAATAATGAAGTGGTATGACCAATGAGATGCCAAAATAATATTACCAAATTACCTTTTATGATCATTAAAAAGAATAAAAAGCCATTTAAATAGCCCCATGAAATAGATATCAGTGTTCCATATCTGTTGATATTAAAAAGGGACTCAGTCATACTGTAATTCTAACAAGCTAAAGACCACATTTAGGCTGAAAATAGTATTCTTACCATAGTAAACACTGAAAAAGTAGGTAATGAATACAACTATATTTTCCTTTTTAGAAACTTTCTGGCCAGGTGCCAGTGGCCCATACCTATAATCCTAGCTGTGTGAGAGGCAGAAATCAGGACGATCATGGTTCAAAATCAGCCTGGGCAAATATCTGAAAAAAACCCAACACATAAAAGGGCTGATGGAGTGGTTCAAGTGGTAGAGCACCTGCCTAGCAAGTCTAGCAAGTGTGAGGCCCTGAGTTCAAACCTCAGTTATCACCTAAGTAAATAAATAAATGGAAACATTCTGAGGACAATCCGAATGGCTAAATATCCAAAGGAGTATCAACTGATGCTATTAGTTTCTTAAGACACTTGAGATTGTTTTATTAAATCATATTCCAAAGTAGAATCATTTCTTTCTTTCTTTCTGTGTGTGTGTGTGTTGCACATGTTGCCCAAGAGCATGCTCTACCACTGTGCTATATCCCCAGCCCTGAAATCATTTTTCCTAAGATGTCATGCTCCTGACAGTCTGTTAGACCACAAGCCAATGCTCTGCTACCCTTAGCCAAGAGCAGCAATGACCAGGTGTGAGCTAGAAGGACCTATTTCTTATGGACGAAACTGATGCCTCCAGAAGTTAACAACCTGTGTAGGAAACCTCTGCAAGAGCTCAAGCTCAGGTCCAATATTCCTTCTGGGAAATCCAGTCCAACATACTTACATGCTTAAAACTCTTTTTTGGCAGTACTAAGGTTTGAACTCAGGTCTTACACGTGCTAGGAAGGTGCTCTGCCACTTGAGCCATGCCCTCAGCCCTCAAAATTCTTTCTATGGCATTATAATGTCTCAGGAAAAGGAAAAAAAATAGTAAAGTTCCTACACTATTTGATTTCCAAGCCCATCATCAACACACTCATTAAAATGTCAGTACTTAAAAACATTTTTGTTAAGCTAGATTCTAGGTCATATAAAAGTCATCTTCCTATCTGTCTCATTAAAAACATAAAGTGTGATGGGAAAAATCACTGCAATGTGTTTTATGAAGCTTTCACTATAGCTGTAGCATCTATTAGATGTATGCCCATAAAGTAAGGCTGTGTTTTTATAAGATGAATAATAAAATACTATTCCAATGGCCTTATTTCCTTTGACCTATATTACTTTCATTTTTAATAAAAAACATGACAATAAAAAATACTAACTATTAAAGTCTTCACTTATTATGGTACCTTAGCAGCTTTGTTAACCTTGTCTTCATTTTCTCTCTTATACACAAAAACAGAAGCAAATTTTCCATCTTGCAATACAGCAGGATAAACAGCGAGTCCAGAGGGCAAGGTAAATGGTGGTTCTTTCTGTGTATAGCTCTTTAAAGCACTGTTCTCTGATCCCATCCCTTATGCAGGGAGGACGTACTGCAGCTCCTCCTCAAAGCCAAAGAGATCTAAAGGAAACAGAATGCAAATTCAAACATTAAATCTCTACTGGAAACATGATCTGCAAAAGTTGCCCAAGATATTAAGACACAATCATTCAAACCTACTCATTTCTGCAACCCTCATAATGAAGATAGGTGACAATAAAAATGGTAAATGCTCAGCAAGTTATCAACAACACTTGTTAATTAACAGTTAACAAGTCTAGAGAAAATAAATGCATGTTACCTAGTAGTTACATGCAGTTGTTCTTCCCCAAACCCCACTACATACAACTTTTCAGTTTCCTAAAAGGCAATAAAAAATACAAGGGAACTCATATTTCCTAGCCTACTTATGTACCCTGCTTTGCAAAGGAAAATATTGTAAAACTTAACTATTAAAATAATTAAACCTTCTGTATGTCTACAATAAAATTCTAAGGGAAAACAATAGAAATTGGAGAAAATTTCTAATAATGATGAGACACATATTAAGAAATGGAAAGCTCAGGTCCAAGTAAAAGACTAAAACATCAGTAGAATAATGGGAAAGGAAACAGACAACTTGGCCTGGAGATATAGCTCAGTGGCAGAGCTCTTGTTTGGCCTGCATGAGGCCCTGGGTTCAATCCCCAGCACCATACGAAACAAACAAAAATCCCAAACAAATAAGGCCCCCATAAGAAACCAGATAACTCATTAAAAGAAATACAAATGAAAATAAGCATAAGAAAAAGTGCAATCTCATTATTCTTCAAAGTTATGGTAAGCAAAGGAGGAAATTCCCACTGTGTAATGTAAAATGCTAACACACGTGTACACACACATGAACACACACAAATACAAAATATTCTAGAAAGTACAAACTACACTATGATGGAAAACAGATCAGTGATTGCCATGAGGAATGGCACAGTTAAAGGACCAGGGGAGACAAAAAGATTACAAAGGAGCATGAAGAAACTTTTGAGGGGATGAATATATTCATCATTTTGATTATGATGATGGTGATATGTGATTATAATTGTCAAATCCTAAAAAAAACTGTGTACTTGATGCTCAGTTTAAAAATATATATACAGCAATGCATGTACACATACAAAGTATTAACAGCAGCAGCTTGTTGCTGGAGGTCAGATTATAGGTAATTTCACACATACACATAGACACACACACTGCCTGCACTTCCCAATCTTCTATATTATGAACCTGTCATTCTTTTTTCTTGGTTGTTTTTTGGTTGTACTGGGGTTTGAACTCAGGGCCTCACGCTTGCTAGGCAGGTACTCTACAACCTGAGCCATGTTTACAACAGGAACACAAATGCACAGGTTCAGATGGGGACTGTACAGCAGTTCAGCAGTACTGGTAGAACAACAAAGGACCCATGCATGTGCATGCGGAAGGCAGCAGGCAGCACCAGGTTCCAAGAAGGCCTGTAGTCCTAGAGCTGTCAGATCAGAACACCTGTCATGAGAATATTTATGTGGGAATTTCCACATTAGTCAATGTTGACTCATTTTTTTTTTGTTGTTAAATCTGTATAAGCCAAACAACATATGTCTAGGAAAATCTGTGACAATCAGTTTTCAGTTCTGGCTTTACTATAATATGAAAATTTAAAAAATATAAAGTTCTTATTGACTGGTAACGTGGCAAGCAAACTGCTAGCACTAAAAAACAGGAAAAGTTGCATGAAGGCCTGTAAAAAGTTTTATTTAAAAATCTGTAGTTTAGACAAATATAAACCAAACAATTATTATATACAATCACTGCTTGGAATTTTTCCCCACTTTGGTGAAGTTCAATTCAATGCCTTTTACTTTATTACCTTCTATGTAACGCTGCTCAAAACACATGCCGCCATTCTGAGCACAACATGCCAAGGCTAAAGATCTGAGAATGTTTCTGAGGGTAAGAACTAGTTCTGCTTTGTAACAGGTTCAACGAGCCCCTACCTACCTAGTAATTTTATCTTTTTTAGGAATGACAAAGAAATAAAAAGCTACAAAAACAGCCAAGTACCTCAACTACAGGAAACATTCACCTTTCTTTTGGGACTATAAGTAAAAGTAGTTTATGTAGGACAATGGAGAAAAGCAACTATTATTTCTCCTAATCTGGAGATGCAGTGGTAGCCTGTTCCATCTGTGCCTTCTTTTTGCAGTAGGAAGGCTCCTCCTACTTAGCATTCACATCTAGTTGTCCATCCTTCCCTCCTTCTTGGGCATAGTTAATGGCCAAAGGGCAGTCAAATTACACATTAGCCATCCAGGACGTATGGCCTGACCATGAGACAAACTACAGAAGTAAACTGGCCAGCTCATTCTCTCTCCCAGGAATTTGAACTAAAAGAGATTTTGTCTATTAGTACCAGCATAGCTGAAGGTAGAAGGTGGAGCTGGGGCTATGACAAGCCAAGGCCATGTGAAAGCAGAAACTTGACAAACACAGAGAAAGTCAGTTGGTAGGATAACAAAAAGCAAATAGCTTAGTCATATTTATAGGGGCACAGTACTCCCTCCATCTCAAGGATACAGGAAGCCCAGCTTCAAATCTGTTTCCCTATTGCCTCACTGACACTCCTACAATCAGCTCCTTCCCTGAGATGGCTTGAATGGGTCTATGTTCTTTGAAACCAATTGTCATGTCCTAAGCAGAAAAATCTACTTCTCTTTTTAACTCCTGCCTGAAAAACCAGTCAGACTAGAGGAATGAGTTACTGAGGCATTAGTTTGAAAAGTGTTTATATAAAGCTAGGTTAATTGCCTTTTTACTTAGCCACAAAATGTAGCTTTTCAAAATCAGCACATGATAAAGAAAAAAACTGAAAAAAAGAACTGCAAGAATATCCTGTCAGAAAATCACACTGTTAAGTTAGTTTCAACATTAGTCTCTCAAAGACAGAGGATGGTCACTAGGATTCAGAGACAGTGCGCCAGCAGAATGGCAGTCAGCAAAGCTAAGCATTGGCATCAACTCTCATTGTTCCTAATAGCAAATACATTCCTTGTGGTAATACTGGGCCTTACAACATCTAACCTCTGACTCAGTATTATGAATACACTGTTAATTAATAAACAATCACAGTGCATTCCATAGGAGTGTATTTTAGGTCTAAGGCTGTATGAAATACCATTTTGAAGTTAAAAGGGGTCCAACTCAATTTCTTGAGAACTCAAGATAAAGGATGCCATTTTATTTTGAAAGCACATTAAATGTTAACAGATGTTGCTTGATACCGTCAGTGTGGGGCTAACAGAACAGCAGATTTTATTTTCTGTCCAGTGCAGACTTTATTAGGGAAAATAAAAGGCTGTGCTGATGAATGCAATTTAAGAATGCCTTAAAGCAGTAATTCTAATTCTTCACACAACTGTATCTGAAGAGGCATGTATACTTTTTTTTTTTTTTTGTGGTGCTGGAGTAGAATTCAGGACCCAAACATGCTAGGTTCCACCACTGAGCTACATCCCACATCTAAAAGACACAAAAACTATTGATACAAGTAATGCTTTAAAAATGCTAATTCAGCTAAAATTAACTTACTGAAGTGTAAGACAGATAAATAACAATTCCACTCCCAAAAGCTCTTTTAGTGGGGGGATGGACACAGAATACTGCTGCAGAGGTACTTTGCAGAGTTATCATCTCCACTCTGTATAGTGAAACATTCATTGACAGTCTCTGTCTTGAATATATGTCATAGTCTTCCGTTTTAAAAATTCGTTTTCCAATCTTCCTCCAATCTTTTGCTTCCTTGGGCAGCAGGTGAAGTTTCTGGATGGCCCACCTGCGGATTGGGAAAGTCCCTGTCTACGTCACGAGCAACTTCTACACTCAACCAAGAAACTCATGTCCTCTGGGGAGATATTTCTGAGGTTTTTCCCCCCAGCATTTAATCGAGATTATCTTGGTGCCAGCTTCCTTAGCTTGAAAATTCCAAAGATAATGGCTTGCACTGTGAGTTCTAAGGATACACTGTATTGATTTTTAGGTAGGTAATGATAAACTGATTGGCAGCCCTTGGCTTTGATGTTCCGGTTATATATTCCCTGTACTGAACTCAATCCGCTATTGCTAGCTGACAAGCAAAAATCATTAAGTCTCTATGGACCAGAAGTACTAAATATGGTTTCAGCTAAGGGAAATGCACAGTGTAGTAACAATGATTCCCAAATCCAGCTAAAAGGATCTTCGGAGAAATGTTTCAACTTTATTCTAGTAGAAAGCACTACCGTGTGCCCGGGGCCAGTGAGGTCTCGGGACCTGGCCTTGGTCTGGGTTCAGTCACTGGGGACGGGCGCGACCCCGGGCTCCGGCCAGCCTCTCGCTCGCCGCCCCTCACCTTCCAAACCTCCCTGCAAGCGCCGATTCGCGGCTCCCCTCCAGAGCCCTGCCCGCCACCGCCTCTCTTTTCCGGGCAGAGGTCGCCGGAAAAGCCCACATTAGCAAGGCGCCCCGAAATAAGCAGAGGGACTGCTCGCAGGACAGCAGAACTCAACCGGCAGCCGGCGCCGCGCCGGGCTCGCCCGCGCGGCGGCCCTGAGCGCGGACCCGCGAGCGGGAGGGCGCGCACCCCCGCCCGCCCCCGCCCAGCACCCCTCCCGGAGACTGGGAACGCAGCTCGGGGCTCTCGGTTACCTGCGGGAGCGCGCCGGGGGAGGAGGCCCAGGGTCTTGGCTCCGGTCCCCTCTTCGCCCCCTGTTGACACCAACCACTCTTGCCTCCCCCCGTGAGGCCGTGGCCACTACACGCACAATCTCCTGGGGCCGGGTCCTTCCGACACCACAGAGACTGGCCCGGAAACGGCACAGAATACCAGCCTTCGCATTCCCCTCCGACACCACCACTGAGGCGAACGAACCCGGAACCAAGCTAGAGCGGTCACACAGGTGATTCTCAGGCAGGTGCCATCTTAAGTGTGGGCGCCAGTGATGGCTGAGATTCACTCACTGCTCCCAGCAGCTTAGTTGGTCTTCTAGGGTATCTCCACTCTAGTGCCTTCGATTAAATGTATAAATTGGGCTTGATTTAATTTTTAGGCTTCTAGCTGGCCAGTTTTAATTTCATTTCCGCCCGAATCCAAAATGGCTGTCGGAGGCCTTTACCAAAGCTTATGGTAAAGGGGCGGGGCGGATAAAAGGGCTTGTGGCGATTGGCGAGGACTCTCGGGAGACCGACATCCCGTAGTCCCAAATTCTGATTGGTTGTGCTACGTGGCCCAAAGCTGTCAGGGGTCCTGGTGATTCCTGTTTAAGCCTTGGAGACGGAAGTCAAAAGTAAAATTGGGAATAATACCTACTTCTGATATTAATGGTACCTTACTTAGTAGCATGAGAATAAAGTGAGTTTATGAAATGGTTTTGAAACCACATAGCACAAAGCAAACATTTTCACTACTATCATCTTCATGATCTACAGTAGTCATCACTAAATGCAGTTTTGGATTGAATTTCTGTTGACAAGGCTGTGTTGCCACTTTTGCTCCTTACTACACTTACAGGAGCTGAGGTTAAATTTATGGTTTTTATTCAGTAGAGATGTAAATAAGTGCCTGCCACAATAATTAATTTTAATAGTTACTGGTATTTTGCCCTATAAGTCATTAAATCAGTAATAGTCAACAAACATATAAAAGCAAGCAAACAAATTGCAAAGATTTTAGAGTTCCTTTTTATTAGATTTTCCCCTCAATTTTGGTGCTAAAGTTGCTTTAGCATTCTCTAGTTTTTTTTATTTTAAAACCAATCATTTCTGACACTCATCATAGTAATTACTAAAACACCTGGTGTCACTATCAAGGTGGCTATAGTATTTGTGGCTCCATCTCTGGAATGTGGCCTTCTGGAGTGATACTAGCTTACTACCCTGAAGGGTGGATTCCTAATAACTAGAATGCTAGCTGCTCCTGGGGAATAGCTTCAGTCAATTAAAGCACACAGAATATTACGTTATCTATGCAGAAGTAATTTAAGCTGCCCATCAGGATAAAGAAGTAGCCTATTAAAGGCACATTGTAAACATCTACAACCAAATTCCCTGAAGCCCTATGAAGATGAGTAGAGTTTATAGCCAGTCCCATAGGGAAACCTCAGTACAAATTAGAAAAAATATAACACATATATATTATAGGATTATTAGCTCCAACATCCATTTTCACTCTCTTCTCCCTTCTTTGTTCACCTTCACCACAGAGCACAGAGTCAAAGAAACCAAAATGAGCCTTCTTTGCAGCTGGGTGGTCACAAGTTGTGGCCAGTGAGATGTATAGCAAAGTTGTGGATGGACTGGGGGGTTAAGAGCAGTGCATTGAGAAAAGCTTCTACCTTCCTAATAAAGCACCTACTGAAGAATCATGAAACAAGTGAACATGCTAAGGAGAGAGAGTTGAGAGATGGAAGGAATGAGATTCTCTCAATGCATTTCATACTGTCCCTGGAGTTTACAAAGTTTTGTCTTCCTTTCCCAGAGGAGTAGAAATAAGTCCCTTCAACCAGTAAATGAAATCTTCTGCAGTCAATATAACTGCTCACATGGCTCATCCTTACCCACTATTGAGAAAAAATATTTTATTGTTGAATGACTAAGAGAGAGATGAGAGCCACACTCATTGCTTTCCTTCCCCAGTGTTCATCTAGTCACTTCTAATTATTTACTCATTATTTACTTCTAATGTCACTTTGGTCTCTAAACACACATCACTTGTTAAGTCTCTGGATTAAAGATTCCAGACTTACTGAAGTCACAGGTTACTTGTACAGTTTTTCTTATAGGGATGCAAAAAATTGTGTCCAGTGGACATTTGATTCTGACAAAAGATAGACAGTACTCTAATGACACCGATTAGACTCAGCTATCCTAATTAGTTAGGTGACAAATTCTTTTTGTAAATTACCTGCTTGTGGGACTGGTTTGAAATCCTAAGCCTGTGTATAGATTTCTGGGCCCTCTAGATTCTCATATTCTAATAATGGAAGGCTGATGTCTGGCAACAGTTCAATCTACACATTGTAAAATTACTCATTTTGACAATTAAAAATCACTTTCACCATCCTTAAAGACACTAGTATTGGTCTGAGTTAGATATGGCTGAAATGCTAGTAGTATCTGTCCCTGAAGTACGGATTTCGGATTGAAGTTTTTCTGATGCCAAGACCTCTGAAATGTGAATAGCTTTTCAACTTTAAAGTGCCTATGAATCACTTTGGAATGTTGCTCTAGTAAGGAGACAGAGTAGGGAAAAACAATGAGTGTATAAGATTATGCCTCTTTTGAAGAACTTCAGCATTGAGATAGATATGGATGTTAATTTAGGTCTGTCCTTTAGGGGTGGTTAGTGACCATCTGAAAGCATGTTAAAGATGCAAAAGCTGAAGCCTCACACTAGATTTTTCCATTTAAGAAGCACTACCCTGTGCGACCTGGCATCTCCCACCTTTGACCTTCTCTTCTTCTCCCCTTCATGTACCCCAGTCCACTCACACTGGCTTCCTTGCTGTCCCTTGGACATGCCAGGCAGGCATGAATTTGCCTCAGGACCTTTGCTGTAGCCCTTCCTTCAGCCTGTCATTGTTTTTTCCTTGATAACTATTTAGCTAAGTCTCTCATTTCCTTCTACTGTATCTTTCCTCAAATCTCATCTTCTTAATGCAAAACCTACCCTTTTCAGTCCTACAACCTTTACCCTTCTGCCTGCTGCACTACTCATGCTTCTTGTTCTGTTCACTTTTCCATTTTTCCATAGCACGTACCACCTTCTAACAGCCATATGCTATATTTTATAAATTGTAAAAACTAGTTTTTTCTTACTTTAACACCCCTAGAAGTCAGATTCATTTTTACCATAAATAGCATCTCATAATTTGTCAATGATTTTTGTTCTTAATGGCATCAAATGTGTTGACATTTCATAAAGGAATTACTGTGCCTTTCTTTCCATGCAGTTTTGGATTGAATTTCTGTTGACAAGGCTGTGTTGCCACTTTTGCTCCTTACTACACTTACAGGAGCTGAGGTTAAATTTATGGTTTTTATTCAGTAGAGATGTAAATAAGTGCCTGCCACAATAATTAATTTTAATAGTTACTGGTATTTTGCCCTATAAGTCATTAAATCAGTAATAGTCAACAAACATATAAAAGCAAGCAAATTGCAAAGATTTTAGAGTTCCTTTTTATTAGATTTTCCCCTCAATTTTGGTGCTAAAGTTTCTTTATTTTCCCCCTTTCTCAACAGAAACTGTTTTCTTCACAGATTTCTTCAATTCACTCATTGACATCTTTTTCTTAACTTTGCCTCTACTGTATAGAGAAGATAGAGTCCATTAGGCATGAATTCATCAGTCTAGTGACACTGTCAGCAGTAAAGTCCACAGTGGTATATATAGCCACACAAGAAAGTCACCTGTGTCACAAAAGCAAATGGGACAGGACCAACTGCTGCTGAGAGAAGAGTGGAAGAGGAAAGGCTCATTTGCCTTTTGTATCTTTAAGAAACAGGAAAGCAAGAAACAGCTAAGGAGCCAGTGGGGAATGTGCTGAAATCACAGTAGTCTCAAACCAAGAACCTAAACAAGGCATTTTAATAACGGGAAATCAGACCAAGAAGGGTAATGTGAAAGTTATCAGAATCAAAACAGAGTTGTGTCAACCCTAACAACAACAACAACAAAAAGTAAACAGACCAAGGGGGTTAGGAAGTAAGGGTTCTTACACCTGAGTGCCTGATAGTAACTGTCACACACATATACACACACAACAAAACAACAACAAAAAAACAATTATGGCAGAACCACAAGCTTGCACAGAAGCCACTGAGCCCTTACACAAAAAGTACCTGTACAAGGACATAAGCTCAGCAACGGTCTGTTCAGCCCTGAAATCCACTACTCATGGTAATCACTGTGGCCAAGGATTGTTGCTTCTAAATACCCGATGTAACCCTTCGCATTTTTGTCTTTAGAAGCTTCCCTAACCCCAGTCTCTTTGAATGTGCCCACAGTTTAATTTGGGCTATGTACTCCTATTGCAGTTTTCTGCTATTCCCACGTAAATATCTGTGTTCTTTGGAGAATCTCTCTTGTTTTTTATTTAGTTTGATAGTAACTAGGACTTACATGAAAATTTGATTACACTAATGGAGTTTTTTAAAAGAGGAAACAGCTAAAAGGAAATTACACAAAAGAAGGAAATGACAAAAAATTAACTCTGTACAAACACTGAGCTGAAGAGAGAATTTGGTTAAGTCTCAGAGGGGAGCTGTATTCACTGTTGCTCCTCTATTCCCCCTAGTGGGAAATCAACAGTGCTGCCTAGGCAGATGTGTATGTTTGCTACATTGAGTACTTTTATGGCTGTTTAAAAAAAAATGACTAGACTTATGAATGACAAAGAAAGATTGGGGTATCCATGCAGTGGAATATTATTTTTGCCATAGAAAGGAATGAAGTTTTTGTATATTTTATAGCACAGATAAATTGTGAGAATAATGTGCTACATGAAAGAAGCCAGAAACAAAACACCATACATTCTGTTTACATGAAATGTCCAGGGTAGGTAAATCCATAGACATAGAAAGCTGATTAGTGATTTCCAGGGGCTTGTTATATAAAGGAATGGGGAGTGGCTACTGATGGATGAGGGTTTCTGGGTTTTTTTTTTTTTTCTGTCTTTTATTTCACCCTTTTTACATTTACTTGCATGTGTATACATTGTTTGGGCCACCTCCCCCCAGCACATTCCCCCCACTTCAGACAGAATTTGTTCCTCCCTCTTGTCCTCCGATTTTGTGAAGAGAAAACGTAAGACATAAGACATAAGACATAAGAAAGGCATAGCGTT